TCTAGCTTACCTGTTACAATCTTCTATAAAGTTTATATCTGATAAGCAATTCCTATTAAAGGCCTGATTGACGGGCTGTGGAATATATTGCCCAGCATTAACTTAAATGTTTGTAACATTATGCAACTAATTACTTAGGAGAACAGTATATGAAACAACTAATGTATTGTTGTTCTATATAAACACAGAAATTGTTGGGAACATGCAGCAGGCCAGGCAGGATCCATGGAGAGAGGAAAATTAGTTAACGTTTCAGGTCAATGACCTTTCAGATGTATTGTTCTGTAGCTTTTTTCTACCTGATTGACATGAACCTATGGGTTCAATTTAACTAAGGAATTGAACAAGATCCTTCAATATATAAAAAAATCTAAGGCAAAACCTTAGGCAAGTTTCCTTACTCCACACACCTCAGTTTACCGAGCAGTAAGTAGGAACCCAGTTGTTGGTCGATTGGCGGATGGTTTCTCCAGGAGTTAATAATGCCTTTTCAAAAACAAAATTGGTCACTCAATCCACAAATGTTTGTGGGACACTGCTGTGTGCAATTGGCTGCCGCGTTTCTCCCATAAAATATACAGTCAATTCACTTTACAGTATATTCTGTGAAGCACTTTCAGATGTCTCGAAGATGTTAAAAGGCATTATATCAAATGCAAGGATTATTATTATTATAAAAATGGAGTCAGTTAACATTGGACCCCTTTTTTGTGACTTTTAATGCTTTGGTATCAATGGTATTAAGTAAGAGAAAGTTTGCCGGGACAATGGAATGCTTGCATTATGTGTGACAACAGTGCAATGTAAACTGGCCCCACGCATGCTGTTTTATTTAGTAACGCATTTCGATGGGCAAGTAGTTTTCTTTTTCTCATACTATCTGAGACTGGGCTGATCATAACGAACAAGACTCCAAATGAAACGCACAGCCAAGGACAGGAGATTCATAGAGATCAAGGGAGAGTCAGGAACTGGATTACCCACAGTGGGTTAACTTGATTCGGATATTCCGTTACCAAGCAGCCCTCAAACCGTTGGCAGAAGCTATTCCCTTTTAAAGGATAGCTTACTCTAAATATCTATGAGTTATTGTTTAAATGCTTCTGGTTGTAAACAGGAACTAACACTGAATTGGGTCATGAGACATCAGTTCAGGTTGGCTGTGAAAGGGCTTTCTGTTGTGTCATTTCAATGAGTGCTTCACACCAACACATCTAGTCAACAGACATTCATTGTTCAGTCTCTGAAATGTATATTCTGCAGTAATTTTAGAATACTTTAATTTGATGGAACCTTATCTATCCTTATATCCTACCTGAAGACCTACCTCTTTGACCCCCTCCTATGGTTACCTTCCCTTTCTCCCTTGCTTGGTGTCCATCCTCACCTCTGTACGTGGCTCTGAGATGCTATCCTGCGTGAAGGGCGCTATAAAAATGCAAGCTGTTACTGTAGTTGTCGTCATGTTGATAATGACCTTTTCAGCTATAGATTCACATTGCGACATTGAGAAGAAGCTGACTTCATCTTGGTGAATGCTCATCTTAGACAATGCAAGGCACAGAAAAAANTATTCTTGTGCATTGAAATGTGACGGATAGGGAGCACTTGAGCAAATATCAGGAGCAATAAGCAATAACAGAAGGGAGAATCATCAAGCAGCAACAACAACTTGTATTTATATAGCACCCTCCACACAGGGTAGCGTCCCAGAGCGCTTGACAGTGGCAGAGTCTGACCCTGAGCCGGGGGGAGAGGGAGGGGAGAGGTGACCATAAGCACGGTCAAAAAGGAAGGTCTTTAGGCGGGATTTGTAAGTGGGGAGGGGGCAAGGCGAAGGGATTGAAGGAGAGAATTCCAGAGCTTCGGGGCGTAGTGGCTGAAAGCCCGGCCGCTGAAGGTGGAGCGGTTAGGGTAATTTCAGGCATTAATTCCTTGCAAAGCTCAGAAGAGGTGTGTTTTCAAGCAGTATCAGGTCGACAGAGAAGGGATACTTGAGAAAGGCAAGCAGGAGAAGCAATGTCATGATGAAAAAATGGGAAAGCCACTCAATACTATTGTAATAAATGAATCCAGCAATAACCCAGGGCTTCAGCTAGGAGCAATAAGTAAGATCATTGTCATCTCCCAGAAATAAAGCAGCTTTTTAAAGGTCAGTGCCAAACTACATCAGTTCTGTAAGATATAGACAGGAAGCAGCCAGATCCTGAAGATATGGCTGTTATTGTGTGCGAGTCTATAATGAAAACACTGCTTTCACTGCAAGGAAACAAATGTGTTCTGCCCACTGCTCTCCATGCCCTGGAAAAGGGACATGATAAAATTGTTGGAACAAATCTCAAAAGACAGTTTCCTTATACTATGATTTCCACATGCACTCTTTCAACCTGGATTTATCTGAACAAAGAGGAAAGAGTTTTCAATAATAGCAGACAGGGCGTATTCATTCTTAATGACATATCTGTGAGATCTTCTGAGGAACAGCTCGTTCATTAATACAGTTGTGAAATATAAGTTTTAAATCTATGCACAACTAATCCCATTATGGGGTGACATCTGTGGCATTTCACAATAAGTTTAAAGTGATCTCATTGTGAAATGCCACTAATTTTATTCAATTATAGTACACCATGCTATTGTATAAACTATAGTGCAATATGGTCCAATATTGCAGAACACAATATTAAAAACAGTCCAAAATAAAGTTTTGTGTAGTAAAACATAGAACAGTGGTCAGGTGAACCTTAATGAACCCAAGGCACTATTCGAAAAAACAAGAGAGTATCTCTGTGTCCTAACGAACATTCCCCCAAATAAAATTACTCGTTCTCATTATGGTTGCCTGTAGGGCATTGTAATGTGCAAATTGGCTGCTGCATTTCCCTAATAAACAATCACTACACAGTGGTAACTCCTGTGAATCCCTTTGAAAAATTTCGATGACGTGATAAGCCGCTACATCAGATGCAAGGATTAATTATTCTTATAATATAGTACACTGTAGCACTTTGTGATACAGCAACAATACAGCCATTATGTAGTCGACTGTGGTGTTTAGCAAGTTAAGGCAGTGACAGAGCTAGATACCACATGGTGATTGACTAGTGACTAGCAGACAAATACCAGCGCCTCGCCGCAGCTCGGATGAAACCATAATAGCTGCTGACCCAGAAACTGAGACAGACAGACAAAGTGACAGAGCTGGCTATAAACTTCAGAGCCTTACAGTGACAGAGCTATAACAACTACACATGAAATCCTGCAGCCCATAGCTGATATAGAACAAGGAAACCAGTTTGGCTCGTTTCAAACATGGCCCCATTGGGACAGGAAATTCTCTGTCTGCTGTAGAAATATTCCAAATCATGGATCCTTTCCTCTCTGTTGTCCAAATCACGTGACATTTGGTGGCAGGAGTGTTCAGAGGCCAGTGATTGCTGCAGTCAGCAGGAGTCTCTGTATTGTTGTTGAGACTCCTATCAAACTTCCTCCTGACCCTGTGAATCAGTTGTGACTTGATTAGAGTGCGGAAACATTACTTTTCCAAAAACAGCTCAGCTCAGAGCTCTCGCTGCGTGTGAGCAACAGGACCTAGTATCAACCCATTAGGTAAACTTCAGGCAGAAGAATGATTCCATTTGATTTTTAAAGGGTCAAAGTGAGATATGGGGTCTTTATGCAAAAAAAATTTCTGCAATCGTTTTCTCTCCACAGAATGGAAACAACCAAATATAAACGTGGGTTAGGAAGGCCGAGTCTGATTAAGAGCAGATTTACCGAGAGTCAGATTGAAACTAGAGGAGAGAGGAAATGGTCTCACAGGGAAGAAGATTTACACTGGAATCAGAGAGAAAGATTAAAATAGGATTGAGACTGACTGGACGAGTAGTTACTGGCCTAGAAGCCTTAATCTCTGTCTTGTTCAGGAATACTCTGTTTCTTCCTTTTTTCTTCCAAGTCTCAATCTTTTTTCTCTCTCTATTTTTTTTCCATTTCAGCCCCTCTTCCACTTTGTGCTCTCTTTCATTCAGTTTCTCACACGTAGTCTCCTTACCATTATTACGGTATCCGTTCTCTCCTTGAAGTCGCATGTGCCTGTGTGCTGCAACCTTGGAAGCAAGAAAACTGACAAAAGACCCTGATGTGTCAAAGAATTTCTTTACAAATTGTCTGAGAAAGATGCTTGAGGTGTTAGCCTGGCTCAGCTGATAGCACTCTGACATCTGAGGCAGGAGATTTGTGGGTTCCAGCTCCATGTCAGGACTTTGAGCTCATAACGTAGGCTGACACTCCAGTGCATTACTGAAGGTGCACTGCATTGTTGCAGTTGCCATCCTTCGTGTCACTCAACCAAACTCCCTTCTGCCCGTTCAGGTGCGTGTTAATGATCCCACTGCATGATTCGAAAAGAGAAGGGATTTTTTTTTCCCAGGGGCCTGGCCAATAATCCCCCCGATAAAGTTGCTAGTTCACCTTTCGGCTGTGTGTGGGACATTCCAGTATGCAAACATCAGCTGCCGCATTTGTCTACAGAATACACAAGTCATTACACTTTACAGGAAATCGTGTGAGGTGCTTTGAAACATTTAGATGACCTGTTAAAGTGCGATATCAAAGGTAAGGATTATTATTATTATTGTTAAGTTAGTTAGGCAGAATGGTCCTTCTCAGCCTCAGCCCAGGCTGGATTTCAAAAGAAACTTTTCTTATGCGTGTTTTGTTAGGAGGGGGACTGTGTCTTTGAAACACATATAGACCCAACCCTAGTGTTGGTGCTGATACACGATTCCTTTAGTTCATGGCAAGGAAAGCAAATGAAGGGAAGTTGAAATGGGTTACTAGTTAAACATTAGCTACTATTCAGCCTTCAGATCAGTAAGTGAACAGGTTCCTGAACAGTTAACAGATTGCAACCTTTGCACTGTAGCACTCCCACATTATAAGCACTCCTGTATGCTAAGAGGGGGAAGAGTCGACATTCAATACATACCTGGCCTTTTATAAAATATTCTTCAGGTAAGAGTTTCCTTTTCTAACATTTCACTCAGTGAGCTTTGTGGTTTCAGTCTGGTGGAGAAAATGCAGATCCATTAATACATTTAATATCTTAATCTTTAAATAGTCAGTACCCAGGAAATAAAACTGCATCATGTGTGGGTGAGGGTTCAGTTTCCTTTCACAAACACGCACAAAATGCAGACTGACTGAGGTTTGTGTTGAAGTTAAGGTCACATGTGGGACCTAAGAACAGGTAGAGCAGGATTGAAAAGAGAATTTATAGAGCACAGGAATATTAGAAACAAAGAGGGAACACAGAATGAAGGACAAAAAACGAAGGCTTACAGAAGAAAGGTATATATCAAGTCTAAGCCATTGTGACTTCCAGGTTATATTTTCTAATGTTTGACTTAGTGTTGGTTGGATAAAAACATGTTGAGCAGTTTAGAGAGTCAGAATCAACACAAACAGATGAAAGGAACTGGTAGAAAGCAAAGATTTCACAATTGCACAAGCCGAAAACAACTCATAAATTGATCCGAAAAATGATCACGATGAACAGTACAATGGCTGCCAGTGGGGAATGCAAAGACATTGTAAATAGATAGGGACCTGGGATTTCTTAAACACTGCAACTGAATCCTGCCCAGATTATAGGCTGCTTCTGAGGTTTGGTAATATTGTACCAAGCCACAAAAACTTGTTGTAGCAAGTGCCAAATTTGAACTGCACATTGTTCCTAACAATGGTAGTGCTTCCCCTAATATGAAAAAGCCATTTCTCAATACAATGTTTACTGTTTATCCATGCAGACTTCTGGCTGTGACCCCGAACAACTTTAAAATCTAATCTGACAAGCATTGAAATAATATCTAAGAGAACATTTGGCTGATATTCACAGCTGGACTGCATTTAAACAATAAACTTACTACCTGGTAACAACCACAGAGGGCTTTTATTTTCCAAAGTGCAGACAGGAAAGGAAGTTATTAGTTCTTTGCCAGGCACATTTCTGAGACTGGCAATTGCTGTGCCTGGTTCATTATTAATATGTGTTCATACTCAGATTGTTGAGGTACTGTTGGTAATACTTGATATGCTACTGTTATGTATTGATGCAATAACAACCCGCATTTATATAGTGCCCTTCACGCAGGGTTGTGTCCCAGAGCATTTGAACTATGATGACATTCGCCTATTCGTATAACATTTTGGTAAACAGAAATCAGAACTATTTAGGCAACACCTAGAGTTATATGTATTCATAGATATCATGTAATTCAAAACAATATTCAACATTTTTAATTTAATATTATAAACAATACTAAGTTTTTTTTACTTATGATGGACTCTTACATCACTAGCAATATTTGTATATTAGCATGAATACCACAATTGTTACATAATAAAAAAATTAATTATTAGTTAAGATAGTAGTATTAACAGAGTAATATTACTGATATTCATATTATTAACATGCACCCTGGTGCGTTATTGTTCAGGATTATTACAATCTTGCTATTGATATTTATGTTCATTACCGAAAATATTTGTATTGTGAGCAGATTGTTGCACTGAAATTCATGCAAATAACCAATGGCACATTTTTATTGTATGTGGATACTTTGACATTGACACAACTTGGAAAAATACAGATTAATAGAAAAAGTCCTTCTGACGAACCATGAGAAGAATAAGATGCCACGATTGGGTCACGATGGCATTTTGTATGGGTTTCCTAATGACTGTTCTACACGCTAGCCCTTGTGAAATAAATAACGAGGTGAGTTTGCAGTCTCAGTTTATTGACCAACATTGGGAAGATTTGAAGTTTTTATTCCTTGACTGATTGTTCAAGTATAACCCTGAGGAATGAGTGACGCTGTAAGGGAAAGCATGATGTAAATTGATACTCTACAAATGAGCTGACCTGAGAACTCCCAAGTGTTAATATTGTGCACAAGCTGAATTATACTCTTATATGTGTTCGCCTGCAAATATAGTCACTACACTTTAGAGTAAAATCCTATGAAACGCTTTAAAATGACAACACGCTAAATCAAATGCACAATGATACGATTAATATTATGATTTATGATAGATAAGATTCAAAATGATGAAATAAAACATTGAAACTCTTTATGAAAGATCATGGACAATCATTGAGATGAAACTAACCAGCCATTTGAGAACAGATGGATTATCAGATTTAGGAATTAATACAGATTATTTTATAATGATATGATTAATATTTCTGGCCAACATAATTTTTCCTTTGGCCAACATGGTCAGATTTAAGTTTAACCTGCGGAAAAACTTGTAACTGAAATTTGTAATTGGAAATTTGTACGTATTTCCCAGGGGACAGCAAACTGCAATGGGAGGAAACTTCTGAATATCCCGAAAGATCTTCCTGCCAATTTGACAAGTTTGGATTTGTCACACAATTGGGTGAATGTGTCTGATCCAGATAACTGCAGACAACTGCAGGCATTTAAAATCCTGATCTTCCTCAACCTTTCAAATAATCACATCCCAACTCTTAACCGTGGGATCTTCACGGACATGAAGACTCTAAAATTGTTGGATCTGAGTCACAACAATATGGCTTCACTCCACCCTGGTGCCTTCCAAGGTCTTTCTAGTTTACACATCCTGATTCTGAGAAATAACAGGATAAAAAACGTAACTCCTGAGCTTCTGAATGGTATGCAGAAACTTATGACACTGGACCTAGCAAACAACAGACTGACCACAGTGACAACCCAGTTGTTACAGAAATTCAGTGCACTGCAAGAAGTTCAACTGAAGGGAAATCCCTGGGTATGTGATTGCTCACTGTACCCACTGCAGCAATGGCTGATGACTCGAAATGGTAAGTGACATATTTAATTTGTGTCCTATTAAGTTTGGTCTGAGAAGACTTTGCTCACAGACAAACCCATCCACGGCCACAAGAGGACTGTAAGCCTGACAGTCCTAGTTTACATTGCAACCTACAGCTATTAATCTGAAGCTAGTCCAAAGCATACAATGTTCAAGGAATTAGTAGATATCTGGGGCCTCCAGAGCATGGGATAGTCAGTATTAATGTATAGAATGGTCCTGACTCACAGCCCAGACATCACACTCAAAGCACAGTGCAGAATTGTCAATCAAGATATGCAAAGAGACAACGTTGCTCAGAATTCCCTCTATACACAATCTCAGCCTAAGTCAGGTCCATCCAAGGATATCTAAGGCAGTCAGTATAGCCATATACAATATACAAGTACTAACAATCCTGTAATAGCTGTAGCAGATGAAGAAACAAGAAGACCAATGTTTGGTATGTTTTTGCCAGAAGCGTAAGTAACAAATTGGACTGAGACAAACTACTGTATACATAATGTGAAATGAATGGAGTAAATATGCTTGTATTTTTTCCTTTATCTTTTAATAAGTATCCTGCCTTTTTGGTTTTCCTCCGCAGTACACTCTTATTGAGGTACAATAATTGATTTCTGTAAAATGTACAGTAAAATAGTGACACTGAATAAATAAACTGCTTAACAAAGCACCACTTATGCAAAATTTACAATAATTTTATGCAGTTATAAACAAGCAAATGAAATCCATTACATGGCTGTTTGTGGGACATTGCTGTGTGCAAATTATCGCTCGACCAATTGCAAAGATTTTTTAAAAAATTAACAAAAAATGTAAAAAGTTAAATCATATCAATCAATCAATCAGTATTTCATGCCATTCCTTTGTCAGCAGCTGGAAGATGAAAATAACTACAAAGGATAATTAAAATAGCATTGTGAAAGTCCTTCTGTCCTTCTGTCAGATTCCATGGAAGACATACAGTGTGGCCACCCTCCTGATCTCCCGGGTAGGACCATACTGACAATGTTGTGTCCAATAACTGGTGCAAGAATGATCAGAGGAATCCGAATTCCTCGTAATACAAACAATTCGACGTCTACAGCTCCATATGTCTCCATTGCGAGTAAGTTTTGCTAATAACAAACAGATGAACAAAACTGGACAATTAGTCATTGGCATTAACTAGGTCTGTTGATCATTTAAAAAGCGGTTAGTTATTTGTTATAAAGCTTCACTTGATGATTATTTCCCCTCCCCCTAAAAATTTGATAGTTGGTCACCATTACATGTATCTGGTCATTAATTGTTAATTGCTTAAAAAATAGTGATTACTAACTTTTTTTTTGTAAATGAAATCAACTTTCTTTAGCGATGTTTATATGACATTACTGAAGCTCAGTGAGATAGAATATTTTTTGTGGATGAAGAGATAGAACACATGGATTTGTCAGCCTGGTACAAAATTAGTTTTCTCATGACATCTATTTGCATCTAGTTTGCATAGATTCACATTACGTTTTCTTCAGGGCATTCGTGTAGATTGTGGACTCCTTTTGCTTAGTGGTTAGAGCGCTCGCCTCACAAGCAAGAGGACCTGGGTTCGATTCCCGGCAGGATGAAATGTTGGGCATGTTTCCATACTCCACTGGGCTCCATTTACCCAGCAGTAAGTAAGAACCCGGTTGTTAGTCGATTGGTGGTTGCATTTCCGGGGATAATAACACCTTAAAAAAAAATCTGGTCATTCAATCCACGACTGTTTGTGGGACACTGCTATGCGCAATTGGCTGCTGCGTTTCGCCCACAGAACATTCAGTCACTACACTTTACAGTATTTTGTGTGAAGCGCTTTGAGACGTCTAGAAAATGCGATTAGGCACTTATATCAAATACAAGGATTATTATTACTATTATCTCGATGAGGGCACTTTGATGTTTAATTACCATTTATTTATTGAAATTTCCAGCATCACCGTCACCACCAACAAAAAGTGCAAATACCTTGCGAGTTCTGCTTGGGGTCCTGGTCACTGCTATATTACTCTCTGTGCTGATAGCAATTGCTGCAAAATGTAAACTCTTTCACAAATACCTCGCCAGCTACAGCCACCAACTGCTGCCAGAGCAAGACAACTGCTCAGCTATTGTGACCATTAGCAACAGTGGAGAAAGACAGACAATTGGGGCTCAGGTGATGTTTCCACCTCCAGGGCTCGATGAGGATGATGGTTACATTGAGGACAATTACATTCAGACCGAGGTAAGGGAAGAGGAAGATGATGATGAGCTACACGTTGCCATCTAACGGGAGAAAATGAACAAGGAACAGATCCACGTTTCCCTCACCCAGATAATAAAGGCTCGACACTCTTGCAGAATATCCAGCTCTTCAGGATTTTTAAAAAAACGCACAAAATCATAGAATCAATTTGAAGAAAATTCAAATTTTATTTCTGTCTTTAAAAACGATCTATTCAATTTTCTTCGGAGGTCAATGCTTCTTGTTTGATGTAATTTGAAATCTGCTGAAACATTTTCCTGCAGTTGTACTTTTCTTATCAAACCTTGATACATTCTCACATCTAGGTAACGTCCCTCCATACAGTATGTCACCCTTATTTGCCTTCACAATAAAGCTCAATGGAAGGAAATGACTGGGGAAAATTGCTTTGAGTGGGGGAAAAAAAAAAGGAAGAATATGTTCAGTTTAACTTCAAGCCTCAAAATGGATGCTCTGGAAATGAAAGAGGACATGCGGGTCACCAGTAGGATATCCTACTGCTGACTGGAAACCAGCCTGCCAGATTGTGAGGTCTTACAGGCAACTTACAAAGGGTCGTGGCTTGAACCTGAGAGTTTGCGAGGAAACATGAACATGGAGGGAGAGGGTGGGGGTTGTGGGGGGGGGGATGTGGGCGCTTATGTGTCTCAAAAAAAAATCATAGCTCGAGGAAAGAACTCACAACATAGCTCAATGTGTATGTACAAGACTGACCTTGCAGCATAGGGAGGGAAGCAGAGGGGAAAGAGGGAATCTCAGATCTAAGTAATGTCCCCGCATATAAGGACTCGTGGAGTCCTGTAGCTCAGTGGTTAGAGCACTCGCTTTGCAAGCGAGAGACCTGAGTTCAATTCAAGGCAGGGCGAAACCTTGGGCAAGTTTCCTTACTCCACACGCCTAATAATAATCCCTCCAAAACCAAAAAAAAACAATAATAAATTGGTCATTTTCAATCTACGACTGTTTGTGGGACATTGCTGTGCGCAATTGGCTGCCGCGTTCGCCCACAAATATACAGTCAACTCACTTTACAGTGTGTTCTGTGAAGCGCTTTGGGACGTCCTCCCGACGTGAAAAGCGCTATATCAAATGCAAGGATTATTATTATTATTATTATTATTATAATTAATGACCACCCCATTAGCAGTGGACAACAGTGGGTTCCAGAAAACTGCTCATTGAGTAATGTTGAGAGGAAATGACCTGGATCACAAAGGCTGCTTCAAAATTAGTTCTTCATATCCTATGTAATTGCTTTGCGTACAATATCCCATATATTATATATTTTGATCTTTCGTAGAGAGACACTGACAAATAATGTCACATCCAAAGTTACTGCTAAATAATGACACTAAACATTTGGGTTTAAAGGCCACTTAATAGCATAAGATCACATTAGTTTGGCAATGGAACATTGTAAAATGTGAATCAAGACTGCTGTAACAAAGAAATGTTGTTGTACCTTAAATATATTGTGCGGGACCAGATTGAGTGTGTATATTCATCCACAGTGCTTTCATTAGAAAGATCTGAATAAATCAAGATATTTTATAGAAACAATTATAGTGCTATACAAATGGCTATAGGATCACAATGTTCGATGTACTTTAAGAATTTTATCCAATTGATTTGTTTTTTTGATTCTTGAAATTAAACTTTACGGAAACAGTAGTTCATTCTGCTGAGATTACTGCCTCTACTGCTGAATATTCTTTGATGTTAAAATGTGGCATATGATGTGATAAAATCCCATGGTGGGACTTTCCAACATTCCTCTCCTGAAGATTTCTCTGCACGAGATGAAATAGGATCTCCTGCTCCGACTTCAGTCAAATGAAGAAGGGGAATTTCTCCCAGCGTACTGGCCAACAATCCCCCAGAGAAAATTGATCAGTCACTTCATGTTTGACATTGTTGCGAGCAAAAACTGGCTGCTGTGTTTACCAGCAAAATACAGTCCTTACACTTTACTGTACAATCCTATGAAACACTTTCCAATGTCCTCTCAATGAGAAAGGTACTATATTCATTACATTGAGGCTCGACTATGCAAACTCACTGCTTGTCGGCCTCCCCAACTCCTCCCTCCACAGGCTGCAGATCATCCAGAACTCTGCAGCCCGTGTCCACTCCCGCACCAAACTCTGTGACCCTATCACCCCCATCCTTGCCCAACTCCACTGGCTTCCCATCACACAGAGGATACATTTCAAGATCCTGGTTCTCACCTTCAAAGCCCTCCATGGTCTAACTCTCCGACCTCCTAACCCCCTACCATCCTGTTCGCTCCCTCCGTTCAGCGAGCTCTGGCCTGCATCACGTCCCCCGCCTTGCTAACCCCATTATTGGCGGGACGGGCTTTCCGCCACTCTGCGCCCACGGTCTGGAACTCCATCTCACAGTTCCTCTGTCTCGTCCCCTTCCTCGCCACCTTCAAGACCCAACTCAAGACCCTCCTCTTCGACCGTGCTTTTGATCTCCCTGCTTCGCCCCCTTGCCCTCCTCCACACCGACCCTCAGCTCGGGTCCGTAAATCTGTCTGTCCAGCGCCTTGGGGCGCCCTCCCGACATGAAAGACGCTTTACACATAATTTTGTTGTTTGTTGTTGTATATTAAATGCAATTATTATTATAATTATTGTAATAAGAAATGTGTTTGTGGGACTCTGTGTGGCATGTGCCAGAATGTGTTTATATAGTGCATGTGGGATTCTGGATAGAAAGCTCTGCAGTGTACACGTGTGGGTCATTGTGTATCTCATGCATGAATACATAATTCTGAGAACATACATGGGCAGATATGAGGACTTGGATTGTGCCTATAGGTATAGATTATGGGCATGTTGGGATGGATAGATGTGAGTGTTTTGGATACAAGAGTGGGTCTATATATATATATATATATAGGTGGGGTGTTAATGTGTGTCCACAATATGTGCAAATGAAGTGCAGGGGTAATGATCTACATTTGCATTCTCTGTACTTAGATTTCAACATAAAGTTTCTACGATACATACAATGTGGAATACCAATGTTAGGTAACCACTATTACAGTAGTTATATTATACAACTCGTATTTGATTTGGTTGGTATCTTATCGCGTCTTTGAGACGTCTCAAAGCGCTTCACGGGATATACTCTAAAGTGTAGTGACTGTATTTTGGCAGCCAATCGTGCACATCAGGGTCCCACAAACAATGGTAAACCACGAATGGCAAATATCGGGGGTGCATTTTTAAAAATAAAACATCTTTTTTTCATTTTTCCAGCAAAGGCAATCAATTTGTCCCACTACAGCTCTGGTGAAGAACAGACACAGACACACAGCACATGTGCCAAACACATTACACCACCAGTTGAGTAACAAACACCCTTTGTCAATTGGTTGTAATTGTATACTAAAACCTCCTCTACATCACATGTCCTTCCTGCTTCCTGTCCAACACAGTTTCCAGAAGTTAAATAAATAAAGGGCTGTATTTGCAAATGTTCAAGGGATGAAACCCGACTTTCTTTTTTTTTCTGGGGAGGGGGGTGTGTGTGTTGTGTTGTTGCAACCAGGAGAGCAATAACACAAGAGCAAACGTTAATAAAGAAATACTCCCTCTGCCAGTCTTTGCATTACTAAGTGCATGTGGTGGGGTGGGTGTTGGCACTGTACCAGAAGAGGTGCACTTTTTGTGTGAATGGTATATAATTCTATGTGTGAACAGAGCAACGTGTATATATATATATTTTTGTTGAGGTGGAGGTCAGGTGAGAGCTCTGGACCACCCATCACCATCACCACCACCACCACCACCACCACCATCACCATCACCACCATCACCATCACCACCATCACCACCACCACACACTCAGCATTCCTGCAGGTGTGGATTGACAGGTTGTCCTGTCTGTCTGTGTCCACTGTGTGGGGTGACGTGGAAGCAGAGGATACGGAAACGAAGAAAGGGGGAAGAAGAAGAAGAAGAAGAAGAAGAGAAACCAGAGAGGTGACAGAGAGACAGAAATAAAATAATAATAAAGCAGAGAGAGAGAGGGAGAGAGAGAGGGAGAGGGAGGGAGTTGTTCTGAGCATCATGTCAGCCTCAGCAGTGTTTGTCCTGGATCTGAAAGGGAAGGTAAGTCAAAAAAAAAAAGCTGAGAGTTTTATTGCTGTTATTAGTACTCATTACACACACACAGATACTCACACACACTCTCTCACTCACTCTCTCACTCACTCACACACATCAGTACCTGAGCACCAGGTGAGCGCTGCGACTCCACGTCTCTCAGTGACTGGAGTTGAATGGCAACACCTGGAGTCACCGACTCTCCTTTTTTTCTCTCTCTCTCTCTCTCTCTCTCTGGAGAGAAAAGTGGGGGAAAGGGAGGAAAAAGGGAAGGTTCCGATCGCGATCCACAGACAGTCGTCTCATCCTCTCACCCACTCAAATGGGACGTTTGTCGCAGTTGTAACTGCAACTTGTATTGACCTCATCTCTCTTTCATTTTCCTAATGAGGTCTATACCCTTGAACTGACGACCCCCACACACCACCCCCACCCCCCACCCCACACACGACCACCACCCCCACCCCCCCCCCCCCCACCCCCCCCCCCAGACTCACACAGAAATCGCCGCCCGTCGATCGCGAACTAATCACTTCTGGTTTTCTTGAGGATCCGCTGCCGCGTTTCGCCCACAAGATATATATCCTGTGAAGCGCTTTGAGACGTCTCGAAGACGCGATAAGGCGCTGCATCAAATGCAAGGATTGCGATTATTATTATTATTATTATAAAAAAAGCTTTTTGCACAGAGATGGGGGGTGTGGGGGGCGGGGGGGGTGGGAATGGGATTGAAGCCGTACTACTTACAGAGAGCCAGACATGGACCAAAAAATGGTCTTCTGTGCTGAAATATTATTCTGTGATTCCAAACGTATCTGACCTCCGAGAAGGGCGCTATTGTGAACGCAATTAGTTGTTGGTGTCGTATGACTGTAACGTCACGTTGCTGAAAGATCATGAGATGCTAACGTGTTAGATGCCCCTCTCCGCACCTTGTCAAAGATTGTCCGCTAACAGTGACCAAGACACGAATTCGTGCTCACAAAGGGCCCAGCAGAAAGTCATGATTCCGATCCTCGAAGCATTTCTTTCAGGATATATTTAAATGTTTATACGATGTGTGGAACACTAGAGAACACCATAATGTCAGCCTTTGAGTACTTTGGATCTCAAATCAGTCCTCCGCTGTTTGTTCATTAGTTGACCGTGTTTCATCTGCCTTTGAAGCATGAAAGGTGATGACGTCGGAGGCTGAAACAATAATAATAATAACCCTTGCATTTGATACAGCGCCTTATCACGTCTTCGCGACGTCCCTCTTGAAATAATGCCTGGATGCGGGTAGTTTTTGGTGAGGCATTTTGTTTCTTCGATTCATTTTGCTTCTTTGATTTGTTTTATTTCTTGTCAGGTTCTGATATGTAAAAATTACATGGGTGACATAGACATGAGTGAAATTGACCACTTCCTGCCGATGCTGATGCAGATGGAGGAGGATGGACCTGGTTCACCCATCTTCACCCATGGACATGTTCACTTCCTTTGGATAAGGCATAGCAACCTGTATCGTATCCTTTCCTATGTCAGCTCTGCTGAGGGCATGTTCCAAAGAGTTTTGTGTTATTTCTATCATGGTGGGGAGGGGGGAAAGAGGGAGAGGGATGTTGTGAGCTGAATCTCTATTATACCCTTTATTGTGGTGGAAACTTTGCTGTGTTGCTGAATTTGGACATATCTGTGATGGGATATTTGCGGGATTTATAACACTGTTCTCATCGCATAAGATTTTCCTACATATATGGAACTCTCAGGCTACTGTGGATACTCTTAAGCGGGGTGATGGGATCGTACGTTAGACACCTGGCTGACCAAAACAAAAAGATTTTTATATAATTCATGGTTTCTTTATTCACACATAAATATCTAATGAAATCAAGTGCCATGGATGTATACATTGGAATTATTACCATGTGCCCAATAAACAGCTGTTGTGCCTCACTAAAGCTTAAGCCACAGATATTAAGTTGCTTATAAAAAATATAAGTAAAACAATATTTACAGCATGCATTTTATTGAATGCAGACTGAATTAATTTAGAAACGAATAGCTTCCAAGAGACCTTATTTATGAGCTGATTGAAGCTGCAACTTTATTGAATACAAATGAATTGCTGTATTTATTATTTGAATTGCTTGGCTTTGAGAGTGATCAGCATAGTTTGAGGCTGACCCACACTGGTGAGGCATGCCTAAACCTTTACTTTAGAATGCGATTGACTTCTTCTAAGGTTTACTTTCTTTAATCTAACACACACAGTGGTGGCAGTGACAAAGAAAAATGGAAATGCAGCCTTAGTTTTTTCATTTTTGTACAAAATTATTCAGGTGAGTCTTTTTACTCATTTCACATGTTCTCCACACTATCACATTCACATTTAAATTGCTCCCAAACTGAATTCTGCTTGACTGCTGCATTCTTACTGAACCATAGTGGTAGATTAGACTGCCTTAGTCTCTCTCTCTCTCTCTGAACTGCGCTCCCCAGCCTCATGGATTGACTTCACGTCTTCTAGACTTCTCAAAGTGCTTCACAGAATATACTGTAAAGTGAAATAACTGTATATTTGTGGGCAAAACGCGGGAGCCAATTGCGCACAGCAGTGACCCACAAACAGTCGTGGATTGAGTGACCAAATTTTTTTTTTTTTAAGGATTATTATCCCCAGATAAGGGATCCGTCAATTGAATAATAACCGGGTTCCTACTTACTGCGAGGTGAACAGAGGCATCGTAGAAGCATTGTCATTGATGCCGGGTCACTGAGCCACAGGAAGAAATTCTCCTCCCAGAATGATAGCCCAACCGCATCATTACAACAGTGAAAGGTGTTGCAAGGATACAGTCACTGTTCTCCCCCTCACCAATTTTTCCCCTCATTTTCTAAAGGCATTTTATTTTTTTTCTCTTTCTATGGAGTAGGCCCCCTGCTGTTACAACAGCATTCATTATTCATGTCTGAGCCTTGGCAGGGAGTGTCGACAGCTAATCTACCTTGAGAGCATCACAAGCCCTGTCCTGTCTTCCACACGTGAGCATCTACAGCAGGAGTCGGAACCTTGGCTATTTTTTTCCTTAGCTAACTTGAGGTCCTAGCTAACTTGAGGTACATTACCCCTTGCTGTCACCATGGCAGAGATCAACCAATTCCCCCACAGACTTACCTTGAAGCTGGGAGCTCTCCCATTGCTGGATTGAAAAAAANCACGTAAACGTTTGTATCATTTTCAGGTTTTCACAGAATATTTCAAGGAGGTCGAAGAGGAAAGCATTCGGGATAACTTTGTCATTGTTTATGAGCTTTTGGACGAGGTGATGGATTATGGATTTCCACAAACAACAGACAGTAAGATTCTGCAGGAGTAAGTGCAGATTGAGTGCACCAAACAGATAGTTTATTTTTACCCAAGGTGGTTAGCTATAATCATTTGCTGCTGCACTACATCACCTTATGAGATCCCAACGATAAATTAATCTGTAAAAATGACGTGTTACTTTTATAATATTTTTTCAGTCACAATGTGTAGCAGCTGCACTGTCTGATGTTCTGTGACGTGCCATTTACACCTTGCTGCAAGTTTTGGTCCATTACAGAGAGTCATGATTCATGAGTTACTTTAGCAGATTCTGGGCTCTAGAGTTTGTGAGCAATAACCTCTCACTCCTACTGAATGATACTAAGTAGATAATTGAAGTGAAAGATCATGAGTACGACAGCGAATAAAACAAACCTGTTCGGTTGAACATTAACGATCCCATTGCACTATTCGAACAGAGAAGAGAGTTTCTCTCAATGTCCTGACCCCTTCATGGCTGTTTGTGGGACAATGCTGTGTGCAAATTGGTTGCTCCGTTCACCTACAGAGATACAGAGCCACCACACTTTACAGAAAACTGTGTGAGTGCTTGGAGATGTTTTGATATGATAAGGCATTATATTAGATGGAAGGATATTATTATTGTGATTATACAGTGGAGCGGGGAGGCAAACCTCTAGCTTACAAGCATCTGCCCTTGTATGCGATTGTGTTCAACGACGGTGAAAGCTCACTTGGTTGGACAGTATGACTCACCTCCCTTGGGATCTCCCTTGAGAAAAGCACTGAAACCATGGCGATGACGTTCACCCTGTGTAGTCCAACATTACCATCTGTTGGTGAAAAGCTAGAACAGCATCAACAAGCAGTGCAAAGAGAAGAGAGTGTGATCGTTCATGTCTCCTGGTAAATACACATCTAGCCTCTTTGACCATTGTCAGAGTTGACACCTCCTGCTGTCTCTCCTGGTATCAATATACAGGTTTATGCGTCCCATTTATCGGCCTGTGTATAGGCAATTGCGTTCTGCTCCTGTGACTCAATTCCTTAATTCTTCATTTTAATGATGGTGTAATTTAGTGAACCGCTGCTTAATTTTATGTATGAATCCTGTTTCTGTGAACATCGCAGCAAAATGACATACCACGCCTCCATATGCCACACCACGCCAGCTCCTTCTGTGCTGTATAATTGTATGATTCTATGATATCCCCGGTGCCAGTTCAGTGAATCCTACCCCCATGCCTCGGGGAACCTCCATCTACTGTATCATCATACCCAGGGGAAACTCTGTGTACCACACTCCTCGTGAGCAGCTATGTCTATGCCATGCCACCCCCCCCCCATACCCAAGGGGCATCTCTGTGCACTCCACCCTCATATCCAGTATGCAATTTGTTGTACAGTCATTTGCCATGATAACCCATTTTGTGATCGGGCACGTTTCAGCATACATCCAGTACTAAACACTAAACCATGGGCAAAACCTAGTACAACCCTTTCCTAGGGCAATGACACAGCCCAGGTACCCTTTCCTTAGATTCAGATGAACATAACCAGACAAAGAAAGAATAAAAGTCTTGCAATTTAATTGCGCCTTCTCACGTCAAAATACCTGAAAAAGTAATTACTGTCACGTGGATTGAATGGTTTTGTAAGTACAAAACAACCATCATTCTGTGGCTTGCACTGTAACTCCGTTGCTAAAAGTTCCCATTCCTGTTCACTAGGCCATGTTAAAAGGGGAATCTCATTGCTGCTGTGCACCTGCTGCTCATTACACTCTTTGGACGAGTCATCCCAGAGGATTGCCACCACCACTGCAAACTATAAACAATGTTATTTTCATCAGGTTCAATCAGCCCTTCAACATTTGTGTATTTACCAAATTGACACAAAGCACTTCTAGAAATAGATTAGATTGCAGCTGTATTTTTTTTTCTCTCCATGGGATCTCAAATTATTTTTTCCGATAGAAATATCTGATGCATTTTCTTAACTGAATTCTAAGACCGATTCTTGGACAGTGAATGACAGCTTGAGGAGCACTCCTGGGTTGGATAGGATATCTTGATACCCAGTGCATCTTAAGCCAGCTGGGCTATCAATGGCAGATAAGTGTCAAAGGTGTAACAAGGTATATCAAGTCCTATTCTGTTGCAGGTGTCTGTATGGTCTCAAGATATTTTAAGTCTATCGCTGAAGTGGATGGAATTTGACTGCAAGAAGCCCACGGGCCGGTTAATGATGCTTCATTTTTTAACCATTATCATCAGGTACATCATGCAGCAGGGACATAAGCTGGAGATTGGAGCTCCGAGACCTCCAGCCACCCTTACAAATGCAGTGTCTTGGAGATCAGAAGGTGTAAAGTACAGGAAGAATGAGGTGTTCATTGATCTGATTGAATCTGTCAATTTATTGGTGAGCAGCAAGGCCTATAACAGTTAAGAGTTAGCTCAGTCTCCCGCAATCGTTTGGCTATTCTCTTATTGTTTGTTGTGATCGGCAGGTGACTGGCTATATGAGAAATTGGGAAGCTTTCCGAGCACCCCCATGTTTGGCTGTCGAATGGCCCCACATAGTTTTAGCATTTCATCAAAAAATGATTGTGTTACACCGACAGTGTTTAAATTGTGAGTAATTAAAGAAAACACCTTCAATTTCATCGAATCATAGAATCTTACCGCACAGAGGAGGCCATTCTGCCCATCGTACCCATGCCAGCTACCAACTAGTTCCACTCCCCCGCTATAATTTTGGTACAGGCATGGCGGGGGNAGGGAGAGACTGCTTTATAAACTGTGAAGAAAGAAATGCAAAATTGAAGACATCCATTATTCCCCTCCTCACACATATTAAAATGAATGAAGTTACAAACTCCTCAAAAGATACATAGCTAAATTCTTATGCACTGCCTGCAATGACACTGACTCTGTGTGTGTGTGTGTGTGTGTATGTGATGATCCAGAATAAGAGTGTGGAGAAAGAATTAGAAAATAGGATTTGATTTGATAGCTTCACAATATATTGAATGACGTCTTTCTACGGTGAACTATCTATTACTTTGTCAGTGCTGAGTGTGGTAATTCTGACTCTGTGTATATGTGCATGTCTATCTCACTACTGGCAGCGATTCTGACTTTGTCTGTCTTGGTTGCATACAGTAAGGCTATCTTGGCACTGCTTGTGGTAACTTCATTTTACTGGTGTAAAGCAGTCTTTTTTGTTGATCTAGGTGAGTGCAAGTGGCAGTGTCTTGAAGAGTGAGGTCGTTGGGAATGTAAAGTTGAAGGTAATCCTGTCGGGAATGCCAGAGCTGCGACTTGGGCTCAATGACAAAGCGCTGTTTGAAATCTCCGGACGTAAGTAATAGGTGGAACGAGGAGCAGAATTGATTTATTTCCACTTTAACACTGGTCTTAGAAAGGGTTGGTGGGATTGGATTGGGTGAGTACAGTCGATTTGAACATGGCCTCTTTTCATTACTGACATCTGGGTGTGAATAGAGCCCAGCCTGATCAGATAAACAGCCATATAAGAGCACCGATCAACAATAAATTGTCAGTCCCAGTCACAAATGTTTCACTAGTGCAGCAGGGATTGTTGTACAGCCAGATAATAAGAGCTGGATGCAGTGTTGGATCATTAATTTACCTTCCTTAGTGACCAGAATGCGGAGGTCCCTAAAGCAGCAGACATTGTGACTTGGTTTGGATTCCTCCTTTGCCTTAATTTTTTTCTTTCTTTCAGGGGACAAGAGTAAATCTGTGGAACTGGACGACGTGAAGTTTCATCAGTGTGTGCGCTTGTCTCGCTTTGAGAACGATCGAACCATTTCCTTCATTCCACCAGATGGAGAGTTTGAGCTGATGTCTTACCGTCTGTACACTCAGGTACGTGGCACCCTCGGATATCTGCGGGTAAAGCCCTGACATTATTGTAAACCTGTAATACTAATCCTTATAATAATCCTTGCATTTGAGGTAGCACTAGGTAGATTCACTTTTCTGTGCACTGTACCAGTAGCTAAAGAGCACATAACAATCAATTAGTTTCAGATCATTATTAGCTGTTAACAACTTAAAGTAAATAGCATATACAGTGTTTTGTTCTCCTAATCAACACAGGATATACAGTAAATCCTGTATATTATTCAGTGGGATGAGGGAGGTTGGCACATTGCATGAATGTATCTGCATAAATGCATCTATCTCTCTGTCCTTGATCTTTAAAAAGCAAATGCCGATATCAAGATTCCTTTGCAAAAAANTGAACGGTCACGAAGAATTATCATTAAACTAACTTGCTTTTGTTTCAGCTTGTTTCCGAGTTTTCTAAAATAAAAAAAACTCTTTAAACTGGTGATATTGTTGGACGACTTAGTCTGCCTGTCTCCGTCTGTAAAATGTCGCATGACTATTCATCAAAGCCATCTGTTTGCAGGTAAAGCCTTTAATATGGATTGAGTCAGTGATTGAGAAATATTCGCACAGCCGAGTGGAAATTATGGTAAAAGTACGTAATTCTGAAACTCTAGCACGGATATTTACTAAATGGTTTTAATTGTGCGTCCTAGAAAAGTCTGTTCCTTGGAAAACCACCTTTAGTGAGGTGCCCTATTTCTCTGCATTTACCTGTCTGTACACATTTTCTGGTTCCCTTTGTGTAATCCAACTTTTTAACACTACTTCCTCTAAATTTAGGCCAAGAGTCAATTTAAACACCGCTCCACAGCAAACAATGTGGAGATTTGTGTGCCTGTTCCAAGTGATGCTGACACACCAAAGTTCAAGACCAGCACAGGCAGTGCAAAATGGCTCCCAGAAAAAAGTGTTGTCAACTGGTCAATCAAGTCTTTCCCTGTGAGTAACCCAGAAGGTCTACACGACTCAAAATACTGTACTGATGCAGAATGCAATGGAGCAGAGTGTACGTCATGCATCACACCATGCACCCTGATTCATGCTCTGCATTCTGCTGCTTTCTTGATCTCTGGAATACTGCCGTGACTCTGTGAAAATAGACTGGAGTAGGTTGGGGTGTGTTTTAAATTTGGTTAAGCAAGCTAGCAAATATATAATGTGTATGCGTGTGGTGTGTGCACACGTACATATCCAGCGCCTTAGGATGTCCTCCCGATGTGAAAGGTGCTTTGCAAATGTAATTTATTATTGCTGTTGTGGATGAGATAAGGTTAGCTAAGTCTGTTTGCTGACTACAAATGAATGCCAGTTATTACCTTTCTTGGCTACTGAGCTCCTCCGAGTGACTGACTAGTAGCAATGGCATAGGCAGGACAGCAGTTTGCTTTATTAGCCCGAGAGGTGCATTTCATTGCCAAGGTGTACAGGGAGTGAATGGAGAGCTTCACACCCTGCTAAGAGAAGCAAAGGAAAATAAATATAGTGATAGAACAATTGAACAACTCTGCAATGCTCTCCTCAAAACCTAAAAGCGTCATTTTCTAGAATCAGTCTCATTGCTCTTTTCTGAATCCTCTCCAATCTATTCATTTTGAAAGTTAGGTACCAAAAATTAAATTTTGATTTGTATTAAAGCAGTTTGTGTTATTAGTCAGAATAGCAATGAGGGTGAATATGAGGGAGAGTTTGGGTATTGTAGAAAAATTACTGTTTTGGGGCTGTTTGCATTATGTGAGCAAGTCCAGCATTATAACGTCATTTAGCTCACATAATAATAATAATAATAATCCTTTTACTCGAGATGGCTCAAAGAATGTCACAGAATATACTGTAAAGTGAATCGACTGTATATTTTGTGAGTGAAACTCGTTACTGCTCTGGAACTCTCTCCCTCAATCCCTCCGCCTTGCCCCATCCCTCCCCAGTTTAATCCCACCGAAAGACCTTCCTTTTTGTCTGAGCTTACAGTCACCTCCCTCTCCCCCTTGGCTCAGTGTCAGACTCCGCCACTGTCAAACGCTTCGGGACGCTACACCGCGTGAAGGACGGTATATAAATGCAAGTTGTTGTTGTTGTAGTACTGACTCTCACTTTTCTGTGCTCTTCCAGGGTGGAAAGGAGTATCTGATGCGGGCTCACTTTGATCTCCCAAGTGTGGAGGGTGAGATGGAGGCAAAGCCCCCGATTACTGTGAAGTTTGAAATCCCATATTTCACAGTCTCCGGAATCCAGGTCGGCAATTTAGTAATTAAATACACGTGAAAAACATTCAGCCTTTTGGTTAATAATGGTCTCATACTTGAGAAAGCTAAGGGTTAGATGATCTGATCGATTTAGAGTGCGACAGAATTTCAGGGTCTCTGGAATCCGAGATTGCTCTCGATTAGGTGTTGTAGCTTCTGCTCGTATCTCAGTGCTATCGTATCCAGACAGGAACAGAATGATTCAGATGTACATGAAGTGCCCTTTTAATGGCTGTTTGATTTATTTTTCTTTTATTAGGTGCGCTACCTGAAGATTATTGAGAAAAGTGGATACCATGCACTTCCCTGGGTTCGCTACATAACACAGAGTGGAGGTAGGGAAATCTCCCAAATAACTATGAAAAATAGTAAATAGTAGGATTTATTCTCAACCTCTCGGATTCAAGAATTTGATTGATCTGAAAAGTATCACAATACTTATTGCTAACATCTGCCTGGACAAGCATCTGTCCTTTGAGCTAATGGGGAGACTGGGAGAGTTTTTACAGTGTGAAAGTGAACTGATCTGTCCTGGAGAAATGGTACCTTTTTTCCTGTCTCTAATTGTGTTTTATTCCAGATTACCAGCTGAGGACAAATCAATAGCATCGCTGTCACCCAGCAGCATCCAATTTGAAGGACAACATTTTTGAATGAAGGAGAAAGGGAAGACTCTCTTCAAGGCTGTAAGTGGGTGGATGCCACACACCGAAAAGCCTTCACATCACTTCCACATACTGGATGGAAAAGATGTGACCATGTGTATCATTCTTCATTGCCGTTTGTTTGGTTTTTTACTGGTGGACACTTTATTGCTGCTCCTAGCAGGTTTCTCTGGTAGCTAGAACGTGTCAGAATATTACCGATCTTTCGATTGATTCATGGTCATTTTCAACACTGTAAGTAACGCTGTGGGAAATTTTGAACTAGTTTTACTTTTTGGGGTGAATCCTTGTGAAATTGGACCTGAAGCCCTTTACAAACTCTTCACTTCCAATAACAGTTTTCCGAAACATGGCCATTGACTGGGTTTATGTGGAAACAAAATAAATTGGATAAAAATTATAAGCCACATAAATATGATGACAATCAATGCAATTCCTGAATTATATAATAATGTTTAGTCCCCAGTTATTAAGGGGACTTGATGTGGAATCATCCCTACAAAGACTGTCATAAATAAACATTTCTATAAATCTCACTACTGCTCAGTTATGACAATATAATTCACAAGCTCAATGGAAACAGCTAGGAATAGACCTAGTATTGATACAAATACATTTTCTGGAACAGAACAATGTAAATGGCAGCTTTGTATTCAATACAAAGTTAGTTTCCTCATTTGCTGCACTTTCATCATTTACTACAACATCAACAACTTGACCCTGACAGCTCCACTACTTTATGATGAACTGGAATTGCAGTATATTAGAGTTTTGCATGAAACTCATCTGGAGTTTCTGATCAGTTCTGACGAATGAAACTATCAGATCTCTTAAATCTCTTGCATTGTTCCTCAAATGATAAAAGAGATGACAATCTTGATATAGTGTGTGTATATATATATATATGCTGTATTATTAGCTGTGGATGGGTCAGTCAATATTAATTGTTATGAGTGAGATCTAAAACTGGACCATTTCACCCTCTCTAATTACCTCCAGCACTGTTTTGTACTCTCCTGAGCCGCCAAGTTCAACAAGTGAAACGTTTCTCTCTCTCCATTTTCGTTTATTCATTCCAGCTATTCCACCTGAACCATTTTGTTTTGTCCTACATATGCTTGCGATTTGTTCATTTTCTGTTGAAAAAGTGGATTAAATTGTTGCTAATTGTTCAGAATTCTCCCCCCTCTCCCCCGTTCAATGAATGATGTTTAAATTCCGGTGGTTTCAAACTCCAACCTGTGTTACCGAATAAAAATTCACGATCAAAGCAGTTTCCTATGGTTCCGAACACAAATATATTCTCATCGCCTAACACTGAGAGCAATTCTATTTTAAATCCTACATTAGAAATCTAGCTTCAAAGAGAAAACAAATCATTGCTTCTTTATCAGTTGGAGCTTTCAAAGTATTTGAATGAAGCAAATAAGAATGCACGTAATCGCCACATTTAAATGTAAACATTTTCCTATTCTTTCTGTTCTGTTAAATTATATTTTAAACTCCTTGTGGTAGATGCTGAGTGAGCGTGGATAATATTCATTGTATTTTACAGTCAGTGACAGGCTCTGACACTCTGCTTACTTGTCCAGCTGCCATGATCTCAGCACTTGTAGTTAAAGCACACTTTGTTCATCACAACAGCTGTGCATATGCTGAGATGTGGGTTCCTACTCATCTATTGCGTACCAACGTGCTGGGTCCTCATGGGAGACACTGTGCATTTCTCCTGCAGAGTGAATCAGCCATTGTTAAGCAGAGAACCAGTATTGGTCTGGTCCTGTCACTAACAAACAAAACAAAAGCTGATTGCATTTTACTGGGGAGTAGGGAGGGATGGGAGGAGTTTATTAAAACAATTCACAAGATCCTCTGACAGAAATTTAACTTCGATTTCATTTAAGCTTCATCATGGCTTTCACACGTCAATGACAATGTGCTTAAAGTTAAGTGGCATTTCTAGGCAAACGTGTCAGTGAATTTGCATACACAGGCAGCCAGGACATGAATAACATGGATGTGAGTACAGTGTTGACAAACTAAGGGGCCGACTGCAGAATAGGTCTCACAGGGATCCAATCAATCGGGTCTATAAAACGGAAGGTGCAGGTCTGGCCAAGTGCAGACACACAATAGAGCTGGCCATAAACTGCTTACTTAAGAGTTTCTCCTGCAAATATTAATAATACTTGCCCTCGGCCACTTCGGATTACATTAAAACCCTGGCTATCCAGAATAATGGTGTGTGTGTGTGTGTGCGTGGAGATCTTGTCCAGTGACTCCGAATTTTCCAGCTCACCGTAATTACAATACCGGTAAATGTAACTACACTCATAATTGTTTGAATTCCATGAGCAGAAGATAGCGAATAAGGTTTCCTCTGATTGTGGGATTCAAACTGCGTCGAAGTCGATATCCCTGGCCACTGAAAGCCAGCAAGGATGGTGAAGCGGGGGTAAGCTGCTAAGAGAGGTGGGCCTAAGCATTCCAAGTCCCTGCCCTGCGTGAAGAGCGCTATATAAACACAAGTTGTTGTTGTTGGGCCGGCAGGAGTCTACACACGCGCGGAAATGTTTTTAAAAAATTTAGGTTTCAGGCCCGCTCTGGCTAGATACAAATTCCGGATACCCGGAGCTTGGTAATCAAGGGGTTTACTGTATTAGAAAACACAAATGCACAGAGTACTGACAGACAGACAGACAGACAGACAGACAGACAGACAGACAGACAGACAGACAGACAGACAGACAGACAGACAGACAGACAGACAGACAGACAGACAGACAGACAGACAGACAGACTGACACCATTCTTCACTATTCAAGAATTGCATTTATTATAAGCAGCTAGAAAGTGATGACGTTATTAACGCAGGCACTGAAATGACTTGCAGTTCAAACCTACTCAGAGAAAAGTGCACTAGTGTTTAACATGTGATTCATTTGGTTTCATAAAGTCCCTGAACTAATATCATTTAATGCATGGATTTGCTCTAATGCCAAGTAGTGAGGTAAAGGGAATTGTAATAATCCTTCAGTAATTTAATTAAATTAGTGCTAAAATCTTCACATTTTTACTTTTTTGTATTTTACACATTTCATATTTATTTCCCAGTTCAACAGAATTACAAGTTTTAGTTTACGTAGTTTGCGATTAAATAGCACAAATTAGATATAATTACTCTATTACGATTGATATTAACACAAACCTACATTAAATTCCATTGTTAATAAAGAGTTTGCAAGTTTAATCCTTTCCTAACATTATATCAGTCTTAACAGCTGAAGGTAGCAATGTTGGGAGAAACTCAGTGCTCCAGTGAGCTCAATCTCATAGCTCTCTTAGTTCGAATGCAATTGCTACTGTCTCTGCACTAGATTAGCTCTACTGGAGGAAGTCTCCTCTCCGAAATGCCTCCAGAAATTATATAAACATTTGGGATCCCTCTGCTCGGAGACCTGGCTCCGATCTGGGGACAGAATTTGATGATTAACATATAGACAAGGAGTGAGAGGAGAATCGTGGAACCAGCAACGGTGAGCGTCACCCCTGCGACTAACATGTCATTCCAGGGTATATCTGCAAGGTAACCATCAGACTTAGCCAGGATAGCCAGTATGCAGCCACAGGTTACTAACATAGACCCAGCCACCAAACACACCAGATGATCAATTAACCCTCCACTCCTTAAAATGTCAATCTGGGCTCGATTCCTCATACAGTTCATATCCTGGATAGCAGAGCTCAGCAACTGCTTCAAAAGAATCAGCAAAGCTAAAAGACACAGTACAGTCCCCACTCCAATCCTCCATTCACTCGATTTACTTGTAGCAGAAGACAATAAAACAATTCCCCCAACTCCAGTTCCTAGAATTAGGACCACAGCCCCAGAATAACACAAAATGGATCTTTTAGGATCTTCGAACCACCATAGATCCATCTGATCCTCCAGGATACTCTGCTGGATCCGGGCACGATCGGCTGGTAAACGCCCAGAGGAGATTTCAGAAAGCTCAGACATTGGCAAAACATTCACGAGTTACCAACACATTGGTGAAGTACAAGACCAAATCTCCCCAAAGTATTAAAGGTGATATCCTGAATAAACAGATACTAAATCTAAGGGATGTTCTTCAAATGGATGAATTCAGGAACACAATTCTTCGTAAAGTCAACGTTGACAAAAGCAAAACATTGAACAAAATAGATATGATCCATATGATACATCGAATTGAGATTCTTCAATGTAAAGAAAGATCCTTACTTCAATGTCCTGTAGATATTTTAAGCTCGAGTCTCTGGCTGGACAGAACAATTCGATGATGCTGTCTGGAGAACAAATCTCTCAATTTCAGATTGACTGGAAATTCCACTCATTCGATGGATTAAACTAAATCAGACCACATTCTCAACCAGAGAAGTTTTTTCAAGAATCCTGCCTTGTTCGAGCCGTAGAAGCTCATTGTATGTTCACCTTGAACATGCCTGCTGCAGTTCACAATCTTGCGATTATCCCACGAATTCAGCTGGTGTCACTTCCTGATTGTTTTAACGTTATCTTGCTTCCTTCAATAAGTCGATTGTTCAGTTTTCACCTTTCAGATTCCAGGTGAGTAGTGTACATCTCCAAATCCTCTAATTCCTCCTTGCTGACAGCCAGACAGGGAGCCAAGGCAATGTTAATCTGCACATGCCCTAGAGAGAAGTTCAGTACTGTGGATGGAATCAAACTGGACTCTTCATTAAAGCTGCTCTTCCAAGCTTTACATTTCTTGCAATCAGTGCTGCCCTCAGGAGTTCAATCTTCCCCTCTGTCTGTCTCTCTCTCTCTCTCTCTATCTCTGTCATTACTTAATCACACCCTGGCTCTTTTGCAACATTTTCTGCCATATCTCCATGCATTTCCTGAAACAGTGCTAAACTATCACATTCAGATTTAACCTTTAAAGAACTGTGAGATGCGTACAGACCTGTAGGGGAAGAGAGAAATCTTCAGCACAGATTATTTTTCGATGAGCAGGACCTGTTTGACTGGTGTGAGAGTGCACAGATCCAATATCAAACTCAAAATCCAGTATCAAACGTTACAAACTCTGCCATCTTCACTACCTTTGTACCCATTGTAGTGAATCAATAGTACAACACAGAAAGCCCAGGTTTCTCTGATTGAGTCCTTTAAATCTGCTCCACTTCTTCACGTGTGAAACAGATTGTGTTATACAGACAGACGCTGCTTTTTCTGAATTGGAACTGCTTTTTTCCTGCTGTAATTCTCCAATCTGGTATAAATGCTGTTCTGTTTCAAGTGAGGTATTTTATATCCGGTTCCGTGGGAGGTCAAATGTTTCATTCCTTCACAGGTGCACGTGTCAAGATTCCTAAGCTTAGGTAAACGTCAACTTCCCTTCGTCAAGGTGTATAGGGCCTCTCACCGATTATTGATGCAGGTGCTATAGCAGTTTTCCCGGAGTCGGCTGGTGTATTTTTGCTGTGCTCTTGATCCAGGTAAATCTCTCGAGATCAATTTCTGACTCCACCTACCTCAGTTTCTTTGCAGGTTTGGTTTCTGCTATATTTAATGCAGATTGTGGGTCATGTTCCAGCCTCAGTCTATCAGGGTGCTGCAGGACCTGGTATTGTATTTGCACGGTTGATCTCTGCCTGATTCCTCTGCTTACCTGAACATTCCTGGGTCAGAGTTTACTTTCCATAATTTATTCCAACCTTTTACCTGGACCTGACTCTGATTTCCACTTAAGGTGGAACACGTTTTTCACCATTAGAATCCTTTCTTTCAAAAAAAAACAATTCACAAAATTCCATAGAGAATTACAGAATCCAAATGATCAAATAGAGACTTTATTTCAAACGTATTGCTTAACAAATTGTAATTTTTCGTAGGATTGCATTATTATTAAAATTAGAAAGAGTTGTTAAAAATTGTTTTATGAATTGTCACGCAACTGTTTTCTATTTCCTTTGAAATCAAATCAGATAATTAGCATTGATTAGTGCTTTGAACAGAGTGCTCTCTTTGTTTTGTTATTTGCTCTTGGCAGCTATTATGGTTAATACAAGGAATTGTACTTTATTTCTGATGAATACGTGAATGTGTCCTCTGTGGAGCAAACAGACTGTTTCTCTAGTAACCGTGCATCTGAATTGCAACAGAAAACCAGTTGATAATTTACCACAGCACAGATCATTCCTAATCACTCTGCATGGAGTCCTGTAGCTCAGTGATTAGAGCACTCGCCTCGCAAGCAAGAGACCTGGGTTGCATTCCTGGCAGGTCGAAATGTTGGGCAAGTTTCCTTATTCCACCCGCCTCTATTTACCTAGCAGTAAGTAGGAACCCTGTTGTTAATTGATTGGCGGATCACTTTTACAGGGGTAATAATTCCTTCCAAAAAAAATAACAACAATAATAAATTGGTCACTTCAATCCAAGACTGTTTGCTGTGTACAATTGGCTGCTACAATTTGCCCACAAAATCTACAGTCAATTCACTTTGCATTATATTCTGTGAAGAGCTTTGAGACGTCTCGAAGACGTGATAAGGCGCTATATCAAATGCAAGGATTATTATTATTATTATTAAAATACATGTTCAGTGCCAAAGTGCAATCCTAACCTTACACTATCCCAATGAAGGTAATGGGTATGTGCATTCGGATCCTTTTTATGGCCCTGTGGTTAATATCCAGTTTCAATTTCCCGTGGAGGCGGTCTGCCCTATCACCTGCTTATCCTCAATATAAGCAGAATGCTTTACAATTAAAAAGTGAATCTTACCTGGAAAGGCGATAGATTAATTTACAGTTTGTGATAGCTTTTCGACTCTGTTAAATATTGGCACTGTATAATCTTATCGTAGTTGTTGTAACCTTATGGTCCGGTCATTGCTGCTCTTTTGTCCTGAGCTGCTGAAAACTGGAGTGCAGGGATAAGAGGTAACAACAATAAATTGTATTTGTATAGCGCCTTTCATGTCAGGAGGACGTTCCAAGGTGCTGGACAGTCAAGGGTTTGCACCCTAGCTGGGAGTTGGAATCAAGAGGGGTGAAGGGCAAACTCGATCCTCTGGGGGGGTGGGGAACCAATTAAGTTGGATGAGGATGGGGGTGATCAGCTCCTGGAGCTTAGTGTGGGAGAGAACACGAGCTGCAGAATTCTGAATAATCTGCATCTTATGGAGGGAAGGATTGGTAAATCCGACAAGCAGGGAGTTAGCATAGTCAAGCCTGGATGCCATGACGTGATGAAGCTCCAAACAAAGTTTATAGGAACCGGAATGAGTCAAATAGGGATTTGTTCTATTTAGTAAATGATAGAAAATTGATTAGCATTTAATTGGAATTGATTGATTGAAATTTAATTAAACATATGTTATGTATTGGCAAGAACACTTCACAACAACAATTACTTGCCACTCCATTCTGAATGTGTCATCCTTAGCCCTTACTGCCCTCTTTACTGTAAACTCCTCTCTCATCATATCCCCTTACAACAGCTCTGTTCTCAACATCATCTACTTACTGAGGAGATCGCATTACTATTAAATGGGCACCTCTCAATTGAGATTGTTTCCCATTAAAGGTAATAACAGATCTTAAAAAATAATAGGTTAAGAAAAATGCAATTAAAATTCTGATTTCATTTGCTTCTTGTGCAAGATATCATATTACATTACTGGCTTGTTCCATGCCAAAGAAATCCCAATTTAGCTGTTAACTTTGTAACCCATACCTCCTTTATAATGATGCATTACCAGGGTATTTTATTCTCAGTAAAAAGCATACTATGTTGGTGGTTTGGTGACAGGACCAGACCCTTAGCAGATCTCTGCTTAAGAATGACTGATTCACTGTACACAATATCTCCCATGAGTACTCAACATATTGGTATTGCAATAGATGAGCAGGACCTAACATCCCAGCATATGCATTGCTGTTGTGTTGAACAAAATCTGCTTTAATTCTAGAGATCATGGCAGCTGGACAAGCGAGAAGAGCATCGGAGCCTGTCAGAGACAGGAAAATAGAATGACCATTATCCACAATCAACAGCATCTGCTTCAAGGAGTTTAAAATATAAATACAATAAACCAAATGTTTAGAACACGAAGGTGTTAATATTTGGCTATCCTGGTATTACACTATACCACACAACACTGGTATAAAGAAGCACACATTGAGTGCTTTTATCTATGTACACATGACTCTGGGTATGAATTATTCCTTAAGAATCCAGGCACACAGTACAGTACACAATGATAGCAGAGTTGACACTGAAACTTTTTGTCTTTAGTCTGACCTATTAAGGGTTTGACGGACAGAAAACAGCATTCTCACATTCCCCCACCTCGCAATTTGCTCACAAAAATATAACAAAAATGAGACGGAAAACCGATATCTTGCTACTCAAACAAAACCCATTTAAAAAGTGCATAGTGTTTAGTTTATTTGCTCTTACTAAAATCTAAGTAAGAGCAAATAAAATCTCCCAAACAAGATTTGTTTTAATAAACATTGGCGGATTGTCACTTCTGATGACCACTGAGGTAAAAGGAATCTGTGATCACTTCGCCAAACTTCAGTAGATTAGAATTCGCATTAATTGATACTAAAGTCTACATGTACATATTTTATGCTTGTACAGATGCAGTTATATTTTCTACTTGAACATACATATTTTAGCGACTGGACTAGGATCACTATGATTGATATTAATTTACTTTAAACTGCACTGTTAATAAAGATTAATAGATACACTTTAAACTAATTTTATCATTGTACTCGTGTTACCGGTAGCAACACTGTCAGAGAAAGCAATGCAGCAAATTGACTGAGCTCAGTCTCTAAGCTTCTGATGGAGGGAAATCTCATTGTGTTATATCAGATTGGATGTGCTGGAGGCTTCCCTTGGTCTCCTCTCTGAAATGCCTGCTGAAATTATATAAATCTCCGGGAGCCCTCTTGCTGAGGACCTGATACCCATTTGAGGATAGAAATGGATGATTACAACATAAAGAACGAGTGAGAGGAGAATCACAGAGGCAGCAACTGTGAGGATCACTCCCGCATTTAAGATATCGTTCCAGGGGATATCTGAGAGATCAGGATCAGATTTTGCAATAATAATCAGTACGATGCCACAGATTAGTACTGCACAGGCAGCAACTAAGATCATCAGCAAGTCAATTAAACCTCCACTCCTTAAAATGTTAACTTGGGCCCGGCTTCTCAAGCAGCTCATATCCTGGATAGCAGAACTCACCAGCTGCTTTACAAGGATCAGTAAAGCTAAAATCGTCAGTAAAATGCCAACTCCAAACCTCCATTCACTCGATTTACTGGTAGCTGTAGATATTAAAACAATTCCCCCAATTTCAAATCCTAGGATCAGGACCACAGCCACAGAATAACACAGAAGAGATCTTTTGGGATCTTTGAACCACCATAAATCCACATTATTCTCCAGGATACTCTGTTGGATCCGGGCACGATTTGCTGGTGAACGGCCAGAGGAGATCTCAGAAAGCTCAGACATTGGTCCAAAGATTCACAAGACCAACAACGAGTCTTCAAAATCCTAAAGGTGAATTTCTGAATTAACAGTTGTTCAAATGGATGAATTCGGGAACTCAATAAACACGACTGTAACAGTTCCCAATCCTACGAATTCAGAAGTTGTTTGACCTCTGCCTTCCTTTCTTTCTTTAATAATTCAATTTTTCAGTTTTCATCTTTTAGATTCCAGATGAGTAAAACTCCAAAGTCTTGTTGACAGAGCCAGGCAGAATATACGTGTGGGTGTTGTGGAAAGAAGTTCAACAATGTGGATAAAATCAAACTCGAATGGTTATTTAAGCTGTTCTTTGTACTTTGTGCAGTCAGTTCCAACACCCAGGTATTAAATAAAAGACTAATATTTATTCACAACATTCGTTTAGTTGAAGAATTTTACATGAGCTCAATTTCCTGGAATAGTGTTAAACTATGGCATTTAGATTTGACCTATAAAGAGGTGTGTTATGTGCACAAACCTGTAGGGGAAGAGAATTCAGCACAGATTATTTTCTGTCACATAATACGTGCTTGATGGGTGTGTGAGTGTGCACAGATCCAGTAGTACATACTCTGCTTTCTTCACTAAAGTTACTAAGAGTCTTTGTTCTGTTACGGTTAATCAGTTAATTACGGTTGCTGATGATTTTAGTTAATCAGTAGAACTCACAGACAGCCCACGATTCATTTCTCTGATTGAGTCCTTTTATCTGCTCCACTCCTTCAGGTGTAAAACAGATGGTGTTACAAACAGACGCTGTTTCTCTGAATTTTTCCACCCGTTTCAATCCTCAGATATGGTAAAAATGCAGATCTGTTCCAGCTCCTTCCACCTGAGCATTTGTATATCCATTTTTCTGAGAAGTCAACTGTTTTATCCTCTCACAGGTACAGTTAATGTTATGGATTCCTTACTTGGGTGACTAACTGCTCCAGGTGGGTCCCAGTCATTGTCCAGATGAGATGCGAAAGAAAGCCTTGTCACCAGTTGGGGTACAGATGATGTGCAAGCTTTCTGGAGTTCCCTTTAGGTTTTGCTTCGATACAGGTAACTCTGTTAAGATCAGGTTCGAACTCCAGCTCAGCTCCTCTGCGAGTTTGCTTTCTGCTTTATTTAGTGCAGTGTCTCTCTCAGGTTGTGTCTTAGACGATTTAGACTTTCAGCAGCTCCTGTTTCTTTCTTGTACTGCAGGGTTCTTTTGTGGATCCTGTTTGTTTGTGCATTACTTTTGGTTATATTTCCTAGTTAGGTTTGAACTCCACCCACCTGGGCTGTGCTGCCAGACAGGTTTACAGGTTTGTTAAGAATGGGGTTCAGATAAATTCCTGCTTTTGTATATGCTGAATCTAATTCCAATATCTTCTGAGTCAATGCCTGGAGTGTATGAATTAACTAGATTGTCCAGTTTTATACAAACACTAAAAGTTCAGCTTGAGGTACTTCGGTTGGTACTTAGAAATAAAGGAAATATTTTATAATTAGTTACGACATTCCACACATATTGAGATGAAGAGAAAATTAAACCGAGGTCTGTCTGCCTGTTCAGGTGGACGTTAAGGATCGCATGGCACTATTCTAAAAGAGAATGGAGTTTCATGGCTGTTTGCCAGACATTAATGTGGGCAAATTGGCTGCCGTGTCATCTACAAAATATGCAGTCACAACAGTAAAATCCTGTTAAACATTATGAAATGTCCTCTTGCAGCAAAGTGCACTGTATTAAAGGCAATGATTTTAGTTGACCACAGGAGGGAATGCCCTTCTGCCAATAACAACAAGAAGATTACATTTATATAGTGCCTTCACATCGGGAGGACGTCCCAAGGCGCTGAAAGTAGATTCTTCCTTCTTCCTGGCTGAGTCAGTACCTTCTTTTAATTTTACTTCCTCCACGTAAATAAGCCACAGCTAGATTCTTCCAATGAATTATAATTATCAAATTCCTTTAATCAAGACTAATTTACTTATGATAACAATATGATTTGCTGCCAGGTAATGTACACTGGGACTTAATACACAAAAGGTTTCAGGAAACATGAGAACAAAGTTTAATAGTTTACCCTTAAAACACTAGTCACTGCTTTGGTTTCTAACAGTGTGACGTTGTTCAGAAGAGAAAGGAAGGACAAACTGAGTGACGACAAAGTATCTGTCAGAAATTATGACAATTGTTTGCTTTGTTAAGTAAAGGTGACAGGGTAAACTCATGATGTGCTGTCTTCTTACATATATTCCAAGCAACTTTTACACAACGAGTGAGGTTATCTTTCCAACAGAAGTGGATCGCATATCCTCCTGTTGCTGAATTTGATCCCGAAGACGTTTTATTTCAAGTCGCTGCATTTCAATAATACGTTCTGCCTCTTTCTCAAAATTAAGACGCATTATGCCTCCAGTCCTCGAACAATCATCTGCCCATGGAAAGAGACAAAAAGGTTACATGAGATTACATAGCTCTTTTATCTAGTATACCGATTTTAAGCCATTCCCTCTGTATATCCCTCCCTCTGAAATGAGTTTGAACAGCCTCAATCCAGTTAGTTGTGGGTTTGCAGAATTACATGGAATGAATTGTCATGGAAACAGGCCATTAGGACCAACCGGACAATACCAGAAAAAATAATTAATAAAAAAAGTATAACAATTCTCTTTCAATAATGCACCTGAGAGTAGTTCTTACTACCTGTAAAGTCATAGATAAAATCAACTGCATTATTTAAATCCATTCGACGTTCTGTAGTACACTGTTGGTCAGATTGACGTCTGTTACCTTTGAATTGTAGAGGGCATGGTTTTTTCTTGTTTTTCTTGACTCCAAGAGTTACTTCTAAATCATGTACTTGGATTCGAGCAGCCTTCAGATCATGCCTCAGGTCATTAATTTCCTTAATTAGAATAACGTTTTCCTAAAAAAAAGGACAAGGTTTTGATTCAGAGGTGATGAAACATGAATAAAACAATCACAATGGAGAGTGATTATTATTACAATCCAGATTGTCACGACTATGCAATACTGAAGCACCATCGTTTAGTTAAGGTCCCACCTGCCTATTCTTGTCACTTAGGTAAAGACTTGACGACAATTCTCGAGTGTCGTAATCAATGCTATTCCCTCATCCAGATTTATTCCTCCCCCCAAAAAACTAATTGGTCATCCATCTCATTTCTGTTAGTAGGACATTTAGGTGCAGGTTAAGTGCCACTTTTCTTATCTGTACCTGCATGATGCGGACGTTATCTGTGCGGTGAATCTCTGTGTCCTTCACTAGCTTTTTCTGCAGGGTTGCAATGCTCCTCTCCAAGTGGTCCCTTTGTCGACCAAACTCTCGTTGAATGTCTGCATCAACGACTGCAATTTCAAACTGGGAAAGGGAAAATGGTTAAAAGATAGGCAATGATTTACTCTGCAGTTAAATCAACCACTGTTAAATTATAAGCTCCATAAATTCAAATCATATTTTCTCAGTAAATATTAGAAATAAAATGGAGGCTGTTAAGATTAGCAACGGTGATAAAAAAAAGTTTTCAGCATCAACATGGTAATAATTGATACGGGATACAGTTGATGCTTCCACGGCATTAAAATATTTTCTGGTTTCATTGGCAATTGAATATCCTGAAGACATATGCAAGTTTACGGTACCAATGTTTACACTTGCCCAATGCTTGGGTAGGATAGTATGGTTAGTTTACCTAGAAAAAAATTACTAATATAATACAAACGTGTCTAAAAATGGCGCTTTGAATCAAAATACAAACATTTGAAATGAATATTAATTAATCCTCAGTAAATAATTAATTTTCATATGTAAGAATTCTTCACGTAGTACAGGGGAAAAGTCTGGGAATCCAGGTGAGTGGGCTAGAGATGACAGTGCTGTTTTTTGGGACAGGGGTTACCTCTGGTTCCAAGGGTAGTATATACAGTAGATACATCACTAGTATGTAGGTTTGCACTGCAATGGAGCTCAGTGCTGTGAATGTTACCAATAGGATCACAGTTGCTGAATACATAGTGTTACCAGTGTTCACCTCTTTTGCTCGAGGCTCTGTTCAGCATTAGGCTGGATGTGTAGTTGCCATGACTGTTGCCTGCTCCATTACATCTCTGAAGTTACGGGCAAGTGCTTGGGAAGCTGTGAGCAAACACGCCAGCCTTGGGAGCTGACTTTTGATCTCATTGTCTGGAAATGGTGGGGTGGATTTCACCCTCACCTTTTGTTTCCTAGTGACAGCCTAACTTTTCTTTGCGTCAAAGCCCTTTACGTTGGAATGCTGCTCGCAATTGGCTGCCGCGTTTCACTCACAAAATATACAGTCAATTCACTTTACAGTGTATCCTATGAAGCCCTTTGAGACGTCTTGAAGACGTGATGAGGTGCTATATCAAATGCAAAGATTATTATTAGTATTATTATTATTATTACTGGTCTGCTTGAGTTCACTGGATCTGCAGGTTGGCCATTTGATATCGTTTAGAAATCAGCATCTGGAGAGTAACTCCTTCTGGGTCACAACAATATTTCCCATTTCTCAGGCTCTCCTTGATGGTATTATTTACTTCAGCTTTACTTCCTTTGAATAAGCAATGGTGCCCGCAGCTCCTTAATGTATTGTTCTGGCCGGTTCATGATCTGACAGAAGTCCTTGCTTTGCAGTTAAATAGGAACGTTGAGGAATTTGACATTTCAACTATTCATACCTGGTGTAAATGTCAAGCATTCCAAAGCCAAGCACAGCGCAAGCATTTGCGGAGCAAAGCTCCCTCTACTCTGTTTTTACTGAATCTCAGAAGAGCGCCCTCTCCTGCCAATTTAGTGGCACATTTTGCACCAACTAGGAATTGGGCTGAGATTGTCTGAATACATCGGATTCTTAGAGCCAACACAGGGGAGAGGACTCTTTCATCTTATTGGATTGGACTTGCATTCAAATCCCAGGACATTGTTGTACCAATTCTACCGCCTAAGTGTGTCATTGTCAGAAAAATCCACGATTTGTTCAAGGTCTTCTCATATGTGCATCAACCGAACTCTTAACTCTGAGTCAGAAGGTTGTGGGTTCAAGCCCCAAGTCAGGATTTGGAACTAATGTAATGTCGGCTGACAGTGCTGGGGGTGTGCTGTATTGTAGGAGGAACCGTCCTTCGGATGAGATGTTAAACTGAGTTACCGTCTAATTGTTGGACGTTAAGGATCCAATGGCACTATTTCTGAAGATAAGAGCGATTGTTCCCATGTCCGGGCTAACCATCCTCCGTTATAAAAAAAATTGGCCATTCCCTTCATGGCTGTTTGTGGAACATTGCTGTGCACAAATTAGCTGCTGTGTTTGCCTACAAAATACTCAGTCACTATACAATATATCTTGTGAAGCACATTGAGTCATCTGCTTCTACATAAAGTAACTATAGAAACAGGCCTTACCACATCAGACTGTGGAACATATTTCTCATATAGCTCCCGTACACTTTCCTTCAGCTTCCTTGGCTCTTGGATGAAGGCCACACAATGGTATAGATCAGTTTTAAAACGCTTGATGACGGATTCTACATTCCGCACCTGAAAGCAAAGGAATACGAAATGTAAAGAAAAGTATGAGAGAGGCAAAAAGAGAAACTAAAATTATGTAAAAAAACAAATTGGAATTTATAAAAAATGAGTTTCACATTGTTGTGTGTGTGTGTGTGTGGCTATATAATTGTGTGCAGTACGTGAAGTTTTTCTTACTTTTGTCCTCAAACCTTGCGAATGTGTATTATTTGCTTGTCAACATCTATAGAACAGTTCAGTTCTCTCTTTCTGTGGGTAACTTAATTATGATTATGGAGACATTGTCACCAAATATTGCAGTAGCACAGAGAAGAGAGACTAGAAGCTCTTTGGATATTTTCTCTGGTTTAAAAATGTTCCAAGGTCTAAAAAGCTTAGCTTTGGGGATTCTCTTAATATTTTGCAAAATTCTTGGATTCAATCTTAATTTGAAAGCTATGGTAGTTACCACATTTCTTTGGACTCAAACTTCAGACTATTTATTGTTTTGTATGGCTGAACTGAATCTTTGAATAATGGAATGGAAACTTAAAGCAACAAAAATAACTCAAATGTAGGATAGTTGTAGACAGCATACTAAAACAGAACTTCAATCAGTGTATGTGTGAGAGAGAAACGGATAAAGTAGGTGTGTTTCTATGCGTGGGAGGCAGGAAAAAGAGTGATGATTAAATTCATCTAAATCAATTAAAGTTCTGACCTTTTCCCTCTCTCTGTGCATTTCAGTTTCTGTTGCCTTCAGCTTTTGTTTCAGATCAGTGATGTTAAGTTCCAACTGAGTGTTCTGTTTATGAAATCGCTCTAACTCACGCTCCATCTGTAGACAGACAGTTCATAAGGAAAAAAAATTGATTTGATTACAAAAACTTTCGTAAAAGACGTTTTTTTTCCTACTTTTGTCCTCAAATGTTGTGTACTTTCTTGCTTTTGAACTGCACTTGATAATCCTCTACAAAACTGTAAACATTTCCGGGACCAGCTACAAATGAAAACAATTTCTGGCCTCAGACCTTTAATAATAAATGGACTAAGTAGTGCCATCTTTTATATCATCGTCCATAATAGATATACATGATTGCATTCTGTATGATGCCATCTCTTCCATGCAAGCAACAGGGTACAAAACTCACCTCCTGTATTTGGTCCTTCATTCGTTTTATGTCATTTTCTCGAGGTTCAATCTGTTTTTTCAACTCTTTAATTTTGAAATCCAGAACAAATTTAAACGTCTCCAGTTCTTGGTTTTTTTTCTTGAGATCATAGATGCGTTTTTCCTGCACATGATCAAAATTCCAGGTTTAATTTACAATTGCATCAATGCTATCATTTGAATTCACTTTTCACTGCGGAACATAGAAACTAATTGAATATTTAGAAGTGTTTCTGCAATATTTCTGTTCCTTGAAATCTACCCCATTTATACACTGAGGAAAATCCAAAGCAGACAACATAATGAAGGGAAATGTTTGTGCAAGCTTGTCAAATACATTTTTTTTCATGTTCTGATTCATAAATAGGTTTTGGTTGTCATATTTATTTATATTTATGCCTAATTTCTGTTTCTTTTTCAGAACAAGATCTGTCCATTACACATTTTGCTCCGGTGTCTTGTTCATACATTTAAACAATACACACTGGTTTATTTTCTCCCAGCGACAGCATTTTCGCAAATACAGCAAATTACTGCTTCTCCTCCAATACGTGTTCCGCATTCTTAAAATTATGCAGTATCTTAATATCTGTTTCCTGTGGGTGTTTTCACATTAACATGACAATATAACAACTAATCCTTACTTTCTGCTTCCGGCCTTTTGCACAATTACACATTTTAGTAGCTTACTTGGTTCTATCTTTTGCATTTACCCTTTCTCTCCTTGCCCATTTCCTTTTCTCTTATTCTTCATCTTCTCACACCCCTCACCTTGTCCTGAATGGTTTCATCTCGTTCATGAATTTCTTTCTTCAATCCATGAATTTCTTTCTCCAGGGATCTGATGATTCCTTGCAATTTCTGATGTTCTGTCCTAAGTTTCTCAATCTCTCCCTGCCTGTCTTCAATCTCCTTCTGCAAACTTGTGAACTGTGAAGGAGAAAAACAAAGAGAACAGAGAAATGAAGTGAGTTGGACACTGACAGAAACAAAAAGGAACTGAGATCAGCAGAAGGAAAGAATAGTGATCTCCTCAGAGACATAACATTATAAAATTGTTTCTGAAGAAAATTTGGGGTATGGGCAAATATTGTATACGGACAACTCTATTGTATACGGACAAAGATTTACATTGAGTGAGGTCAAGCCCATCATAGGTTTTGCAATGAAAGGAGTGAAAGGAACATGCTTTGTAACTCATATCAACTTTTCTCAATCAGGATTTTTGGCATTACATAATTCTCCAGTTGCACAATCCTCAGTAAAAATTAATAATTCAAAATAATTTCAAATATTAGTTATGGATCTCCTGACTGGGAGGGTTTATCTTTGTATTAATAGACTCCCCAAGTTTCTCATCCCTGTTTACTTCTTTTTACCTTCTTCTTCATGATTCCGGTTTCTCCTTTTAGACGGAGGTTTGTTTCTCTCTCCTCTCTCAGATTACGCTCGTATTTGATTTTGATATCCTGAATTTCACGGTCACCGTCTTCTTCAATTTGTTTTTTTGTTTCATCAAACTCTCGAAGCTGCTGCCTAGATTCATCATGCAACTAATGGAAAATGAAAGGAAAGGGACATTGGAGCAACATAGTGAACTCAATAGAACGAAGCAATAAAAAAAATGTTGCATTTACATAAGCGCTTTTCACATCGTATGGTGTCTCAAAGTGTTTCACAGAGACTGTGCTGGACATCAAGCTGAGGGCAGTAGGAAGGAAACGAGGTGACAGTGGACAGCGACGGGTAATGTAGCAAAGATGAAGAAAAGTAGTCTTCGTCAGGTACTCTAAGTAACAAAAGAGAGCTGAGGATTAAATAGAACAGCACGATTTTGCACAGTACAAGCAAAGGTACAACAGTTTTAAACTAGGGTATTTTTGCCCAAGTGAAATTAATATTTTGAGAAAAGATATTTAATATTTCAGTTGTGTGGCTTGCGAGTTCTTTTACGCTCCTCAGTTTAATGTTCAACATTTGGGTGCAAATATAGCCAGGTAGTTTTCTGTCAATACCTGTTCAAGCAGCGCTATCTTCTCCTGGAGTTTGGTCTCATAGTACTCAGTTAGCTCTTCTAATGCTTGATTCTTACTCTCACCCATCTCATGCAGTTGCCTCTCGTAATCTTCCTGCATTCGGCTGGATTTGACCTGCAGCTCCTGGTACTTTTCGTACTCCAACATCAGCTTCTGATTGTTTGTAGATTCTGAAAATAGAAGTGAAATGATATTCCTCAGAATTGGAAGGAGCTGATTTCAACTCTGTCTGCACTACTTACTGCACACATGAGAGAGTGCCAAAAAAGCCACTGTGTTTCAAAGTCATTACCTAAATCCTGGACTTCTCTGGCCTGTTTCTCCAGGATGTCCGATACATCTTCCTCATGTTTTAACTCAACCTTCTCTTTGTCAGTTTTCAATACCTGCAATATAACGAGTGATTTATTTGTTTTTGTTTAATTCCACAAAGCTAGAGACAGCTTCGCACACACGGGAGGATATGCCCTCAGACGCTAAACTCGAAACACTCTTGCAGAGAAAACACCTGGAGCTGGAACTCACCATGTGAACACAGCAATAGCACTTGTTTTTAAGAAGAAATAGGCAAAGGTAAATACTGTAGCACAATTTTCGTTAAAAATGGAAGAGATGACGAATATCTTCACGGAAACTGCCCTTGCATTTAAGATAATATCGGAATTGGCTGTTCTTGCTACCCACCTGGTTCTTTGTTTTGAGAGACTCCATTTCCTGGATAAATTTCTCAGTTAACTCTTTGATTTTCTCATTGTAGTTCATATCCTTCAGTCGGAGTTGGTATTCATTCTCCATTTTCAATTCCTCAACACGAGTTTTCAACTCCAACATGAGTTGGTTCTGTGAAAAAAGACAAGAGTCAATTTCCTTTCATTATTTTAACCTTCTCTAACTACTGTGGAACGATAAAGGAGAGATTAGAAAGATTAACGGTCTACTGAAAGGCCTATACTTTGTCCCACCTTCAAAATGGGTGTTTTAGGTGCAGTGGCAACATGTTCCTGAGAGTGAGCGGAGGTGTGAGATGGCAAAACTGTTGACCTCCACCCCCTCCTCCTTCCCCTCTAACCTGGAGGCACATACCCTGGGGAGTCTACTTCTCTTTCCCTCTCACACAGGCATGGGAGGCAATGAGGATGAATGTGATGTAATATTCTAACACAATTATTATGAATATTCTAATATAGCAGTTTACCGTGCACTTTCTCAGGATAAATAATGAAAAACCACTGGTTTCATATTGCTGTAATATAAACTCAGGAAGTGTGAAGCAATTAAAAATACCTAACAGCATTGGACAAAGCTCTGAGCAGAATCGTAGTTGTGCATAAGATGAGCAGTCCTCTCAGCCCTGATCTAAAGTCTCAGCCCTGAACAGCCTCTAGCTAAGTGTGTGCATTTCTCTGATTCTAAGATCCACGGAACTTTACTTTTTCTTCCAAATCAGATTTTGTGATCAAAATTTCCTCTGCATATCCAATTTCCTTTTCTCGTTTCAGTCCCCGGCCCTCAACAATCTTCCAGATAATAAGGCACGCGTCTTCTGAAACAGTCAGCAAGTATTGGTCATCATAGGTAATGGCCATCTGGAGAGAGAAAACTCAGTAAGAACTGGCAATCGAAAGGCAAAACCTAAAAATGTTTAAAGGTACGGAACTCTGCTCACAGAAATAGGGTCAGAATTGCAACATTAAAATGTTTAAGCAAGACTAGGGAATGGATGAATTCTTCCTCTTCTTGTCTTGTCCTTTAATTAAGATAATTAATTAAAAAGTCATTTATCTCGAATCCAAACCTTTAATTAAGATAATTAATTAAAGGTTTGGGTTCGAGATAAATGATTTTCTTGAATGATGATCCGTGGCAGTTTATCATCCTCATTGGTTTCAATAAGGTAACATCAATGGAATACTTTCCAGTTTTTAATACCATGATAGTATTATGAATTTACAGAGCGGTCTGATGCAGAGTAAAGCTACCAACAACTCTACCCAAATCAATGCGTCTTGACCCCATCCTTAAAATAGCACTCTTTGAAATACCAACGTGGCATTTCCTTCTTCACCGAAGAACACTGTTAGGAAACTTACACAGGTTTTCCTATTAAAAATGAGTTCGAGAAAAATGTGAGCAAAAACTTCGGAGCAGAATGAAAGTTGACCTTGGAGTAAGCTGGGAACACTTGCTCTATTACTACCCAATTTGTGGACAGTGAGCTGGAACATAAGGGGATACAATCAACTGCTGTTTCCATTCCCATCAATATATCATCCATTAGTTACGGAAAGCAAGGAGTGATATATGAAGAAGGCTACAAAAATGAGCAACTGTAACTAACTCAAATTGAATGTCAAAGAGCACTCTAGCAGTTAGCATACCTTAACTATGGGTCCAGCATGTGCCTGATACTCATTCCAATCCCTCTGGATAGATAGTGGGATTTTCATGCATCTGATCGTTCCACCAGAAGTGCCTGTAAACAGCATTCGTCCAGAACGAGACATTATAACGCAGCTATATACAACATCATTTGATGGAACTTCTCGAAGAATCTAGGTGGCGGGAAAAAAAATCAAAATGATTTAAGAAGTTTCTAGCACAGACGAGCTCTTAATCTGCAAAGGCTGAGGATTAATGATGATGAAACCTGTTTTTGATAGCATCGCAGTGGTGCCATAAATTTCCATGATTCTATGATACACATAATTACACATTATTATGTTACAGAGGGTAATTTAAGCGTGGCAAGTGATATGAATACAATCATACATAATATTATATAACAGAGTTTGTATAAATAGTGCTTATTGTTAGGTTTATCAAATGAATATGAAAAACATAGAATTGGAGGGAAAGTGTGGCACCAGTAAATGTAAATTTTCTTTAACACAAACAAAGTGACTCATCAGAGAGAATACTCTCCAGGCAGATTTGTTCATGCTAATCAGGAAAAAGGGCAAATCATATTTTGTTCTGTGGATCAGAACATTCTTTAGCATTTTTTTTTCATTTTGTTTAAGTTCTGCATTTGCAGATATGCTACAATTTATAAAGATAACAGAAACTACTAACGGAAAGAGATGGATTCAAAATTGGCTGAAGGTTAGGAAGCAATACAATACAATTTATACTTATATAGTGTACTTTCAGGTGAGCGGGATGTCACAAAGTGCTTGAATCGTTGGCTGAGATGACTAAAAGCACTGGCAACAAGACCTTTTGGATATACTGAGACAACAGAACACAAGAACATAGGTTTAAGATTGCAAAGGGCATTTTCAGGACAGACACACAAAGTATTTCTTTATCCAAAGGGTAGTCAGCGCTTTGGGATGTCCTCCCGACTTGAAAGGCGCGCTATAAATGTAATTTTGTTGTTGTTGTCGTCAATCACTGGATTGAGAAGGATTTAAAAAAACAGCTTGATGTTCTAATCAGAGCACAGTTGGTGGTGGAATTGGAGGATTTAACAACAGGTGGAAGGCATGGTAAAACATGTCTGTGTATATATATATTGCTTCCCGATTTGATAATGTTAAGTACTAATAATCCAAAGGCTATGAGGGATTGCTCTTCACAGCATCCTACAAACCTGGGAGTCGGAAATTTCTTTCAGAGTTCGATCGGAACCCACTGCAAATATAATTTTCCCATCTGTTGAGACGCACACTCCATTGTAACTACAGGATTTCAGCACACACTCAGATTCTCGTTTTCCAGTCAGTGTATTCCACTCATAGACTGCACCATCCATGCCACAGGAAATAATTTTGCTGTCATCAATGCTCCAAACAATGCAGCGAACCTTTACATGGGAAGAACAGCGGAATATAATAATAATCTTTGCATTTGATATCGTGCCTTATCACGGTTTTCCAGATATCTCAGAGTGCTTCACAGAATACATTGTAATGTGAATTGACTGTATACTTTGTGGCTGAAATATCAATGTATAATCCCCACATACCATTATCCATTTTATAAGAACGTGTGAATTTATCTATTTTTGTTGATGTATTCATAAAAATGTTATAAAAGGATTGGTAGTATTTGGAATTCATTACAAGAAGTAACTAGGGACTGGATCAATATAATCATTCAAAAAAGGGAACTGGATAAACTCATAGACAATAACAAAATTAAAGAATATGGGGAAAAAAGATGGAAAATTGGATTAAATAAAAATAGAGTGATTTAGCCTTAGAGGCAGTAATGACAAATGGTCTCCTGGGCTGAACAATTCTGTGTTTCTATTAATTTATGCTTGTTCATAAATATGAAATTACCAATATCCATGTAATGTAGCAGCTGATGGGCTGAGAGCAAAAGGAAAATAACAGATGAACAAAATAACTGATTCAAATATTCTCCAAATCTCACCTTTCCATTGTGACCCTTAAGATTAACAATATTTTCAAACGTCGTTGTGGCAAAAATGTGAATGACATTTCCATTTACTGTCGCAAATAGGTGACCACCGTTGCTAAAGGAACACTGGAGGAACAAAACTTTATCTTTAGAACAACAACAACTTTTATATTAGCATTTATATAGCTATTGTGGCTTTAGAAGTCATGTTATTACAAGCACAATTTTTGGCGTTTGAATATCTGATAATGCAAATACAGAGCATTCAGAGTCATAGCAATCCAGGCCCATACAAGTGACAGAGTAGTTTCAAAGTATTGGTATGGCTAAACTAAGCTAGGAAATAGGGACAGAATATGGAACGCTCACCTCTCTACAGCTTCGAACTGTGAACTCTTTGAAGCTTCGAATATCATCAATCAGAAGATTCATGAGTCGCAACTTGTCGGAGAATCCAACGAGAATGTACAGACCAGATGGATGCACAGCAATACTGTACGCTTCCTCCTGAAACTCCTTATAAAGATCTAAAGAACTGGAAGAAAATAAGATGGACAAGAAAACAATGGACAAGAAATGTAAGTTTATGACAAACTCAAATGAATTTAAGTTTTACCAGAATGCATAATTACAAACAAATGAGCATTTTTCACCGAAATAGCTTCAATTTAATATGGAAGTTTGTTAAAAAAATATATAGTGCAATAACTGTACTTAGTCTCATAGTTCCAGATACGAACAGATCGGTCCACAGAGCAGGTCCCAATGATAGGTTTTCTGATGCAGATTCCCAAGCCTGTGATTGCACTGGAGTGGAAGGATTGACAGAGAATCTCAAAGTGCGTTGGTTCATTCTGTTGATAATTTCACAAAAATTATATTAAAAAATACAAGTAGAATGCATGGACAAACACCAGTATAATGTTTGCCAGGATTAGTTCATAAAACATATGAAAACGCAGCAACATTAGAGTTGGTTCCGTTTTTAAAACAAACTAATAAATGCAAAAGTTATCAATATTCAATTGCATAAAAGAGACACACATTTTAAATTCTATGCATCTTAGAATAATACAGCTCTTGTGCTGTGATGTTCCATCAATTTTGTTTTGAATTTGCTTTGATTTTGGAACTATTCTTAGATTCCTCTCTCTTTGATCATTGCTTACCTTGGTCATTTCAGTAGAAGACAGAATAATGCTGTACAATTGATTCTTATTGGTGGTAGCAATTAGCGTCTCTTCCGATGGACTAATAGACAAAGTTACAATCTCTTGCTGTTCTGATAGGGTTGGATCTGTGCTGAATATATCCTGTGGGATCTGATGGGAAAGATTAATCAAGGCTTCAGACAAAAGTGTGGTGATGGTGTGGAAGGAAACCTCCTTTCATATTGGAAAGTAGATGAAGCCAGGGTGAGATTGCAAACTCAGTACATGGGAAATTATTCCACAGTGATGATTTGAAATACATTGGAAAGAAACTAAGGTTGCACACCTTTGCTGGAAGGGTATTAAGAAGACTGTGATTAAGTGCAGAGATGATTTTAAAAAGACACATTTTTTAGTTCTTTTCTCGAGGCCAATGATCAACCACTAAGGAGTGAACCACTAAGGTTTTCTTCTGGTGAACCATGACAGCTGTTATATGAACATAAAATAAGTTGGAGAAGGAGAGAAATCAGCAATCTGCATGATCTACCATCTGTGGAGACCTATAGCTCAGTGGTTGGATCGCTCGCCAGGTAAGCAAGAGACTGGGGTTCGATTCCCAGCAGGGCAAAACCTCAGGCATGTTTCCTTACTTCACGCGCTTCTGTTTATCTAGCAGTATGTAGGAACCCAGTTGTTAGTCAATTGGTGGGTTGCTTTTCCGGGGGTAATAATTCCTTCAAAAAAAAATAAAAAATTGGTCACTTCAATCCACGATTGTTTGTGGGACACTGCTGTGTGTAATTGGCTGCCGCATTTTGCCCACAAAATACACAGTCAATTCACTTTTACAGTGTATTCTGTGAAGCTCTTTGAGACGTCTCGAAGATGTGATAAGGCGCTATATCAAATGCAAGGATTATTGTTTATTTATTATTTCTCAGTCTTCACCACCGAGAATGGTGTTGAGGGGTCTGCTTTAATCATTGGACTGGATATTTGACCACTTCTTTCTTTATCTTCAACAACAACAAAATTATATTTGTATAACGCCCCTCACGTTAGGAGGACGTCCCAAGGCGCTGGACAATCAATGTTTTGGACCCGAGCTGGGGGTCGAGATTGGGGAGGGTGGAGGGCAGGGTGGGGGCAAAGTGGCAGAAGGCCCGCCCGCCAATGGTGGTGTGGACGGGGCAGAGGACGTGAAGCAGGCCGGAGCCCGCTGAGGGGAGGGAGCGGGCAGGTTGGTAGGGGATTAGGAGGCCACAGAGCACTTCAGTATTGTGAGTGATTATTTTTCCCATCCATTAGTCGAGTAGCCATGTTAACGCCAACATTTCTACCGTTACAGATATGCACACCCCATCATGGTTGGCCGAAATAGGTATCTTCAATCTCTAATCATCAAATTGCATATTTAACTTCTAAAATTCAGCGTAAGGCAATATCTTCCACTTGTCAATGGGCCCCACTGAAATAAACAGCTTGCTGCCTTCAAGGTCGAATCCATCGATGGCAGGTTAATGCCTTGAACACACCTGACCTGTGTATTTTAAGCAGTTCTGCCTCATCCAGTCACTGAAACTCACCCTAATTTCTCTGGTTTTCTTATAGGTATCCTTCTCATCTCCTTTTTCAAACTGATACACAGTTGCAGGCCCAGCAGCACACAGGAAACCTTTGGAATACGCAGCTATAGCAGTGACTCTGGGATTGCTAACTTGAGCGAGATGCATCATGAAGTTATGCTGCCTGTCAGGTACACAAGCCAACAATATTATTTAAGAGTAAAGTTTTTTTTCTTCCCTAACCGCAATATTTCTGCGACACGAGAGAAAAACGATGAACCATTCATTCAGAGTGAAGTCAACTTTTAGGAGTGCTTTATTGCTTCGGATAGTTTAAGTGATTTTTAAAAATGTATAACTCCAATTTGCACGAATTATTTAATTTGGATACGAAAACAGATCTGTTAAATTTATGGACTCATTTAATTCCTGAGGTTTAAGATCTTCTGCCAGCTCACTTAAACTCTAAGTGCAAGTGTAACAACTAAAATGTTACATTAATATTTTTTACATAATTTTTACTTAGTGTATACTGAACACCCTGGTTACTTAATTTACCAGTGAAAAATTAAATTTCATACCTCGCAATATTAATTTAACACATTGCTTTGAATTCTGAAAATCCAGTAGAATCTAGTTCTTTATGCCTAATCAAACAAGTATTCATACCTTTGAAACTCTGCAATATTGAACTCCCAGCGCATATCAGCTGACTCAAACAGGCAAACTCTTCCAGTATCAGTGCCAGCAATAATGCGATCCTCAGCCACCCAAACATGTGAGAGGTAGTGTTGTGGCTCCAATTTTTGGAAATTGATCTGCTTGAAAGTTCCCTCAGCATAGCGGAATAGTTTGAAAATGCTATCCCCAATCACGCAGATCTGTGTGCCATCATGGGGGTTAAAAGAGACCTGAAACAAAAATCACAAACTAGTGAATGCCAAACATATTCATGGGGTCGTAGAATGAGGCTGTAGGGAACCTATCACCATGACATATTGTGTTAACACTGTGTATATAGCTATAAATTGTTGGAGGTACTGTTCTTCATTGTAATAATGAAGTCCAATAGGGATTGTATGCTTTGCAGCTTTATGTACAATAATAAAGAATCCAGTGCTGCTAGTTCTATAGGACCACAGGATTGCTATTTGGACAACATCATTAATAAAACCCTAAAAGTACATTGTAATACTTAACTTGTAATCTAAGAGGATATTTTAATAGGGCATTTTCTTGGAAGCTTTACTTGTGATTATTCATCTTTTTCAAGAGATCAAGAAAATTGTTGAAAGTATTGGACACAAATCTATAAATTATGGAAGAAGGATGTTAAGATGAACAAATGGCCATGTTATTGTTACTGTATTCCTATTTAAATTTATGGATTCCTATCATTTTATAAATATTTTAATACATTGGAACAATTTGGAATTGCTTTCATTTTGTGCACTTTTACAAGTTAGATGCAGTAGCCACACACATTGTTTTAAAAACAAATCACTGAAATTCACAAGAAATCGTAATGTTTCATAAATTCCGCACTTCCAACTCAATTGTTACCACCACTTAAATTTTGTACCAATATTGGCACTTTTTCTTAAACAAATGAATGGCTACACATGATTCAGAATTATTATATTTTCCTTCTGAAATAAACTAAAAGAATATTTTAGAAGTTCAGAATCTGCCTTCAGTCTGAATTAATAGTCGATATTCTGAAGAATTGCAAATGAAAAAGGCTGGTATTGCAGTGTCACCATGGTAGATTACCTGATAAACAGGGTTACTCTGGATAGTAGTCTTGATAACGCACATTAATTTTTGTTTCTTCCACATCCAGTAGACCAGATTCCAATCAGGATCTCCAGACTCCGCAATTATATATTTGGAGTCTGGTGAGAAGGCCAGACTGACAAACTCCTGTGCCTGAAGTTCGTTCATGCTGAGGACCTTTCTTTTTCTGCTTTGATCAGGCTGCAAATCATAGATTGTGATTGTGGCCCTTTCACCTTTTTCGGAAATGGCCAAATATCGTCGATTTGGACTTATGGCAAGGGCTTGCATTCCATGGCTTCTTTCAGTTCCTGAATTCAACAACGCAAGAAATAGTCAGTCGCTGTTTCTAAAATCTGTAGTCATGCTTTGCATGATTCAGTGTAGGATCTAATGTAAACGGCACGCACTCTCAACTCCACGCAGAGGTTAGGCCGGAAGGTTTCAAAGCTCTATTGTTGTTCCCATAGTGATTGGGAGTATTAGTGCAGACAAAAATAGGATAGGGACTTAATTGGTATCCTGCGAAGCAGTGCTCGAACACTGGCTGAGGAGGGAATTGCTGTCAAACAAAAAAAAAATCGTGTCTCCTAGTCGGAATCTAAGATGGCATTAAGAAAATAATTTGGGACTAAATTAACATGGGGGGTGGGTGGCGGGGAGGGAGCGGGGAAATGGTCTAATCCAGCGGTGGCTAACCCGTGACCTGTGGCAATAAACATGCATACAGGACATTGATTTAATGTCTCATCCAAAGGATAGCATCTCAGACAATGCATGGATTCCCCCCCAGCATTGCACCAGAGGATCAGCCGAGACTGAGCTCTAAAGACCTGATGTGAGACAAGAAACCTCAGCCTTGTTAATCAGAGGTGAGAGTGCTACCAACTGAGTCAGGGGCTGGGAAATTATTGTGAGGGTTTTCAGACCAGGGTCACAAGTATTTACAGTATAATGAAGGATTCTAATATTTTACAGCAAGATAATCAGAAAACTAAGAGCTATGAAATAAGCTTGTGATCTCAAAGAATTGGAAATATCTGGTTACATCACAGGCATTGATATTAATGTGATGTGTTGATCTATTGCAGACTTAAATAACACCTAGTAAATCCAGTACTGCGTGCCTTATTTTTTAATGTTATTCACTTATCACAGATTAAAGATTCTCTGTCTAGTGTTGTGCCAGATTCTCATCATCTTAACTCACTTTGAACACAGCGGTATCTGGCTCTGTGATAAGTTGAGCTTTTTAATTTTATTTGTACACAGTAATTTGGTGTACTGTTGAGACGTCAGTGAAACCAAAAGGAATCCAATGGCCAACAAAAAAAGTGCAGGCTGACGTTTTCAGCACTTGAAACATTAACATTTAGCCTTATATTAAATAATGGTTCTACCCCCCACCCACCCCACCCCCCTCACTGGAGGGAACCACTTACCTGGGATGAATTTCTGCCATTTCTGGTCGATGTTGTAACGTATGCAGGTGTTCCCAGCAGGGTAGATTATTGTTTGTTCGTCCAAATAAATAATGTTATTTGTGACAGAGGCATGAAGCCCAAAAATGTGATGAGGCTGAGCTACTGGGACAGCCATGTTACACTACCAGGGCAGGACAGTCTGTACTCCTCTCTCTACACAAGCAATCTGAGAGTTTGTCTGCACTGTAACACAGTGTTTGACTGTGTGTGTGTGTGTGTATCTCTCTCTCTCTCTCTCTATCTATCTATCTATCTATCAATCACTGCATGTGTGCTGCTTGTAGTGATCATACACTATACTGGTCTGCCTCTGTTACACACGTGTGTGTCCAGTGTCTAACATCAAATTTCTGGTTATGCCTCTAACACAAACACACACACACCAGCTGAGGCTCTCTCGAAAACACGTTACACCTTTAATGTTAGTCTCTAACTGACACTCTACACTCACACATTGTGCTGCATCTCTCTAACCCTCTACCTCTCTCTCTCTCTAACCCTCTACACTGTACCTCTCTCTCTCTCTAACCCTCTACACTGTACCTCTCTCTCTCTAACCCTCTACACTGTACCTCTCTCTCTCTAACCCTCTACACTGTACCTCTCTCTCTCTAACCCTCTACACTGTACCCTCTCTCCTCTCTCTAACCCTCTACACTGTACCTCTCTCTCTCTAACCCTCTACACTGTACCTCTCTCTCTCTAACCCTCTACACTGTACCTCTCTAACCCTCTACACTGTACCTCTCTCTAACCCTCTACACTGTACCTCTCTCTCTCTAACCCTCTACACTGTACCCCTCTCTCTCTAACCCTCTACACTGTACCTCTCTCTCTCTAACCCTCTACACTGTACCCCTCTCTCTAACCCTCTACACTGTACCTCTCTCTCTCTAACCCTCTACACTGTACCTCTCTCTCTCTAACCCTCTACACTGTACCCCTCTCTCTCTCTCTAACCCTCTACACTGTACCTCCCTCTCTCTCTAACCCTCTACACTGTACCTCCCTCTCTCTCTAACCCTCTACACTGTACCCCTCTCTCTCTAACCCTCTACACTGTACCCCTCTCTCTCTAACCCTCTACACTGTACCACTCTCTAACCCTCTACACTGTACCACTCTCTAACCCTCTACACTGTACCACTCTCTAACCCTCTACACTGTACCACTCTCTAACCCTCTACACTGTACCTCTCTCTAACCCTCTACACTGTACCTCTCTCTAACCCTCTACACTATACCTCTCTCTCTCTAACCCTCTACACTGTACCCCTCTCTCTCTCTCTAACCCTCTACACTGTACCTCTCTCTCTCCCCTCGGTGTGTGTGTGTGTGTGTGTGTGTCACAGTCTGGGGTGGGGTGGGGGGGGAGTGAGGGGGGGAGAGAGCGGTGGTGAGAGGTTTGATGTCCCAACTCCCAGGTCAGATTTCCTCCATTGAAACTCGCGTCCGTCCGTCCCCCTCCCCACCCCCTCCCCACCGGTAAATACCGCCGTAACCATGGAGACGGACCGACCGGAAGCCGAGCTCCGTTGCTATGGTAACCACCGGGAGCGGCGCCTCTCTCTCCTCCTCTCCTCCTCTCCTCAGGCCCTGACTTCTGGGATGTGTGGTTTGTGGGGGTGTGTGTGTGTGTGGGGGGGGTTCATGGACCTGTTCCTATTATTTTTTTTAAAATTTATTTCTCGGTTCGCTCCCACCGCAGGGGGACCGCTGGACGCTTACGGCCCCGGACGTGTGGCCGCCGGGGCGGTTCCGCCCTCCTCCCCCCCCCCGTCGTGTCCGTACCGGCTCCCGCGCCCGCGCCCCCGAGGGTCGGGGAGGGAGGGAGGGAGGGGCTGGGGATGGGGGCGGGGAAGCGCGGGAGACCGAAAGCTCGGGTCAAAGAGGAGGGTCTTGAGGTGGGTCTCGAAGGTGGGGAGGGGGGGAGGGGGCGAGACGGAGGGGGCGAGACGGAGGGGGTGAGACGGAGGGGGCGAGACCGAGGGGGGAGGGGGCGAGACCGAGGGGGCGAGACGGAGGGGGTGAGACGGAGGGGGCGAGACCGAGGGGGGAGGGGGCGAGACAGAGGGGGCGAGACGAGGGGGCGAGACCGAGGGGGCGAGACGGAGGGGGGAGGGGCGAGACTGGAGGGGGGAGGGGGCGAGACAGAGGGGGCGAGACCGAGGGGGCGAGACCGAGGGGGCGAGACGGAGGGGGGAGGGGGCGAGACGGAGGGGGCGAGACGGAGGGGGGAGGGGCGAGACTGAGGGGGAGGGGGCGAGACCGAGGGGGCGGAGGGGGCGAGACGGAGGGGGCGAGACGGAGGGGGGAGGGGGCGAGACGGAGGGGGGAGGGGGCGAGACGGAGGGGGGAGGGGGCGAGACCGAGGGGGCGAGACCGAGGGGGCGAGACGGAGGGGGGAAGGGGCGAGACGGAGGGGCTGTGGGATGGAGTTCCAGAGGTGTTAAATATTTCGGGGATCTGTCCGGTTCCCTCTTGAAGGCCACACGTTGGGATGGATTCTGCCTCAACCTCAGCGATGGCATTTCCAGACCCGAACGGAGCCTCTGGACAGCACTCTCCTGACCTCCCCACTTGCTCCTTTATTAATTTGCTAATTTTACTAATGTATCTTAAATTCACGCCCTCTGGCAGTTGACTGAGAACGGGCTAAGCCTTCGGGGCAACAGGTGATATGCTCCTAAAAGTAAATCTGCAAGGAACACACACAACGCGGTAATCACCCTCTTTGCCTCCACACCAGCATTGGTGGCTGAGCCTTCGGTCATTACGGCCTCAAGCTCCGCAACTCCTCGGCTCTATCCCCTCCCCTTCACCCACTCTCTTTGCGTCTTAAAATCCCACCCTAAAAACTACCTTCATTATCTTGGACTCAGTGCAGCCCCCAAAAGTGCCTGTTTACCTACCCGAGAGGATCGTCACAAGTTGTCTTATTAGCCATCCAACATGGACTGGTGCGATTGAGCCCTCACTTGGTGGTTATCGGGAGATATCAGGAATTTATTGTGAACCTCTTGATAAAGCAGCATGAAATGTGTGAGAACAATGTCACCAGAATAACAAAAGTCATAAATGAATCGAATGCTTTTTTTAATACAAGGATAAGTCACCATCATAAGAAATGTAATCTATTACTTCAAAGACACCACCGCCCACACTTGCAAGAGAAAAAAAGCTCTTGAATCACGTTGGCTGGTGCTAAATTCTCAGATCTTCAGGCAAGCTTTAAACCACCAAGTTGTAAAATACCAGATGTTGACAAGAAAGCGTTGCAATAAGTAGATGAAATAAATTAAGTGCATTGAAATCATGAAAGTGTGGACAGTAACTTTAGGCTAACTAAAAGGTGTTAGCTTTTATCGTATAAAAATAAATTGATTCATTCATTGTTGAAATTAATCACAATAGTATTTTCCGAGGAGGCGAACATTTTTTTTTGTAAAGTTAGGAGTACATACGGATATTAGGATATGTTTGAGATATCCTAGCCCACAGAGTAGACTCGGGACTCATTAGTTAACCACATTCTTAATTATTCTTAAACTGTACTGGAGGCTGGTGATAACAGAAAGATCCAGAAGAGCAAGAATATAGTACTTTAACTTTACATTCAGAAGAATTGCTTCCCTCTGAAAAAGAGTTCATTGTGTATTCCTTCATTCAGCATTCTACTGACTTCATTAAAGAGAATCCTATTTTTTTTAATATATATTAAACCTTAGGATAGTTAGGAAAATATAAGAAAACTAGATTTAAAATAAACTTGTGATACAACATGGTTTTGATTCATCATTGTATCTAGTACTGTTCAGCTGTTGGAGATCCCGATTAGAAGGAATAGCAGAAATAACAGATTTCCACAGAAGTACAGTATCAGCAGCATTGTTTTCTGGGTCACCTGAAATATTAAATATAAATACTGTGTTAAGACAAAAGGACTACTGGTCTACCTTTACGAGAATTCAATCACATTAAAAAAATGTTACCTTCTGATCTTCGGTTTCTTGCAATTCTGCAAAGATATAAAATGATTGTTAGAACACTTTAAAAAGAGAACATTTATGAGTTAACTTTTAACTGCAATTAAACTTTTTTCTTGAATAGTTTATTACCATTCCTCGTGCAACACTGAATAATTTCCATAATGATATAGAAAATTGCTTCCCAGGCAACACATCCTCCCATAATGTGCCCAATCAGGCCATTTGACTGCGTGATTAGCTGAATTCCAAGAAATATCGTTGCCACTGGTAAAAAAAAACAAGTCTTCAGAACATATAACATCCAATAGAGAGTATACCATTTTTGTTCGATAAGACTATTAACTTCCAAGTATATTACAGTCACATTACAGCTCTGAATTATGAGAATCCCAAGAATCAAAGAATAATAATGACCAATATAATAATGATTGATATATTTGTTTGCCTATTAGATTTTCATGATATGATTTTAGAAAGTTGATATATCCAAATTCACCGAATTGTGGTAAAGTATACTTTTGGCTGCAGAAAGACCAGCATACCTGCCAAAACCTTTGTCAGCAGTGCAGTTATTCTGTGGACCCAGTTGAAAATAAATCTCCTGCAACAGAAAGTACGGCAAACACTTGATGGGATGGTTATTTTTATATCTGAATACTTGAATAAATTATTTGAGCTTAAAAAAACTAGCAAAAAATGAGTGATATAAGCAGCGTTCCAATCTACTGTAACTGACTAGTATATCTAATTGTTTTACTCAACCTCCTTTGTGCAATATTCTTGCTCAGTCAACATTATTAGCTGATAGTCTGACTGATGCACATCTGTTAAGACACAATGTATTACAGTCTAAACTACCTCCTAATTATTCCAAATTAATATTGCCGCTGATAAACACTGAACATGGCCTTGAAACAAATGAATGCATCAAAACAGTAAGTTTACCACTGATAAAGGAAATAATTCCCACACCCCAAACTGGCATTAAAATTACAGTTTAATGCCAGTTCAAGATGATGAACCAAGCAAAGACAGTAGATCCTTAGTGGAGACAATTTTCTATAAGCACGTGCCATTGAATCTTCAGTTGATAAACTGGAAAAAGCATTTCAAAAGGCAGGTTGTATTTAGAGTAAACAGGAGAGTTCTATTGACGTAACATACTCCAGTCTGTTTGCATGCAATATTCATTTGAACACTCACCGTCTTTCACTGGGAGGAGGTCTCATTACGGCTATGGTCGGCTGTAACAGTGTAAGGCCCATTACTACGCTTCCGATGAAAGGATGTGGGCTGGCATTCTAAAAGTAGACCAGCGTAGCTTTTAAAATGTTTTCTACACGTTTTCATAAGACGAGGACAAGCAAGGGGCAACTATGCATTATAAATTAAATCTGAATTATTTTCTGAGGGCATGCGCATCTACTATAAACCAGCAAACTTCATGTGGTCAGGAACCAAGCAAGGTCATCTCTGGATCAAGTCGTTTTTTTATGCTTAATAATAATAATCATCATAATAATCCTTGCATTTGATATAGCACCTTATCGTCATCCGGACGTCTCAAATCGCTTCACAGGATTTTACTGTGAAGTGGAGTGACTGTGTATTTGTAGGCAAATGCACTGTCCCACAAACAGCCATAATCATTATCCTGAGTAGGAAATTAGATTTTTTTCTGAGGACTGACATCCTTAGTCAACACCGGCTAATTTGATTTGCTTTGAAAACTGTAAAGGACAGTTGCATTTAATTAGTTCTATCTAACAATTGAAAGTGTTTTCTGCATTTTAAAAACCTTTATTTTCTGCTACATAAATCCACTGTATGAGAGGTGCGTGAGTTCAGCGCACAATTCAGGACTTACGCTGCTCAGTCCTTGTACATGCACAAATGAGAGCACAAAGGCAATAATCGTTACTCCAACAGTGAGCATCATCAAGGACCTGTGGATCTAAAGAACATCAGGGAAATGTTTTAGCGCAGGAGCTTAAAAGCAAATTTTGTTTTTGGGCACCAGTGTTTCTCCAGCCTACCTGAAACCAAAGGTCTTTCTTCTGGAATCTCTTTCCCTTCCAAGCTCTCTTAAAGTATCGAGCAATAATCATACCCATACTTCCAATGCACATCCATGCGATTAGCATCAATGCACCTATCGTGAAGAGTAATTAGCAACATTTAACACTTCGAAAAGATGCTTGAAAGCGCAGCACGAAATGTACACCGCCAGAATATTTTACAAATACAAACTATGCTTTGGTTATAATTTGATGTGCTTGGATTTAAGGAGATTTATAATAATAATAACCCTTGCATTTGATACAGCGCCTTATCGCGTCTTTGAGACTTTTCAAAGCGCTTCACAGAATATACTGTAAAGTGAGGTGACTGCATATTTTGTGGGCAAAACGTGGCAGCTAATAACACACAGCAGCGTCCCACAAACAGTCAAGGATCGGGTGAGCAATTTATTATTATTATTTTTTTTTTTTTTAAGGAATTAGTACCCCCGGAAAAGCGATCCCCAATTGACTAACAACCGGGATTAAAGAAGATGGCCCAACATTTCCCCCTGCCGGGAAATGAACCCGGGTTCTCTCGCTTGCAGGCGAGTGCTCTAACTATTGAGCTGCAGGACACCACAAGTCATAGTAAAGTTGTGAATTAGAAATTCGTGGGTGATTATCTGTTTTAACATCCGAAATAAAGTTTGCTGGTTTACCGTGAACTTTGATAACCACTTTACTTCGTGTTCCTCCAAGTGCCAGGGTTGGTGCAGATATATCCACTTTGACTTGTGAAATGTATGGGTCACTTTGATGCTTCTGAATGTAGCCTGTATTAAAATTAAATGTTTTCATCTTAAAACCATTCACGGTGTCTGCAGACTCTTCTGTACATTCTGCACATTATTTGTATTCTACAGCGTTTCAGATACCCTTTAAGAGTATGAATCGGATTCCAAACACTGAGTTGAAAAATATTATATACGATAATCACTTGTGGTGGTTATTCCATTGATAAAAAAAATACAGTCCAAAACAATATTTTTATTATCAACCGGTTTGGGTTTGAACAACCCCAAATCACCACAAATATAATAATAACAACACAATAATAATCCTTGCATTATTGAAATAGCTTAACACGTCTTCAACACGTCTCAAAGTGTTTCACAGAATATACTCTAACGTGAATTGACTGTATTATGGTTTATGTTTAGAGGTTGCCAAAGACTTCAGCTGCTGACATGGTTATTGCCATGTTTCAGTATTGCTGTTCAGGAAACCAGCCCAACTCTGATCACTGGTGAGAATTAATTAACACATCACACGTTATATTATTCACTCCCATCTACTTCAAAAGTGCCTGTGGTGTCGGACTGATTCACAGAACCTTGATACTCACTTCCGCTCTCGGCCTTACGTAGTTCAATGCTCTGAAGCAAAATTTACTCATCCAAGAGAGATTAAGAAAAAAACATAAAAAGACATTGAATGATACATTTTCTTTCTGTCCACACAACTTACCATTGCTGGCTGGTCCATGTGCATACAATATGTAGTACGTCCTGTCTGTGGTGATGTTTCTCGAAGTGAACGCACACTTAATGATTCCATTCTCATAAACTGTAGTAATATTTATAATTGCTTCCTATTTCCATCAAAATAAAGCCTTTTTAAGTCCACATAGCTTATTAAAAGCAACATAGTTTCTATTAAAGACAGATTCATTTCATTTATGGCACATTTATCTTCCACTTGTAACGCCATGAAGAGGGACTTTGGGAATTCTTTGCTTCTGCACCAATATTTTGCTGATTTCACCAGCCTTTACTTTGCACATGCGCACTATTACCATGCGATGATTGAATGTCATGATATAGAATTGGGGCTAAGGTAAAGTAAAGGAAACGATGGTTGATTGCTTAGATAACTTCACTTACATATAATTCTCCAGCTTCCGCTACATTTGTTTACCTCAGTCTCTGTTTGGGTCAAAACTAGAACATGCTTGCCAGTGTAGAGGCAACTATTGGGTTGTGCCATTTTGGAGCTAATTTCCACATTAATGTAAGTTCCTCATCATGCAAGAGCACTTTAGCTTAGAGCTAAAATGGACTTAGCATGTTAAATGCAATCACTTGAAAGAGATCATAAAACACATCAATGAATAGTTCATTATGTCTTTAGGATTCACGTTCTTCATTACGAATATGAACCACACATCCTTTTCAAATTATTTCTGAAGGCTTCATCATAACCTCAATCTGTATTAGAATCATGTAGTTTGCCATTAAAATGACATTATTTTATTTATTCAACATTCATTTATCCTGAAAAATCACCAACCAGAGAGCGAGATATGGGAGTAGTTCTTCCAGTTGTGTACGCATGCACCAGGTTCACTTTTCCACTGGATCCCAACACACAAATATAAACATCATCGTTACCCTAAAGGGGAAGACAACGTGTGTTCATACAATAACTCTAAAAGAGGTGGCATTGCCACTAAGCAGATCACATTAATGATTTCCAATCGGATTGCCCCCATCACAAGCACGCATCATTCAGATGCACTATACTTAGCATCAGGAGAAATATCTTAGTGTGATAGTGCTTACACCTTCTATCACAGAGATCATTAGGCAAGTCCTTCAAACCTCCAAAATGTTGATCAGTTAGGCTGTAAATTAAATCCACCAATAAGCAGAAAAATACTTTCTCTTTATACTATACTACTGTTGAAATGCTGTTCACGGTTCGGTAACTGTAAGGTAACTGTTACTCACCATAAACTTATCATCTGATAAACCAATCGAAATGTAGCCATTGGAGCTGCCACTAATTTCAAATTTATAATCTCTGTTATTTCCTTTGGCCACCGACATAAAGTAACAGTTTGGAAGCTCTGGATTGCACTCTGGTGGGTTGATGAAACAGAACTTTGTGGTGCCACATTGATCAGCCGAGATGTGAACCTGGGAAAGCAATTCCAGTGAATTCAGGTTTACGCGTGCCGGTATTTACTCCAGTGACAAAGATTTGACAGGACAGCCTGACAATGAGATGAAGGAAACAAATGGTTACACTTGAGTTTAAGTTAAACTACACGAGGAAACGAGAATTATATCAATATTAACAGGAGAAACTTACGTGATTGAAATACATATGTGCATATTGTGCACATCCATAGAGACACTGCTGTGCACTGTTGATTGCTGCATTTCGCCCACAAAACATGCAATCAATTTACTTCACAGTTTATTCCGTGAAACACTTTGAGACATCTTGAAGATGCGATAAGGCGCTCTATCACATGCAAGGATTATTTATTCAATGAAGTACAGTATTAGTGGACTTACTGAGTCTGCTTGAGCAGTGGTGGTTGGTGCAGTGGATCCATCGGATGGAGTGACAGGAATGGAGGAGTTAATAGTTGTCTGCACATTAATCCAAAAGGATTGCATATCATGAAGTACAGTTACTCTGAAGAAAACAGTTAAAACTGGTCTTAAATACACTCAGTAACAGTTCATCAAACTCACTAACTGAATGAATAATCACGGTATATTGCCTCTGATCTTGGGTGCGTCAATCAGGGTTTCATGTAGTTTTCTGTATACACAGGAGCCAAATTCAATGTGATCTACAGAAGTTTTACTGATGAAGCAACAACAACTTGCATTTATATAGCGTCCTTCACGCGGGATCGTGTCCCGAAGCAATCAAACAGTGGTGCACAAACGCTGAACTTTGCAATGTATGTGCCACAAAACACAATGATTAGAATACAATTACCTGAATTCAATGGCTCCTACGTTTTGTTGTGGAGCTATCCAGACTGCCTTAACTTGTTGCTTTCTGTCACTTGTTGTGTGACTTACAGCAGTTTTCTGTGTGGAATGTTTTTCAACATTGATTTTAGTGTTAATGCAAACAGTATAAAATAACCAATGTGTTAATAGGATTTCATAGTTGCAATATCCCACAGTCACATTTTCACCTTGTTTTTTGTTATTAGCAAAGCCAATTATTGAAGTATTATGTTAGAGTTAGAGATACAATCCGTTCCGATAGGTTGTGTGAAGAGATAGACCCGTTTAGGACTGACCTCTCACAGTAGGTAATAAATAACACATACAAAGCCATTTCTACCACAAATTAACTACACACAGATCATGTCTATCCAAATGGGGTATTTATCTCTCCTCGTGACACTTTTCCGTATAAAATTTTCACAAAAAAAAGCAACACTTCGAAACAATAATTGAAAGTTTATTGAAGAAATAAAAATTGAAGCTGGTTTGTGTTTACCAGGAAAGTGATTAACTTTCTTAATTTTGGGTCGACCAACATACACCCCCTGTTCCTATTTCACTCTTAAATTTCCTCTTGTTCAGAGAACAGTTTTTTGAGAATTGAAAGAGCTTGAATTTGAAAAGAAGAAGTATTTGGGAATACTTTTCAAGCATTCCAAAATAATTGCTTACCGTTCCTGAACAGTCAAGTGCTTGAGTGTTGGGATCGATGATGCGAAAAGTTCCGAGTGGCTGATCTCCTTCTGGTGTTGCTCGTGCCTCAAGCAGAAACCCTTTAAAATTGTTTCCCAGATTTCCAGCCACAGTTACTTTAACACAGTGTGAACAACACGCTAGTTAATAACAGCTCTTGACCCGTTTCCGACACGTGTTCGGCTGCTAACACTGATACTGCACAACTGCGGATTCCCTCACTATGACAAGGACCTCTGATTTACAACTCCGCCAGCCTCGCTCTGCTGAATAATTGGAAATCCTTCATCAGGACCCTTTTGACTTGAGATAGAGTGACTGTAACAGAGCCTATTAGCAACATGCAAACTGGATGAGCGAGGACAGTTTGAAGAAGATGGGCTGCTCTTTGGAGGGATATTCTGCGTGTAACGAACTTACGAATAAGAATTTACAACTAGAAAGGGTGCGTGTTTGCAACTATTATGTATCTGTGCCCTCATTCTTGGCCCACAATGTCTGAAGTTCAAGGGACATTGATAAGTCTATAAGGTGTAGCTTGATTTACAACAACTTGCATTGATACCAGCGCTCTTCACGAGGAGGAATGTTTTACAGAGGCAATACTGTTGGAATCCCACAATTAAAAAGAAACAAGCAAATAAGATTAATAAGAATAAATGTAGTAAATAATTTGCTGAATTGTACAGGTTGTCCGTGATTAAATGGCGATGGCAGACCAGCACTGGGACAATTGTGGCCTTAAATTTTGCTGAACATGTAAACTACACTGCAGCCACATTTTAAGCAGTGCAGTGATTTTTACCTGTGATTTCATCTCCAGCATTATATGAGGTGTTACTTGCACTGACAGTATAAGGAGCAGTTGATGCTTGTGCTGCAAAACCATGCTCTGGAATCATGGAATCACACGAACTTTGCACACGTCCATTTGAATAACCGTGGACTTTAAGAACAGTATTGGCGGTCAGAAGCAGCAAACCAATTGACAGGCTCATCTGGGGAAGAAACATATAGGATTGATTGGCAAGGACACAGCACGGATAGGTTTGTCTCCTGTAAGCAGTGCACACCGACAGGTAGGATTTCAATCCTAGCTGCAAAAATAAACACTGCTACTCCTGATAATTCGATCCTAGCTTAACTAGTTCACAGCTGTTTTAAGTCATCATGATGTCACTATCCTGGCTGCATGCATTTTAAGTGTTTATACATGTGCCTAACTCGCCACTCTGTACAACTCGGCCCTTTCCCCCTTCCAGCGCCTTGGGACGTCCTCCCGACGTGACAGGCGCTATACAAGTGTAATTTTGCTGCTGTTGGAGTGACGAGTTCTCAGGAGTTTTACTGTGCAAGACTTGTGTACGTTCTTGGAACTTCACTCTGCAATGCCTACATTTCCGCACAAAGCAGCAAGTTACATTCCTTTGGCAATTACTGGCCATAAAGTGCCTTACTATCAGGTCTAGCAGTGAATTTGAATGCAATTGTTATCTTTTAGCTCCAGTGTGCAAGCACACGAAGAACATCTTGTGAAATGTAAGAAAGCACGAAGTACAAAAAGGTCATTTTTCATCCCATCAATCCTTCCACGCCCTATAATGGATTTAACCTGCCTATCTCCTGAGAGAAAAGTATTGTTGAAATAGTCATTGTGCTATACAGTTCACCAAACAAAAACTGCAGAATAGTTATCAATCTTCACATATTCTCACAGCTCCCTCATCCCAACAGCGCACACAGAAATCATTGTCTCATGACGTAGTCATTCCAGTCTGCACATACCCCTATATCTTCCAATACTGCAATCAAGCAAACGCTTTACTCGTGCAGTTATTTTCTGAAGATGTTTAACTGATGCGGTAAGAAATTATTTCATTGAGGTTACATTTAAATACCTCCCACCCCCTGGTGTAGTAAGTACAAAATAGTCAATTCACTTTACAGTATATACTGTGAAGCGCTTTGAGACGTCTAGTAGACGCGATGAGGCGCTATATCAAATGCAAGGATTATTATTATTATTATGACTGAGTAGAAAGACATTTTGCTAAGATTTTGCTTGAGGGACAGTCTCTTCTAACAGCATTGATCCACATGCAATTCATTGTGCTCTGTTGAAGTGTTGCTAAATTGGCCACATCTTCCTTTGAAAACACTCCTATCTACATCCTGTAACTCTAAATGTTCTAGTTGTCCGGTAATGCACAATTTGGGTTTCCTCTGATAACGGGTTGATTCAGAGCAGTTACTTTGAGGAGATTTGGATTGGTAATGTCAATACAGTGGGCCCTTCTCTTAGTTCTATCACTTCTAATAAAATATTAAGTTTGGCTTGTGACAGATCGTTCAATCAGTGGACAGGAAATTGTGATGCCATCTTCTGTTGGTCAGACTGTATCAAATGGCTTATGAATAAAATAGTGTCTACAAGTGGTGACGTGCGCTGAAACTACAGGTGTAGAAAAAATTGGAGATTGCAGTTGTATCTAAAAAGGCTTGGAACTAGACATCTGTCTCCCAGCAGACCACACAAAACCAGCTCTTCTCTGGATTTTCTCATACATTCTTCCTCTTGGATAAAACTCATGGAATGCCAGACTGAATTTAGTTTCGAACTTTTGAGACATACTTTATTTATGGCGAGAAAAGATTCACTGGACATAAATAAATGACACCACAGCATATTTCCTTGCTAGATTTCGCTATTAAAATAGCAGTCACTACACTTTATAGTATATTCAGTGAAGCGCTTTGAGGCATTTCAAAGACGTGATAAGGTGCTACATCAAATGCAAGGATTATTATTATGATTATATTATTTTATTTCAGCCACTACCACAAAGATATTTTAAAGAACTTGCATATCTCTCGTCATTCACATAAGGTAATATCTCAGAGCGCTGAACATAGATGGGATCGGACATTGAAGAACAAGGAAGAGAGAGGGTAAAGTGTAGGTGTGGTCAAAGAGGTATGTTGTAAGGCTGGCCTTCGAGACAAGATAGAGAGGGGTTCAGAGAGGGGGGTAAAGGGGGCATAGAAACTTTTTGTTTTCAGATTATATAGACAAAATCAAATCAACTTGGAAATAATATGAGTAATATTCGCAAACTACTTGTTTAAATTACCTTCATTCAGGAAGTACTGAGAGCTTACTGTTAACTTACATTCCTTTACTTCCTTTTATAATAATAATACTTAGATTTGCAGCCAATTGTGCACAGCAGTGTCTCACGAACAGTTGTGGATTGAGTGACCCAATTCTTATAATTTTTTTTTTGGAGGATTAGCCCCGGAAAGTGATCCACCAATCGCATAACAACCGGGTTCCTACTTACTGCTATGTAAAAACAGAGATTGTGTGTGTGTGCAGAAAGGAAACTTGCCTGACATTAGGGCGAGTGCGAGATGGACAAAACATAAACACGTCAACACCGACACCCAAATACGGGTGTTCTCCATTTACATGATACTTCACTTAGAATTTGAGAGTACCTTGGTTCAGAACAGTTTTGTTTGGCTGTAAGTAAACCACCACTTCCTCGCTGTTCCTGTTCTCTAGTTTGGAGTTATGCTTTTCAACGACGCTTGGTTTCGCAGGTTACATAATACGACTGGATAAAGTGTACTATGAATTCAGTGTGTCCTTCGGATGTGATGCCGGCAAAAAGCACTCCTATTTGTAAGCTTTGTCAGATTGACAATCAGAATTGTTTGGGAAACAATAAATTGACAGCTACACAAGCCAATCATGGAAGCAAGATCCTTGTGACTACTCTTTAAGGTTGGCTAAGATCCACATGGTGTAGGAAGTGTTTGAAAATACAGACAAACCACACTTCTCTGTAAGCAAACTTTCTTTATGAAAACAAAGTACAAGCTTTATGTGCGCGCGTGTGTGTGTTTTTTTAAACTTTCTTTAGAGACGAGGATTATCAAGTCCCTGCATAGATATTATCTGTGAACAATGAACAGGAAATACCCTTTTTTGTCAGTTTCTTCTTGTTTCAGACTTTTCTTACGCAATCTGTTGCCAAATAGAAGGAAGTTAGCAGAGAGTGACTAGTTGCAGCAATGCTGGATCCTTTCAAATACGCTTCACAACAATTTTTTATTGTGCCCAATATATTCACTCCCGAGACTTCAAGAAAAGGCTGTGGGATCTTTGTGCAGTAATGAATTGTCAGCCTTACTAATAACATTGTAAAACACTTAAATGGGTCGAAACTCTCCTTTGTAAACCACTCTGCAGCAGGAAGGAGGTGAGGAAATATAAAATAGGAACCTGACACTCGCTGAAAGGAGAAGAAAAAAAGAGCAACGGAAAGATGAAGCTGGGCACATTATACTTCATGTTGCATTTGAATACCTCAATCACAACTACTGTAAGAAAGATGTAGACTGATGCAATAAAATTAATAGTGTTACCAGGAATTCTTCCCAATCACATCATTCACACTTATTGGCAATTAATTTTGGAACAACTTAAGAGCTGAATGTGCGATGCTGCCTTTGAAAGGCAGCGTTCTTTAAGTATAGTCGGATCGTTTTCTTGCCACTGAGATTGCCTTGCCATGTCCGAATCAGTCAGATACGAGCGAACATAGGATCAGTGCTCAATTCTGTTTGGATTTGTGGCTAAAGTGTTGAAATCTTGCGTTATGACCTAAGTAAAGATGCAGGAAATCCCGGTGAATCACGGTCCACAAGACAGTTAGTTCATCACTGTTGCAAGTGACATTTTAAGTTTGTCCAATTGCCACTAGGAGTGCTATCAGAAAAGCTAGATTTCCACACAGATACACAACCAGAAGGATGCTTTCGAGCTCCACCTGCAAAGTAAGAGGTGAGAAGCATGATTGAATGCAATCCCATCAAGGAATGGGTGTTTCAGTGTTTATGTTGGAAGGGGTTAGTCTCTGCTATGTGCGAGTCTTTAATGCCTGGCCCTTATTACAAAACAAAACATGCAATGTAATATTACCTTAAGATTTCAATGCAAAGGATACCATGCTCTGGAGCTACTTTCATTTATTCTTACCTAGCAAACGAGTCCTTATTTATACAAGCACAATTTTATTAATAACAAACTCGCTTTAAAGCTGTCCAACTTTTGTTATATTTTCCCCTTTAACCCCTGATAAAAAAAAAGACATTTACCTTCTTTTGGAGATTGCTGTATATAGCTGCAGAGACGAGAGAGATTGAAAGTACATTGGGTTAGTATAAATCAAAATGTTCTGAATTCATGGGAGAAAAGTGAAAATAACGTTGAGTTATTCCTTACCCATTCTTCCAGAATATTGTTTTCCTGCAATTAGGAGGTAGATCAGGGATTCCCAGCCAACAAATCCTCCCATAACCTTCACAGGCCATCGACTCGGTGCTACATTTATTAGTTGAAATCCAAGAAATATAGCGGCCACTAGTCAGAGGGAAGTCAGATTTTCAGAAAGTTACTTGGAGGCTTGCAAATTGTCTTAGTAGAATAAAATAATAAAGTATTTAGTTTTTTTAATTCAGTAATAATACGAAAAATAATTCATGTGAACGAATAAGTTATCACAACATGTGTAGAAAGAGCTCCTTCTACGAAGCCGCTTGCATTTCTCTGATGCATTAAGTGTCATTTGTTAACGTAAGATGTATTTAGTAGCTGCATTATTGAAGCTTTTTCCTCAGACAAGTACTGATTAATCATTTCAAGAAGAGCATTGCTACATTACATCATAATTATTTTTGTTTGGTTACATTTTAATCATGACGTACCTGCAAGGACTTTGATCACAAGAGCCATGAGAACGTGAAACCAATTAAAAATAAATCGCCTGTCAAGAAAGTAGACATTTTATGCAGTTAACACTTGTTGAAATGCCAATATTAGCATTGGTATTACTTAATAAAAGATAAATAATTTAATGTAAAGCAATGAAAAAGATTTCTCCCCAGGTTTCAAACATGAGAAAAACAGCAACGTAAATTGTCGGCAAAGGGTGAGAGAATTTGCTACTCTAGCAATCAGGTATAGTTGGAGGGGGTTCAGAAAAATTAATTATGTCTGAAGTTTGCCTGCATCTTGCTAATATGTGAGCTTCAATGTATTTCACCAGATAAACTGGTCCTATTAACGGCAGAATTAATAAGTCCTGACCCTATTTTTACCAAGTAAAGCTCAGGAATTTTAAAGAGCACTTGTGTGCATACCAAGCTAAATATTTTTACCAACACACCTTTCACTAAAGAAACACGCTCTCAGTTAGTGCAGCAGTCTCTAATCTCATGAAGCAGACTGCTATTCCATGTCTCAGAAGTTTATTCAGCCCTTCTTAAGTTTCTAAAAAAAGCTTAAAAAAGCAGATTTCTCATTGGATTTACAGTATGAGGTACAATGGCTATTCTTATAAGAAATACAAGTCAGTTGGGATCACTGAACTGTTCTGGTTTGAAGAGTTTTTTTTCTAAAGAGCAGAGCATTGAGAGGTGAGTGGGATCACGTGGCAAGTTGAAACTCAATGGTTACAAATCATAATGTTCACGTCATTCAATTTCTGTAGTTTCCCTCTTCCTTCTACAACTGAAGAACAGCAAAGGCACAATACATAAACGTTCCAGCAATGTTGTGGACCCAATGGAGCACAATAACGGTGAAGGAGGGAAGGAGGGAGGAAGAAAAGTCCGAAGGATGCACTGAACTGTTAGGGTTTGTAAATTTAGCAATGACTAGAGAATTTCCCCATGATTTCTGTAAGGCATACTTTGATCTGGGCCACACTGTGAGCAATGGTGGGACATTATTATTATTATTGTTCCCTTTAAGAAGGGCAAATCCACAGCTGTAGCAAAGTGGCCTCCAGCAACCAGCTGAAGGGAGAAAACAGAAAAGGTGGTTCACCTGCTTAGAGACAGGCGGCTGTCTGATGAGAATCACAAAGGAAGACAATTCCGCCCACAAAATGCACAAAATTCATTTTACTGTATATTCTGTGAAGGGCTTTGAGACGTCTGGGATTTGGGAACCACATTTGGGATTTCAAGTCTCGAGGAGCAATTTCGGGATCTGATTGGTAATTAAACAAACCTCTTGTGATCTGGCGAAGGGCGCCAGATGGCTACAATTGGCTGTATCAGCGCAAGCCCCATTACAATACAGCCGAGGACTGGATGTGCTCCTGCATTCTGTGGATCAAACACAAAGACAGTTGCTTACAATAGGAAAACACTGAGTTACAGGACAAGTACTTTGATTGTTCTCAACTTGCCTACCAGTAGGTCAGATGATTTACCAGTCAGTACAGTCTGTAACTCATGTCGAAATTCTTTGCTAATTGTACAATCTGCACTATTGATGGTGTCACTGCAACACTGGAAACGGCAAAACCGGATGTTACAACAGCACTACTGACCGTTTTGATGAAAACAGAAGAAAAAATTAATTCCAGGACTTCCAACATTTTGGAATGAAGTAACGAAACGTTGCTTTGTATTACTGGTCTGGTTTCTGTATTATTTAATAATAATAATAATAATCCTTGCATTTGATATAGTGCTTTTCACGTCGGGAGGACGTCCCAAAGCGTTTCACAGAACACACTGTAAAGTGAATTGACTGTATATTTGTGGGCGAACACGGCAGCTAATTGCGCACAGCAATGTCCCACAAACAGTCGTAGATTGAAAATGACCAATTTATTATTGTTTTTAGTTTGAGGGATTATTATTATTAATAATCAGAAGGTGAAAAAGTAAAAATGATCCTTTTAAGAGTCTTCAGACAGGTATCATTTCTGAATCAGTAAAAAGCTTCTGCTACTGGTGTGGGGCCACAATAAGCAATACTCCAGTGACACAAACACAAAATACAACTGCAATACATCAAATCTTAAACTAGACTCTTACGCTATCCTTTCTTGCTTTCAAAGTCCTGTTCTATTTTACTTGTACTCCTGAAATAAGCAGTACAAGTTAAAATCTTGTTCTATCCTTTAATATCAAGCTCTAGAATCGTATTAAATCATATGAAATGTTATGATCCCAACTGATACAACATATGAGTTTTATTATACATAAACGTAAATTGCTGTTGTTGATTGCTTTGCACCCCCAAGGCTAACAAGACACAAATAACCAATGTTACCGAAACAGACAACGCACATTCAAGCTACATACAAAACCTACACGCAGGAAAAAAAGTGTTGTGAATACTTACGTAACTCCAACCCTTCACATGCACAAAAGGCAGCACAAAGGCAGTGATTGTTGCTGCAACAGTTAGAACCATCAGCGATAGGTGAACCTAACAAAACACTGAGAGAATTAATACAGAATCCGATTTCTTAGACACATTTTCATTACTAGCCCAGCTTTCCTGATCCAAAAAAACCCCAATTCTCTTCAGAGCTGTTTGAGGGTAAATGTTTCTGAACCTGTGGAATTGATGTGGCTATCACAGTTTAGTACAATGCAACTGTTTACACTTCACAAGTTATGCACTGGTCAGGACTCTGTTACACCCAAAAAACACATTTTGCGTCTCTCAAAAGAGCAATTGTTCACCTTCCCAACCATCCCCCTCGTCTTGCTGACGCAGATAATTATAAACTAATGCAATTGATCAGAGTGGTGAAAGGAACTAAATGCCACAGTTGTGTAAACTGCAATGATGGTATGATTTTTGCTAGAGAACGTGGCAGACAATTTGTGCACAGCAATGTCCCACAAATCGCCATTAAATGAGGGACTCATTTTATTTGGGGGATTATTGGCCAGAATACCTGGAGAAACTGCCTTCGCTTTTCGAATAATGCCATGGAATCCTTAACAACTGCCTGACCAGACCGACAGGACCTCATATTAACAGCTCATCCAAAGGGCAAAACCTCCAATAATGCAGCACACGCCCATCACTGCATTACACTCTCAGCCTCGACATGTCAGCTTGACCTGGGGCTTGAACCTACAAGCTTCTGACTCAGAAGCAAAAGCGCTACCGACTGAGCCAGACTGGCACCCAAATAGTAAAAGTGCAGGTGTTTCAAACGTACATAACAAAGGGGTTGTATTGCACCCAAGAGTGGCTTTATAATAATAATAATCCTGACATTTGATATAGCGCTGTTCACGTCTTCTAGGCGTCTCAAAGCGCTTCACAAAATAGACTGTAAAGTGAATTGACTGTATATTTGTGGGCAAAACGGGGCAGCCAATTGCGCACAGCAGCGTCCCACAAACAGTCGTGGATTGAGTGACTGAATCATTATTGTTTTTTCTCTTGAGGGATTATTATCAGGCGGGTGGAATAAGGAAACTTGCCCGAGGTTTGGCCCTGCCGGGAATCGAACCCTGGTCTATCGCTTGCGTGGCGAGTGCTCTAACCACTGAGTTAAAGGCTTTCTAGTTAAAAATGTTGTGATCAGACCCTGCAATGGACTCAGAAGTCAGAGAGATCAGCATTGTAGGGTGAGCAATAGTCGTTGCTCAGCTAATAGGGCGATTTACATTTTTAAAAACAGAGTAATCTTTTCAGTTGGTAGCAGTTGGAACATACCTGAAACCAAACAGCCTTGCCCAAAATCTTCCTGTTTCCAACATTCTTAAAAAATGCAGCAATCATCATACCAATGCTTCCGGTTGTCATCCAGGCTATCAACATCAAGGCACCTTTAAAATAGAACGAGTTACATTTCTTACTCAATTTACCCTTCAAGATGGACTCAAAATGTTGTTTTCTCTCATTTCAATCATAATAATAATCCTTGCATTTGATATAGCGCTTTTCACGTCGGGAGGACGTCCCAAAGCCCTTCACAGAACACACTGTAAAGTGATTTGACTGTATATTTGTGGGCGAACGCGGCGGCCAATTGCGCACAGCGATGTCCCACAAACAATCGTAGATTGAAAATGACCACTTTATTATTGTTTTTGGTTTTGGAGGGATTATTATTAGGCTCTGTGTGGAGTAAGAAAACTCGCCCAAGGTTTCGCTCTGCCTGGAATTGGACTCAGGTCTCTCGCTTGCAAAGCGAGTGCTCTAACCACTGAGCTACAGGACTCCACATGTTTAATCCTGGGCACCGTTGTGTTGTGCAAAGCAGAAGGTTGTTTTTTGTCATTCAATCAGAGCAAGGGAGAGTGAAAATTGTTCTAATTGTTGTGAGGCTTAGTAATAACAACTGGATTGTCATTACAGAACACTGAATGGAACAGACAACTTGACCCTTTGTCTATTTCTTCTGTTTCCTTCATTCCATTAGCCCTTCCCGTCTGTCAGTAAACTGTAAATCACCGAAGTGCTTTGACCACTTTAGGCATTTCTGTTACCGTGAATCACACAACCGACGAACACGTCACAACTCTAAATTGCTCTGCGTTTCCTAGCAAGTATAGAAACAACACCGCAACTGCACTCTTATCTCCTTTGGTGGAGCAGGATGTGCATCAAAAATGAAACATCACAATCTCTTCTCTCCTAGGATTTGTTTGTGAAATTGAATCCTGCTTCACAACGCTCAAAAAAAGCACAAAGCAAGGTTTTTTCCAATCGTCTTCATGTCCCAAACGGGCAAGCCTTTAATCAGCATCACTCCAAATTAAAGTCTTTTTTTTTTATTTGTCCCCCTTGTTTGTTAAAAGTCTTTGCAGTTGTACTATTGGGTGAGTTATCTTTTATTTGCAAAATGTAACCAATGTTGGTCTCTGGTTATGATATGACTCATTGCCAAACCTTCAAGGGTCACACATTAACCATCTATTTAGTTCATGTTTAGAAATAGTTGGAGACCATGTTTGCATGGAATACTTTTCCTCATGATACGAAATACAAATTTGGAAACAAATTCAAATTCAATATTCTTAAATCAATCTTATTTCATTCAAGAAAGGAAGCAGTCGGTAACTTTACCGTGAACCTTGATGAGGATAGGTTTACTGTTGGTCCCTTCTGTTAACTGTGGAATTGAAACATCTACCTTCTGGGAAGAGATGAATGGCAACTTTGAATGTTTCTGTATCCGATCTGAAAAATTGGAAATAATTTCAATAGTTGTTTTGACTTCTATGTGACACTCCACATTGTGCATTCAGTGCTATACTTGTGGAAACTCAACATATAACGTCTATTGTGATTTTCATATTTTTTACCATTGGTATTTCACAGGTAATACAATAAAAATATTATAGGTGATGATAAGACGAGTGAATAGGCCACACCACAATCATTCTGGGCTCCACTGTTCACAAAGCTAAGGACGCTACAAATTGACACCAATTGAGATTTCAGAGAACATATCCTGAAATCTGAGCATTAATAGAACCACAGATATTGAAGAGTGGTGGATAAAATTAAGCCAAATATTTGAAACGGCTTTCTACATTTGCAGTGGAGATGATTTAGAAATATAGAAACAGGAGTAGGCCATTCAGCCCCTCGAACAAGTTCCTCCATTTTAATAAGATCACTGCTGATCTGTACCTCAAGTCCAATTACCAACCCTTGCCCCGTATCCCTTGATATCCTGACCTAACAAATATGTATCTCCATCTCAGTCTTGTGGAGTTTAATGGCAGCAAAAAGTTACTGGTTTGATTTGATTTATGGGAATAAACTCATTACTTTACAAGGCATTCTGTTGTGAACTTGTAAGCCTGGATAACTCAGGAGTTTTTCATTGGGTAATAGATTTTGTTTTCTATGTACTAACGAGTTTTCCTTTCCATACTCTTACTCGGAATAAAAATTCAGCATCTAACCTCGATGAGGTACAGAACATCTGAACTTACGACATTAACATTAACAAACCGGTTCTGCTATGTGCCCTTTGTGTGACTTACCCCCATCTGTAGATCCATAAGCAAAGAATAAGTAGAACATATTGTTGGAAGCTCTTTGTGTTGTTGAGATGCTATTTCTTGTGATGAACGAGCACTTGATAACTCCATTTGTGTCTGAAACACTTATGTTGTACACTTCACCCTGTGTATCAATATACAGAACCATTTCAAACATCTGCTTTGCAGCGCATTATACAGGCAGGTGTTCTGACCTATATATCAAATTGTAGGATTGCTTCAAGGAAGATTCCGGGAATCACTAGGAAACTCCCAGATGTTGAAATCAAATACATTCATGAACAGATTACAGGGTGTGTTAGCCTAAACATTACTACAGCTGAAGTTATTTTTAATTTCAGGTTCTTCAGATATTCAGAATATCAAGTATTCAAATGGAGGTATCAATGAATTATCCTTAAGTAATTCATGACTTAAACTAAGTAATGATCATGTAACTGTTATTTCCGTTTAGATTGTGGGTGAACAGTTACTGGGAAATACCGAACTGCAAACCATGGATGTTTCCAGGTAGCAGATCACACCCAAGAAAGCAGGGTAAACAATGTCTCTGCCAATGAGTTGTCAACCAGCCTTATGTGCTGTCTCATTGTGCAATTTTGTCCTGGTTGTAATTACAAAGGGATAATGAAAGGTCTTGCTCTTCAACCGATCTGAGTTCTCACAGGCAATTGTCCCTTCCACCCACGCTGGAAGCTAGATTTGTTACACGTGACGATTTGTGACATATATTTTTACTCCGAGCACAGTTTATTGATGGAGAAATTCAAGACCATTTACCAGTGGCACAATCCGAGGAGCTGATCTTCCTGTGGAATAGGCTCGCTGAACTTGTATGTTTCCAAAGGTATTCCTACCACAAATGTAAATATCATCATCGCCCTAAATGTAAAATGGAACTGGAGTATTAATGGGAAACCTGACATAATGAAGCAACAAGCATTACAAATACTGTATGTTCTAAACCGTATGACACCTCATACATCACTCAGAAGTGAAGCCCGCCTCTCCCCCACCCACACCTCAATTATTTAGTGTCAGCTGGACATTAAACCAGACAAGAGTCTAAGTTAGTTTACAGCAGTCGGGGCATGTTGGCGTTTCTTTCTTGTTTGAACAACCTTTGGTTCAGGCTTGCTAAAACGAGGGTGACCTTTTATTTATTACATGCACATTAAAGACGCCGACATTTTCCAATATAAAACAATCAGCTATTTGTAAGTTATCTGTAACAAAACTACTTTAACAGTTGTTTGAGCTTTCATTGATAACTTGTTGTTCATGGAGACCTCCTGTTCCAAATCTCTCCTCATTTATTAGAAAGCAGCTCACCTGCAGAGTATCATATAGTAATTCAGTCATGGTATTAACATCTTTGTCACCTTCCACTAAAACCTAACTGTTGCAGAGATTGCTCACCATATTCCGATCATCGGAGAAGCCAATGGAGATGTAACCCGCTGTATTTCCGCTCATTTCAAATTTTAGCCCCTGGTTATCGACGACGATTGATGACATGAAGAAACAGTTCTGATTACTGGCTGGATTGCATGACGCAGGGTTACTGAAGCAAAACTTTGTGGTACCACATCCAACGCTTGATATCTGTGTCCAAGGAGACGTGGGTTTAGTTTCATAATCCCCAGTACAGATTTGGGAGCAAAAAATGTTTTATTTTTTGAATATTAGCTCTTTTCGTACCTAATATTTTAAGGAATTAAACTAACTGCATTAACTGCTTTTGTTTCAGTTATCCAAAACCTTACACTGTGTGCGATAGAATAACTTCTTTTGACTTCTAGTCCAAATTCTGTTAATTTCACATGCGAATTACATACATCGAGTCGGCCTTCCCCACCTATATACTTGCTCATGGTTTCAGTGCTTTATAGACTGGCACTTAGCTGTTCCGTTCATTAGTTGTTGCATTTTGTTCCGTCAACTTCTTTCTCAGTAACGCAGAGAAACAAACAAAAAAACACACACCAGGAATAAACCATTACTGTGTAAGACACAAATGAAACCAAGTCAACTTACTATGTTATTGCCTGTACTAGACATTGATTGCATGGAGACTGAATGCGAAAAGGCTGTGGATTTTGGGGTCACAGTTGTTGTTGACCCTAGCGTGGTAGATCCAGTGTTTACAGATCTTTGAATAACTTGTGACTTGACTTGAGTCCAAAATGTACTTTTGATTTGCACAACTGTTGCCCTGAAAGAGGATTTAGAAATATTATTTTTTCTTTATTTTAGTGCCATTTTTCTTGTCTATTTATAGTCGTGGATTACTTAAACAGATCCAGGTATAATAATGCCAAATAAAGTCTGAGGAGGATTCATTTGATCTGTCTAGAAACTCTTCATAATATTTATGATAATCTTTGCCCCTCCTCATTTCTTAGTAAGGATGAGAAGAAAGTTGGCAAATAATAATTTTAAAAAACTTTTTTAATAAACAATAATAGTCCTGTAGCTCAGTGGTTAGAGCACTCGCTTTGCAAGCGAGTGACCTGAGTTCAATTCCAGGCAGAGGGCGAAACCTTGGGCAAGTTTCCTTACCCCACACAGAGCCTATTAATAATTCCTCCAAAACCAAAAACAATAATAAATTGGTCATTTTCAATCTACGACCGTCTGTGGGACATTGCTGTGCGCAATTGGCTGCCGCGTTCGCCCACAAATATAGTCAATTCACTTTACAGTGTGTCCTGTGAAGCGCTTTGGGACGTCCTCCCGACGTGAAAAGCACGATATCAAATGCAAGGATTATTATTATTATTAATAAAAAACTGATTTCATATCGGGAAGAGATCTCAAAGTGCTTCACAGGAGATTCTAGTGGCTTTGCATTTCAAAGCAAACATAATTTGCGGGCACCAATGTCCCACAAACGGCTAAGAAGGAAATAACAAATTTTGTCTGAGGGATTGTTGCCAGCACATTGGAAGAAACTCCCTTCTCTTTTCAAATAATACAAGGGGATCTTTGATGTTCACCTGAACGGGCAGACAGTTTAACGCCTCATCTGAAGGATGACACTTCCAGCAATGCAGCACGCTGCATGGAGTGCCAACCAGGTCTGGATGAATTCAAAGTTTAATTTAAAAAAAAACTAAAAAGAAAAATTATATCACAATGCTGAAAGATTCAAAGAAATCAAACTACCTGAATTCAACATCATTTGCCTCTGGTGCTTGCCATGTGACTGTGGTCTTTGCTTTGGAACTTCCTGAGTTATGGCTTACGGCAGAATTCTGAGGAGAGAGTTTGTTGGAGGCGTCTGTGAATGACGGGCAATGCTTTATTGTTATCTTTATTCTAGTCACTATTTTTTAAGATTTAAATGACACTTCCCCTCCCTCCCCCCACCCCAAACAATACACATCCAGTACTAAGCAAGTATGTAGAGAACACCACCAGGCCAGACTTGGCCTGTTTTGGTACTGTTAAATTCTCTTTGATTCTGTTTTAACATGAAATCAAGTCGATGCTAATCTTCAACTTAGTAACGTGCAATATAATCATAGAAAGGTTCTTCCAGATAAAGTGCTGTGTGTGTGTGTGTGTGTGCTAATCTCGCTGCTCGTCGCTCAAAGCAAAACATGCTTTGGAGACACATGTACATCTTTTGCTTTGTGGAAAACATTCAGGCTAATTTCAAATTAATTCACAGTTAACATCAGAATGCATGTAACTTTTTTGCCAAATCCATTCATCCATTTTCCACATGTCAGCTCTATATTCTAAGGAGAGGCTGCTCAAGACTCTTCTAATGTTGTTCTGGAGTCTGTTATCAGAAGGTGAATCAGAGCATAGCGGAGAATCACCTTCTGAATTTTTCTATTTACTGGCAGAACAAGGCAGGCCCTGATCAGCAGTCTTCTGTAAACACGGGCCAGGATCAGGCACAATTGACCTGAGGACCTGCCCTCTCAGAGATTAGATGTGCGTTATCTAAAATTGCTCTTTTTGAACTATCATTTGGTGTGGTTATCCTTTAACAGCACAGTGTACATACATGCAAGGAATCAGGAACCACTTAGCATGTCAAACATGGCAGGATTCTGACTGTCTTTCCGACAGCGATGAGTTTCTAATGTCTTACCGCATAGGTTGTTTGACTGAGTGTACAGTCCAGGAGCTGAGTTTCAGGATTTGCAGTGAACGTGCCAAGCGGAACAGAGGATGAAGAACCAGAAGCTCGAGCTTCCAGCAAAAATCCTTTGAACTGGGCTCCCGAATTTCCTTGGAGCGTCACTTAAAACAAAATGCAGCAAACTTTCGTGACTTAATACATGCTTATTTTTGACAAGAGTTAGGATACCAGCAACATTTATAATGTTCACCCTAGGATTCCACGCAAAACCAAGAACAAAGGGCAACAGAGATAGGTTGACAGATGACAAGTGTCCCAATTTGGCACAAATTCTTAACTAGTTTTGAGTTTATTCACCCTATAGCTGAATTAATACACTTTGGTCTGTCTCTTTACCCAAAAATGTAGTTTTCCTGGCACATCCAGATTTACATATACAGGTACACTGGGCTGTCCAAACCAATTGTAGTTGTTTTAGTGTTTTGCAGTTTACGAGGGATTAAAAGACCGAACAAAAATCAAAGTTCCTGTATTCTGCCTTAGACTTTTATAATTTTTATTGTGCCACTGTGTTTGACAGAGATCGGAATTGGTCAGAAACAAACTGTTTATACGTAGTTTCGTTATCTTAACGTATTCAGAACTAATAGAATACTGTAAAACCATGAGGAGTAGAATTATTTACTTCATAGCTGTGCACAAATTGGACGCAGTGTTTGCAGACAAATAGTCACTACAATTTACAGTGGCCTTGGTGACATCCTCCTGACGTGAAAGGCGCTGTAACAAATGCAAGGATTTTATATTAATATAAAAGGATATTAATACTGTACCTGAGATGACATCTCCTGGTTTAAACGTTGTGGTGTTTACAATAATTGTGTACGGTGCAGACGAGGTTTGCGCAGCGAACCCATGCTGTGGCATCATACTCTCACAGACATTTTGAACCAATCCACTAGAATATCCTGAAACGGATCCCAGGAAGAGGCTAATAACAGGAACCAGCACCAGACAGGCGTGCAGCGCCATCTAAAATAATAAAGATGCAGGTGAGGGAACAATTTTTCTTTCCAAAAAATAATCATCCTTGACATCTCAAAGCGCTTGACAGAATATACTGTAAGGTGAATTGACTGTATACTTGTGGGTGAAACGCGGCAGCCAATTGCGCACAGCAGTGTCCCCACAAACAGTCGTAGATTGAGTGATCAAATTATTATTGCTTTTTTTTTCTTGAGGAATTATTATCAGGCGTGTGGAGTAAGGAAAGGTTTTGCGCTGCCAGGAATCAAACCCAGGTCTTTCGCTTGCGGGGCAAGTGCTCTAACCACTGAGCTACAGAACTCCTACTCCTACAAAATCATTGTTAATTTGCTCCATTGTTCACGTTTGACTAAATCTTTGTGCTGCGCTTTCCCCTTTGGATCCTCTGGCTTTCTGGAATACAGCAGTAATCTCTAAATTCTATCAGAATTCTATCTATTCTATCTATTCTTTCCTCCACCCAAAGAAAGGTGTCTTGCATCACAGGAAAATCTTGAAAATAACCCTAGTTTTTAAAATGGGGGTAACAAAAAGTAATTGCTATTTTCAAATTAGCTCCTTCGCTAAATGAACGGAAACAATACCAGTGCCAGAATTACTGGAGTTGAGAATACATCAAACCAGATCAAATGAGTTAACCGCATTTAACTTCTGTCTTTAGTTTACTGTCCCCTTCAGATAAAAACATCTCTTACCTTTACCTTTCAGCAGCCGAACTGGGCTCCAGATAAGGTGTGACGAACAAGCCTGAGAGGAACTGAAAACTCCACCCACTTTACCCAAACAAGCAAATACAATTTTCCGCTTTCTGTAAAGGTACAGATTCTTCCCCGATACCTGTTCAGTGCTGGGAACCAACGATAAAAAGGTGCTTGGAATGTGCAAATGTTGCAACTTGAATTTATACATATAATTAATATTAATCGCATCACCACAAAGAATAATCTTGTGATAGTAATCTCATGATTTGCAAGTCAGAATTCCTGTAAACTGTATCCACTGATAAAACACGAAGGGCAGCAAAAGAACAGGCGATCGAATACAAAGACGAGAAACCTACATGAGATTATAGTACTCATTCGGCAAATGAGGCAGTCATTAAAAGAGACAAATAACAACGGTATGCATCACAAGTGAAATCACCTAGGTTCAATTCTCAGGTGGGGCGAAACCTTAGGCAAGTTTCCTCATTCCACACGCCTGTTTAATTTTTAATCGATTGGCGGATCCCTCAAAAAAGAATTTGGTCACTCAATCCACGACTGTTTGTGCACACTATTGTGCGCAATTGGCTGCCGCGTTTTGCCCACAAGGAAGAGTCAATCCACTTAATAATACATTCTGTGAAGCGCTTTGAGATGTCTCAACGACGTGATAAGAGCTATATCAAATGCAAGGATTATTATTATTTAGAATGATCTGACCTCTTTACCTGTGTCACTGAGTCTACAATGAATAATCCAGTTCCTCTAACTAGACTGCGATTTTGTGCTAGGATAAAGAGCGTTGTGTATTTTAATTACATTATAAAGTTCCCTATCGGCGGGATAAACCCGCTGGGTCATTTGCAATTGGCATTAGAACCAAATTCAGATGAAATAGTTTTTAAAATTTAATTTAGCTAAACATTTTTGTCCCCTTTTCTCGCCGGTCTCTCCAACTCCACTATTTACAAGATCCAGCTCATTCAGAACTCCGCCGCCCGCATACTGACCCGGACCAAACTCCGTACCCACATCTCACCCGTCCTGGCTCAGGCTCCACTGGCTCCCCATCACCGACCAGATCAACTTCAAAACCCTCATACTCATGTTCAAATCCTTTCACTCCCTGGCACCTCCCTACCTCCCCGACCTCCTCACTCCCCAATCCACCAACCGACGCCTCCGCTCGGCCGGCAACGGCCTCCTGCTCGTCCCTCGCACCCTCCGTCCCACCATCGGAGGTCGCACTTTAAGCCACCCCCACACCCCNGAAACTCTGGAACACTCTCCCTCCATCCCTCCGCCTTGCCCCTCTCTCCCATTTTTCCAAGTCCCGCCTGAAAACCTTCCACTTCGACCGCGCTTACAGCCACCTCCCCTCCCCGCCCCATCCCACCCAACTTGGAGTCGGGCTCCATCACTGTTAAGCGCTCCGGGACGCTATCCTGCGTGGAGGGCGCTCTCTAAGTGCGAGTTGTTGTTGTCGTCGTTGTGGTTGACGATGTAATTCTACCTTTCGGTCACCAACTTAATTTGGATCATCAGGTTATAGTTATGTCTTAAGATACCCTCGGAAAATCTTCCATAAGGAAACGTTATACAAACGACTTGCGAATGCGTATAGTTTGATAACGTGCCATACTTTCTGAGCCCTTGCGGTGAGGCTCGGGGCTGTAAAGCAGGCAATGAGTGCAAAACCGGTTTTTCAGCCACAACTTGGCCAGCGCTGAAAGAGTTGAGCAACAGTTCAGGAAGTGACGGCAGAGGACACACCACTTCTGCTACAGCCGCGGGCAGTTTGACGTACACCGAAGGCTTAATAGTGAGTCGCGCTGTGGTCAGCACAAGACCCACCAGGTTCCCTCTCGGTACCTTCAAGATAAAATTCAAAGAAAGACAACGTTAATTGACAAAAGCATCATCGTTACCGACTCGCAATGTTTTTACGTGTGTGTGTGTGTGTGTGTTTTTTTTTAGAAAAAAAGGAAAAGCTGCAGAAACCTATTTGAATCTACGATATACTCAGGGTCCTAAATGTTAGCGTATGTTACGCATTACAATCATATGATGATTAATCCTTTGGCGAGAGATATTTCTGGCACAAAGATGCTCTCTAACCGGTCTTACCATGTGGATGGGGAGGAGGCAGAAGATTGCGACACCTTCTTCTAAAACCCACCCCTTCTCTACCCAAACTGCATTTTCTTAAAGGGGCAGTTTGACAACGCATTGCACAAACGTCCCTCAAATCACATTTGAGAAATAAAATCAGAAAACCTCACAACTACCAAGTTGTGACCCCCCCCTTCTCGCAGTTCCAACCCTCTCCCTCCCACGCAGTTCCAGCTTTCCCAACTTTCACCAAACAGCTTGGGAAGTGTCTCCCTGCAACGGGTTGTTACAAGGGCAACACCTTCCGGTGATAATCCCTCAAGAAAACGACACGCAACCGTAAAATTGGTCGCTTCAATCCACGACGGTTTGTGGGACGCCGCTGAGCGCAATTGGCTGTCGCGTTCGCCCACAGATATACAGTCAATTCACTTTACAGTGTGTTCTGTGAAGCCGTTTGAGACGTCGAGAAGACGTGATAAGGCGCTGTATCAAACGCAAGGATTATTCATTCATTATTCTCCTACACCACAATACTCAGAAGTGTCAGGACGGAAGGGATTACTGGAGAATCCGTCCATCGCTGGTGAAGAGTCAATGCGTGGAAGCACATCATAACATTAAGCAAAGATTTCTGCTGAATCACCATGAACAAGCAAAGCCGTCTGTCTACAGTGCCTCGATTTTTGTTACGTATATGTAAAATGCCATACCCAGTGTGGTAAACAACTTCCAAAGCAACAAGCTTGTCCAGCAGGTTAAAAAATAAAATTAATACTGCTTAAGTTTGGTACAGCACCTTTCAGGCAGGACTTTGCAAAACACTTCACAGGATACACTGTACAGCACTTCGAGACACCGTCTGGCGTGAAGGGCACCATATAAATTAAACTTGTTGTCGTTAAAAGTGTAGTGACGATTTTGTGGGCAAAAAATACCGAAAGTTAAGATGAGGATTCAGATGCAGTATTTTACATAGATTGAGCTGATAAGTCAATTCAAAAGCATGATTTTTTTTTGAATGCAGTGATAAAAGCATCGAAAAATTCCAGTTTCCAAGTTAATCTGCTCAAATTGAGTCTTAACACAACAGTCCAAGTTTGTGGATACTACAAAACATTTGTACGACGATCTCAACATGTCAAGACATCTATCACAATTGGATTGCACATTACCAAATTTTAAGGCAAATTCTGACTCTGGGTTTTATTGACGGACTAGACTTCCAGCGTGCAAGGTCTAAATTAAACCGCTTCACTGAAAGCCGAACCTGCAACCTACCACACAGCAGAATTTTTATTCATTTAAAAATACATTTTTAAAAAACGGTTTACCTTCTCCCTTCTGCAAATCGCCCCACAGCTGATCCAGTTTCCTTTGGAGAACTTCCCTACGGCTCACACTTACTGAACTGTATGAGGTGAGAATATGTGCCACGTGCTGACAACATTAAGAGTATGGAAGGAATCGGTGACTTGCGATTAAGCTTATGGCTTCTCATAAATACTGCCCACCTACTCTCCAACCACAGCTTTGGTACAAGATCTCACCAACCACATTACACTGATTTCATTATTACTATTCGTCAATGATTTTCATGTGACATTTACAGCGAGGGCATTCTAATTAAATTCAACACCATATGATAAACATGCCCCTTGCCAATAATCAATACAAATTGTGTTTAGGGTCCAGACGGGTGACAAAGTTAACACTTATAATAATAATAATCCTTGCATTTGATATAGCGCCTGATCACGTCTTCGAGACGTCTCAAAGCGCTTCACAGAATATATTGTAAAGTGAATTGACTGTATATTTTGTGGGCGAAATGCTAAACTTTGACTAAGCTTGCACCTCTCAATTGCCAGAAATACCTCATTAAATAGACTGCTCAATTTCCAGGTTTTAAAATTATCTTGGGAGCCTGCAATCATTTTGAAATGAATAGTTCAAATAGTAGGTTAAAGATAGTTAAAGTGCATTCTTGGCATCAGTTGTTGTTACCTTGTAATGTATTGCAGGTCTGAAAAACTGCTCCAAAGAATCAGGGATTTACAACAATCTCTCTGCCAGGTTATTAAACTACTTTATATGATTACAGTGAACGCCACCATATTGGTACAATGTTCTTTGTGAAGGCTACAGTTCCCATGGTAAAATGAGGAGTGTGATATTAGTCATGAAATTTAATTCTAGTTCAATATACTACTGTGAAATGTGATCACCACTTAATCCAAAGTGTTAATAGAAGTGCATCAGCAGTTCATACAAGTGAAACACCTAATACTTGAACAATCCAAAACCTTTCCTAAACATTGTGCTGATATTAGTGGCATTCTAACACAGCACAAGTCCCTACTCTGGGGAAAGCAAAACAATGGAGATGGCATCAAATTTATCAGCAAGGAAAAGTATATCTAAGTAAGATTTGGTGATTTTATAGGGTGTGAGATATTTAATGTATTATAAACAATACTTCAAATCCTAGCAATTTTAATATCATCAACATATGTCATGAAACAGTCAATCAATGATTTCAATGTGGTTAAAGATTTTATTGTTTTACAGTTCAAGATACAGATGGAAACAACAACAAAAAAAACAGCAAGCCAGGCCCAAGGTGATGCTACAATAAAGCTCAAATGGGTTTGGTGATTAGATCAGACCCCTGTGAACAAGAATAGATTATCGCAATGGTTTGTGCATGCTTAAAATAGCAATGATCTAATATGCCTATAAGAGTATAGAATTCAAATACTGGACAATTGCACTTCACTAGGCAAATTAAACTAAATTAGGCACCCTGAAGCACACTGAAAAATTAGGCACAAAACCAATGTGAGTGACAATACACTTAATACTTAAGACAATCACACATGTCTGTAAGCAATTATAACCAGCTCCTGGTAACCCTTTTACACTATTCACAATCAGAAACAGACTGCTGCTGCATTATTCCCAGCTTCAGGTGAAAGTGACACCATTTTAAACAAAAATATGGTTGGCTTCAAGTATTGAGCTTGGCATTGGCAGTTTAAAAGCAGGTTGATTGTAGAAAGAGGACTCGGGTTGCATTCTTCAGTCTGCCTACCCTCCGTTGCTCGTGTGTTTGCCTGAACTTTATGTGCAATAAAGTTGTATTTCACTGTGCATCACTTATACATTACAAACACCAGATGTTATAACTGCAATTAAGATTAATATTAGCATTATTTGCCTTGAATGCAACATTAGAAAATGTTATGATGAAGATTTTTGAATCTCTTATTTGTAGTTGGGTTATCAAAAATCATAACTACTGTATGCAATTTGGAGTTCAGAAATAGAAAAATACATGCAATGAGTAGGCTCCTTATTTGTATTTCAACTTATCTAAATTAATTAAGGTTACAGTAACTATTGCAGGACGAGTGAGCTGTAAAAATCTTTGGCTCAAATAAGTGAATAGAATCATGCTTCCTTTTTAAAGGTTTTCCTCTCCTCTCCCACACATTAACAATCTCACAGCAAATGCAATACATCTGCAAAATTAGCATTCTAATGTGCAAATTTCATGCAGAGCATTTAAGAAAAACTTTTATTAATTTTCCTTTAAGCTTGTAGAGAACTCAGTAGTATGAAAATTAGCGATTCTCAGCCAGAATATTCACCGTTGCTACCCATTTCTAAAAAAAAGTCTAAATATTAAGCATTCTATAATTTTGATCACATTTACCCTGGCTCATATGCACCTCAATGTTGATGGGGCAATGAAATTCAGTTAGGATCTCAATAGTGCACACCTTTAAAATAAGCAGGCATGCAATATTTCACAAATCAAGTTCCAGATGAACATCTAGACATTGTTTGGTAGGCACAATCAGCAACTGAAATCAGTTTTCAGATCAGTCCAGCTTTGCTAACAATCAGACAAAACCAGATAAGATCACATCAGTTAAGAACACAATCACTTTATATCACAATTTTTTAAAAAAAATCACCTTAATGCAACAAGGGAAGGAAATGGGTCATGTATTACTTTCAAGTTACAACTTTATCTTGTCCGAGTGATGTGATCTGATGTTTTTACTGCATAAATACAATTTCAAAGCACTCTGGTTAAATTGCAACAGCTTAACACTGCATAGCAGGGACACTAAAACACTATCTTCAGTTAAACTGTTGTATTGTAATGGGTAACAGGAAAATGCTGACGGTCTTCATAGATCATACAGAACCTCCAGAATGCAAGAGAGAGACCAAGCTTGTGTTTCACAGCTATAAGGGCAATATTGTCCATTTTCATTGGTAAGCTCTACAATACCTTTCCACTGGGATCTGCAAGAAGTTAAAAAGAAAATAAATAACCCGCTGTACCTGATCAATACACACAATTTAAATGTCTAGGTTATGCATTTTGTGGAATGTTTCTCCTTTGCCTCCCTCCCTCCCATCATATTGCAGAAGATAGCATTGTGTGCTACAGTATATCTTACTGTCACTCTTATGTTTGAAGGCAAAAACATGAACGGTGGGGCAGCCATTTGTAACAGTATCAGCGGTGTACCTACCGAACTGAAGTCAACTTTGCGATAAGAGCCATACTGGAATGCCTAAGTCAGTTTAATTAATTTCTAGTGATACATCAACAATACAAGCAATCCTTCCACCCCATTTTTAAGAAGAGAAAAAGTATGCACAGTAAAGAGAAACAATGGGAAATTGTGAGCATCCAGACTTTAGTACGATCTAAATCGAGAAGTTGCATAATTACTCCATTCAAAATATTATTAACAATTCCCACATTAAAAATCTAAAGACTTAATATGCCGAATGTAAGGTTGAAAGCCAGATAAAACTATAACAGTTTCTCTGCAAAGTCAACCTATAATGTATGAATTGTTTAAACTTTTTAAATTTGTGGTTTACCTCTCTAGGTGAACATAATGATGGGAGAGAACGTTCTTCACTAAATATTTTGTGTCTTCCTGCTTGTCTGAAATTTTCTTGGAAAACATCAATTTTGCACGTAGGAAATATCCAATAGGCCACACCCATTCCTAGCAATGACATAACATATTATATAGTAATTCTGGGACAAATACAGGCAGTATTAAAAGTCAGTTTTAGAACTTGGGAAAATGTTTGCATAATAAAAACTTACAGGTCCTTGGTGATAATTAAAACCTTTTGAAGCGTGGAAATTGCCATCATCCAGACCCATATCGTACACACCATAGTAAACCATGTCCCTGAAAGAAAGGATAAAGAAAATTCTAGCTGTGTTCACATACATTAAAGTACTCCATTTATAGGATTCATCACAATAAAAATGGATACCAATAAACAAGTAACTGAAAGAGACATCGAGGAAACAAAATAATATCTAAACATATTAACTTTAACATGCAGGAAATAAAAACAGTACTGCTCATCATTCCATCAGTAATTGCTTTTCATTATTTAACTGGAAATAAAGTCAGCAACCGTTTAACTTACTCAGGATCTAAAGTTTTCATTCCTAGGGGGCCAAGAAGATACTTCTGTGCAATGTTTAAAGCTCTCCATGCTTTCTCTGGAGTGAACAGCTCAGGGGCCTGAAAATGGGAATAAAAACAATAATTGACACAGATGTACTAATTAACTACTCGTGTCATTTTGAGAACCTTTGTGCCCAGCATACTTTACCAGTGGGTGCAAGAGACAATTACCTGCAGGGTTTGCTTATCTGCAGAGGGCCAGAGCCAATTAAGGCAGATGGCCTTTTTATTATATTAGTAATTGTGTTCATCAATAAAGTATCTGGATCTTTTCGTGTGTCTGATGTTCAAAATAAATCCCAAGTTTTATTTCCATTACCCATGTAATTTCCTGCCATTGTTAAACAAAAAATAGACCTAATTTTTTTTTAATTCAATAGATAAAAGCTACTTTTGTGGTTCTTGCCTGCTTATGGTGGCATTGAACACATATGTGTGACGACATCAGTTACAATATGCTTACTTAAAAACTTGTTGGTTTTCCGAGTCAGGTGCCCTGTATTAAATTTATGTTTCAGATAGCCGCAGGAGTGCAACTGAAGGCCTTTACTGAACCCATTTTATTATTAAAATTATAATGTTTTAAAAAAAAATTGACCGCTTACCACCACCATAGCTATAGAGAAATTAGGTCTTAGCTGGTAGTCACACCATGGACTAGAAGCACCATAAACGTCTTTATATATGGCCCGTTTATGGACCAAATCGGGATGCTTTTCATCAGGATCAGATGGATCATCAATAATGTAGAACTTTTTCTCAAAGTTTTGCTGTATTTTTTTGTTCCATTCTTCATAACTAACCCAATGCGTGGTTTCTGTATAAAGATATTTAAAAACTCAAATTACAAATTTATACATTGTTTAGTCTTTTAGCTCTTGAAAACAGAGTCACAAGATTAACTAAAACTGCTGTTTACATATACAGTTACTTCATCTAAGAAAATAATATCCATCACAAATTTGCATTAAATTTGTTGAAAACTTTAAAATCTGAAGTTCAGTTGAGTTTTAACAAACTAATATTAATCATGGTTTAAAGTAACTAATCATACAAAGATATTGGAGGCACCAATAAGCATTGTGATAAAATTGCATCACCAGTAATGGACAGAAATCCTAAGCAATTCAAGCAATTCATCAAAAAATTGTTTGTAGATTCATTCTCACCATTTATATCTGCTTTGACTCCACTGTAAGGGTACAGATTGCTTTTGTGGAGTTCTATCAGCCAACGAATAGCTGATTTACTGAGGCCTACAATTTCAATAGGAGACCCATCTCTGAAAAGTAAACATTTCAACAAGGTTACAAAGAAACCATGGACTTAAATTTTGCTGATCAGACTTTAGTTATGTACACTTATGATAAATGTGAGGTGCAGAAACTATTCCTGATTAAAGGCTGAACAGGCCTAGTCGTCCACAAATACTTCAAACAGTTTTCTGGGCTGATGAACAGTGGTAAAATAAGGTCAGCCTGTTGATTTTTCCACAATCATTGTGAAACTATATTCAGAATTAAAACTCAAAACTGGAGTCCTATAGCGTATACCCACTGTATCAAATGCAAGTAATATTAAAATTAAAACACTAAACGTTACGATTAAAATATACAATTTCTTAATAGATTTGTTGGAAAAAAATAAAATTAAACAGTCTTAAGTGCAACTCAATGTCTTATTTGAAGTTTTCAGTCTACCTTAATTTTACTGTGTAGCTTTTACCTTGGTGTAGCTGGAATTCCTCTATTCTGAGCTCTATCACTCTCTCCCATTTTGTCCATCCAAGTCCCACAGTTGTGACGATTTCCTCCAAATACAAAACCAGTGGTTGGATCCACTCCTATACTAACACTGAAACCTACAAATAAAAAGATTTTTCAAAAAAAGATTGCCAGACCAGTCCCTCATCATTTACTACCAATTAAAGTGCTAATTATTTACAATATAGAAAATCCATTGAAGTTGCACAACACAGTTCAGTTAAAATACCTTCGTCTTTCATATGTCTGTCCAATTGATATCCAGCATTCCTTTCTCTGAACTCTATACCTTGCATGTGACGTTCCATAACTTCCTGAATTACGTCAAGGAGTGGCTGTTCCTGTTAGGAAAGTCGCACAAGCATACATTCATTTAGTAAAAAGACTTAAAAAAACAAAGCAATTTCACAAAACAATCTAAAACATTCTCTATAAACTCAGAAATATATTTCTGCTTCTTACCCCATTTGACCACCCCCCACCAGTTTAATAAATACTCATGAAGAAGCATTACATAAAAGGGCAAAAGCTTATAAAGTTTACAAAGGTCGGTCACTGTAAAAGATCCCTTATAAAAATCATGCCAAATATTAAGGAAAGAAAAAAGTGAAATTACCACAATTCCTGGAGGTGAGGCTTGACTCTCATCATCAGGATACAATCGAGACACAGGACACTGAAGAATATCGGTTCCCTTTGGAACGATTTTACAGTATTCCTGAATGCACTGAAGCCACCACCATACAGCATCTCTACAGTTGTACCTTGCATACAATCCTTGACCAAGTAAATTAGGCATTAGACCATGGCGTAGAGTTGCAGCAAATGCAAGGATTATATTCCTGTAATCGAAGAATTTCAAAATCCGGTCACCGCATGCCTTGAATTACTTAGCTCATCTTAATTTGGTTAACAATTCTAAGCATCACTTGACTGTTTTCTCTCTTACGCTTAAGGTTGGTAATGCGCAGCATATAAGCTCTTCACCAAGCTTTGTGCAAGAAAAAGAAAAATCTATTGGCTCACTTGACATAGTATTACCAGTTTATGTGAAATCTTGCCAGTGGGTTACTTGCTATCCCCCTCCCTCCAAACTGTACACATTGGTTACACTTGAAATTAGAACAGCAAATGCATTGTGCTTGGAAGTTCAGAAAAAATTGAATGACATGTCTCTGCCTTGACAGGCAATATCATCATGGAATGGTGAAGAAGCAAAATTGATCAGGATGGAAAATTCTCAGAAAAAAACCCCAAAAGTTCCAGCTTTGACAAAAGTTTACCTGGCCTCTATGAAACGTCCCGTTATGAGTAGCAGACCTCGAAGAGAAATGAATGTGTCTCTTCCCCAACAACGGAACAATCCAGCAGAAAAATGTGGCAAACCTTAAAAAGCAAGTTAAAAACGTTCATGAGAAAAGACAGAATTCTGTGAAGCGCTTTGAAACGTCTCGAAGGCATAAGGCACTATATCAAATGCAAGGATTATTATTATATTATCTGATCATAGAAATTTGCACTGCAGAAAGCCATTCTCCCCTTCATGTATATGCTACCTCTTTGAAAGCACAATCCATTCAGTCCAATTTACCTGCCATTTTCTCCATACCTCTGCAAATTGCTTCTTTTTTAAGATATCTCTCATATTCTAAAGTGGCAAGTTTCAATTAAGATACAGAACTAAACCCTATGTCTAAATTTACACTAACAAGAAGTCTCTTCCACTTACCAGCTGCTAAAGAAACACAGCACTGTTCCTTCTCGTTGGTGATCTGATTGAGTCTATATGGCACATCCGGCAAGTTAGGAGACAGTGAAGGAAGAGCAGGAAATCGTCCCACTCCACACATCTGCAGTGAACCCAGAGCAAGCTGCTTCACAAATGTTGAACCATTCTGCACAAAACTAGAATGAGAAAAGAAAGAACTCACAGCAATTGAAAACTTCTCATGTACAAAATACTCAACTTATCCTTTTTCTCTGACCCCTCCTCTCTCCCACTCATATACGTAAAAACAATCAAAGTGACATAAATGCCTCAACTGCACGTGGCAGTCCACATTGCAAGAAAATTCTCAAGCTAAAGCATGAAAGTTTGATGTGTTAGCCAATTTAAAAAAAACGCGCTTTGGAACGCTACCTTGTGTGAGGGGCGCTATATTAATGCAAGTTGTTGTTAAACACTCAACTAGTTAAGCATACATGTTTTTAACCAAATCAGCAATGCTTCCATATCATAAAATTGTCCGTGTCTAATCCTAAATCAAACTTCAGCTAAAGAACTCATACTATACAGGGTTATTTTTGAATTAATTAAGGTCCAAAATATCAGTGCCTGGCAATGGAACTCATATCAGATAAAACAGAGAATAAATGTAAAGTAAATTTCATCTATCTTGCTCCAGCAATATGGCCCAATTCTAACCACATTCTCAAATGGTAAACTTATTTTTTTTTAAAGATTACCTGTTCTTCAAGGGATAACACATTGCTAATTTTTAATGAATTAGTTTGAATTATGAGCAGTTTTGTGATATGAATTCATGGCCAAAAAAAATGGGTGGAGTATAGCCACACTCAATTACCTAGAATCCTTGGAAACAGAGACTTTAATTAATCTGGGCTACATTAATACAAAATGCAGTTTTCTAACCTACTGTGCCAACATTTCACACCATTATTTCACATTTCAGCTCCAATAATACTATTGCATGTACCTTGACATATGCATCCATATTGACGCCAGAAAAGTTGTGTATGCTCCCACAAGGATTGCATCAAAGTAGCATGGGATCAGGTAACGAGGAAGATTTTTCAGGTACATGAATATTGCTTCAAACCATTTACCGACCTAGTGGCAAAGGGATCTTTAGTACACAATACACTAGATTTTGTATCAAAAATGTGGTTGTTTTACCGTTATTGAATTGATAATCTTTTGCCCACAGAACGTTAAATTGCTAGAAGGAATGTCATACAAAATTCCCCAGAGATTCCGAGAACACAATGAATCACATACAAAAAAAGGTGGAGCAAGCGGTAGAGTATTAATGAGTAAAATTTCAAGAGCAAACTTCACTTGATGTACATATTTTTGCAAAGGTAAAAAGCTTTCTAACCGCTGCAAGAATGCTTTAACATACAATTCCAAGATATTTCATTCTACTTTAGAATGATGTATCATCATCCATTCATTGTTAAGCTTAGAAAATATACCAGAATTTATTTATATATAATTTGGGCGGTAGATAATTATTTGGGGAGGGCAAGTTTGCAAGGCTATCGGGAGAGAGCTGGGGAGTGGGATTGATTTGGATAGCTCTTTTCAAAGAGCTGACAGATACAGGATGGGCCGAATGGCCTCTTTCTGTGCTGTGTATTTCTATGATGCTATTATATATATATGTATAATATGGATATATTATACCTACATACACACACACAAAGCTGTACCCAACCAAAGGATCCAACATGGAATATAGATTGACTCAGACAGACATTTCACCTTTATCTATACTCCTTTTGGGAGGACTCAGCGCTTTAAAAAATGTAATTATTATTATTAATTTTGTTGTGGTTGCTGTGTCTGCGTTCTTTATTTTGTTCCTGCTGCTTGGCTACATGCGTGCTCTGGATCACAGGATACCACAGCGCCACGGTCCGCCGGCTCAGCCACCAGGTGCAACTGCAGTGTGTGCGTACATACATACATACATGATCTGTGACCCACGATGCCACAGTGCCACTTTGACTTGGTGGCCACCAGGTATAACTGCAGCGAAAAACGCAAAACTGAAAATAACTCATGAATGATAGGACATATCCAAAATAAATATGCCTATGGCACTCCTAGCTTCAAGACCTAAGATATAAATCATGCCTCTATGTGGTTTCTTAAGTGCCTTTCAAAGCGCCTTGGAACTTCCTCCCAAAGTGAAAAGCATTACACAAATGTAGTTTTGTATTGCCTGTGGAAAATTGTAGGATTGGTATTCTAGAAGGATTGGACCAAATGGTAAGGAGTATACAATTTGCTAACCAGTCAAAATTCACATCTTTAAATGATGTTATATATTATATCTTTGTTGAACTTCAGTTGACTTTTAATTAAAGAGCATTCACATTCTTGTTTAGGATTTCAGCATTTTAGTTTACAACTAACAATTCAAACCAAGTTTGGTTCATACCATTTGAAAATTACCACCACGCATGATCAAACGATTAACGATGTAGTCTATCATCCAATCACCAGCCCTCAGATTTTCACAAAAGGGATGGCCCAGGTCATTCTTGGGTCTAATTTCCGCAAGAGCTGAAATGAAGCCTAGTTAAAAAGTAAAGTGCAACATTCACAGTCAATAAATATTACTCGCAGAAATCATTGCTACACAAAACGAACACTAAAAATTGGCTTGCCATTTTGTTTTGTAATAATTCAACGTAAAGAAAATATCAGTTTGAAATTATTTCCATTATACAAAGTTAACCTTATTCAGCACAATTAGGATCTAATTTAGAGAACTATCTATAGTTCACTGGTGACACCTAAAGGATTTAGCTAATGTTGCAGTTTGCCTTGTTTGACAACCATGGTAAATGAATTGTGGCCCAAATCCCATAAAGGTTTGAAAATAAACTGAAAGTATAGGCATCAACACAACAAGAGTTTAACTTAACCATTCTAAATATAATGGTGATTAAATTAAAATTGGTTCTCTCTTAAAATGGAGATTGGACTTTTAAAAAAAAAAATAAAAAATTGGGGTCAGCCAGGCGTCTTGACACATGCGGAACCCCAACACCATGTTTAAGAGTATACAAATCAAACAGAGTTTAATGCATCCCACCTATACATGGAAATTCCGGGGATATCTGTTGGAATGGACACGCATAGTTTCTCTCTGGAGGGACTCATTCTGCTTACCTAATTCTGGAAAGTATTAGTTCAGGTTGGTAGAGAGCCAAGGCTTGGAGACCCCAGAGTGTGCGTTGCAATACTCCTGGTGTCTAACCAGCTAAAACCACATAGCTTGCCATTGAAAGCACTGTCTAGCCAGCTTTCTCACTGCTTGTCCAGCTAACACCACCCTATCCGTCAGGTCTTTCACTTGCAGGGATAACGGGAGCTGATTGAAAAGAGCCTCTGTGCCCAGTGACTGGTCCGCCCTTCCAAGTCCTGCCGACGAGTTAGCCTGGGTGTGGTGTCATCAACAGTGGCCTGGAGCACTGTGGACCTGCCTGGCTCAGGAACTGTACTACTAAGACCACCGCAAAGGGTTGGCTTGATTCTGACATTCCATTGCCAAACATATCACCTTGGAGCCAGTTAAGCACCAGGAACTCCCTGCAAGTTACAGTGAGAGTACTTTTTAAAATATATCTTTTCAGTGTATGTAATGTTTAATCCTGTTCATCTGATATCGCCATTGATTGTTTACAAAGCTAAAGAAAATGCTTATAAGCATTGCAAAAATGGATGATTTTAGCAGAAATATTAGTATTCTCCAATAATCTGAATATTTCAAGAAAAATATCTGCTTGCCTTGTAAACCTGCATATTTTAAGGTTTCCCAGTTTGTAACATAGAAACAACCATTTCCATCCTCTTGTTCCTCAGCGTCACATCGGAAAATTACCTGGTTAAGGTCAGCCAGTGTAAGTTTGGAAGCAATTCTGTAGGTTTTGAGTCAGGAGACAAAAGACAAAAAAAGGCAGAAAGCGTTGCACTTCTGGTGAAACAATATTCAGCAAGAATAAGGAAGAACATTCATCAAAAGTATTTTAAAACAATTGAAAAACTTTTAAAGATGTTCAAATAATGTGCACAGTGTTCAAAGAATGATGTGATCTTTCACCCGCAAAATACAGCCAATTCACTTTACAGTATATTCTGTGAAGTACTTTGAGACATCTCGAAAATGTGATAAGGCGTTATATCAAATGCAAGGATTATTACTGTTATCTGCTTTCAGCATTATAAAAACAATTTAAACACCATGGACAATATTTAAATCAAAAGGCAAGAAACTAAAGATAGTTTATGTTTTAGGGCCAGGAAACTATAATTGTAGTTAAACCTGATAACTAAAAATAAGCTCCTGAAAATGGTTTATAAAGTTCAAGTGTTGTTTTTTTTAAAAAAAAGTACAGTTGTGCCCCACTATATTCTTAGCCTGTTGTCCTACTTACGATGCAAATGAAGTTTTCAACACAGATGGTGCATTGTCATCAGGAATACTGCCAGATTTGAAATGAGCGGAGAACTGAGACAAATGATGGTGGAGGGCACCAACCGCATGCTGGGCCTTTCGATCTGGACTCACTCTGCAGACAGCACAATTACAATTAGGACAATGGTCCAAAAGGTTTAAGGTATAAAATTGGACAAAAACAAGGAGTTAATATTAAATAAATTATCCACACCTCATTTATAATTATCATAACATGCAAAACATTTACTAAATTCTTTTTACCTAAATGCAATAGTACTTCCAGGAGAAAAGTTTTGAAATATAACTTCCGCGACACATTCACTGTGGTCCTCAGATGTTGCATCTGCTTCAGCAACTATCTTGCTATCTCTCAACTATGTAAAGAAAAAAGAGCTTCAGATAAAACAAATGGTTTAATGTAATAAACTCAACTGTAAGCATTTAAAGAATGACATGATCTGCTTTCAGCATTCTAAAAATGCTTTAAACACCATGCACAATATTTAAATAATGTAGTGTACCTGAATATGTTCTGTGACTTCCACTGTATATTCAGGTAACCCATTAATAAAGTTCTCATTTTTCGTGTATCCAGGAGTATTCCTTTCTACAGTTCTAGCTTCCAGCACCACCTCCTCTATTTTACCTAGAAATTACAATGGCTTGCATAATGTCTTCTGTACAACTAATCAGAATATACATGTTCTACTAGATAAAATGTCAGCTGCCACATCACTGCACAAAACATTCAACTCAAATATCAATCCTGGTATAACACCATGATATAGTTCAGTATCAGCCCAAATTCGTACCAATGCACTGATGTTAAAGCCCAAACCCCAGAGAATCCACCTGGCTTGAACGATGCAAGGATTACACTTTTTAAAAAGTAAGCTATTTTGAAAGAAGCAGATAATTTTTTTTCTTGTAAAAGCAGCTTGCTTTATTTTGCCTCTTAAAACCAAAGGAATATTAGATAATTTTATGTTTAGGCAGTCCAGTCCTGATTGTGAATCTATTACAATTATTTAAATTTAAAACACTACACGTCAGTTAAAATTAATGCAATCTATTGGAAACAGTGTCCTTCCAATCTCCAAATAACCTATCCATTAAGGCCAAATACCTGGGATACACATTGGAGGTATTTCTTCTTTATAGTGAGAAGTTTTAGGGTCTCTGAAAGCAGTGCGTGATACAGTCACTACTGACTGGTGATTGCTTGGGCAATGGCGGGTCACTGCCACTATGTCTTCATCAACTTGATCCACATACACCTAGAAAATACATTGAATGCATTTGAACATCATTTGTCTAATGCCACACACAGTACAGCCAATTCAAAACATCACTAGCTTTACAATTCTGTCGAGTTTTCATTTTCGTGAAAAAAAAAGTAGGTTGCACTTTTCCATACCTGATTGAAACCCTTAGCTCCCAGTTCTTGGTGAAGTTTGTTAATTGCCAGCTTGCCTCCAATGATTCCACTCTGCAGACTGACCTCTGCTGGGTTTTTTGGATCAGCTTTAGGATTAAATTTAGGGTAAAATCGCTCCTCCGAAACCACAGATATCTATACACAAAACAAAGCATTGAATCAGAACGCACAAGAGTTTATTCATCCCAAAGCAGCCATGCTTGTTCTATCTCCTCTGACCTTTGGGTCAATAGCTTCTGGCTTTAAATCCCACATCTGCACTTCATAATCTAGGTGGACACTCCAGCATCCAAGTCAAGGGCTGCATTGTCTTTTAGACAAAATGGTCCTGTATATCTGGTATTCAGGTGAACGTAAAAGATACCATGACACTAAAAAGAGAAGGGAATTTCTCCCAATATTCTGGCCAACAACCCTCTCGGTAAATTGGTCATTTATCTCATGATTGTTTTGCATCAAAAAACATTCATGTGCAGTAATTACTGTAAAACATTTTCCATTACAGTTAGGGTTAATCGGCCTTCACTATCCAAGCTCACCCATGGTGATTGGTCATGTAAGTATCATCATAGTCTTACACTCTTTTTTCCTCAACATTGGATGAGATAAAACTTGAAATGGCATTTTTATGACTTATTGCTGGGAACATTACTTTAGCCATTTGTACATTCCCTACAATTCTATCTCTTGGTTAGAATAGAATGAAGAAAACTGAACTCAAATATCAATCCTGTTAAAATATTATAACAAACACATAATTATCAGTAAAGCATCTGGCTACTTCATTCAAACGAACCTGATGTGGTACTAAATGATCATAGCCCATTGTGCTTCCTGTGGCACAGCATGCCATAGAAACGATAGCTGATGAGGGAAGAGCATCATAAGCAGAGCGATGCTGTAAAGCAATGTAAACAAAATAATGTTTGAAGATTCAATTTACACAATGATCAGTTAATTCTTATATATATATGCATACACACACATTATATAAATCTATGGGGTTACTTGTGGTGGTAGAATAATGAGCTCTCAGCCAGAGCGCAACATTGAATAACATTTGAATTACCTTTTTTTTTGCCAAAAGTTACATTTAAACAATGAAATCTAAATAAATCTATGCACCAAGCACTAAAATTAAAAACTGGGAGAAGAGTTAATGAATTGGAGACAACTTGTTGAAAGGTATGCAGGAATTTACAAAAATTTATAAAACTCGTTGAATCCAATGCCGAAGGAGTTACAATTTGTTTACTGAGCAAGTGCATGAAATCATACCTGAATCGGACACTCATTATCATGAGTAACATCCATAAACAAAGCATGAGCAATGCTAGGTACAAGAGGTCGCACAGCTGGTTGGACAAAAGATCCTACTGGCTCTCCTCCATAACGGTAGACCAGCCTACCCTCCTCATGGCTGTTGTAGGCACTCATCGCCTCTGTGACACGCAACAGATTGAAACGGAGAGAGAAATATTAAGTGTCATCAGTATACAGAAAACTACTATACTACATGTGAAACATTTGTAAAAAAAAAAAATCGCAAAAGTGCCCGCAAGCCTTAAGAAACAAAATGCTTGCTCTGCATGTTCATTGATAGAAAGAATTATGAAGTTCTAACGTCACAACAATGTTGGAACACAATGTTGTGCATCCAACTTTTCCTAAAGACAATTTGATTAATCGCCCATCCTGTGTAACAAAATCCAACATTGTAGCAATATATTGGTGGGCACTTATAAGTCAAACACGTTTCTAACAAGCACTTGAAACAAGACTTTTGGAACATTTCGTAAATACCTTAGTCAATCATTCCAAACTCAATAGAAAACTACATGCAAGATTTTTTTTGGGGGGGCAAAAGAGGAATTTTGTACATGCTGTTAAGAATATTGTGTTGCCCTATGCTCATGCCTACCTCGAATTAAGGAACTTATGCCGAGTCTAGTCACAAAGATATTATCCGTCTCCTCACTTCCAGTAAATAGTTCAGCAATTACATACAAATTAGGTCGCGTTCTCCTGGCCGTGTCCAGCATATACTGCAGATGAAGAGGCAACAGGAACAAATGAAAAGGGTTGCAGAAATAGGACGTAATGCAAAACCAGAGACCCAGGCTGGGCCATGGGAGAGATAACGATGAATACCATACAAAAATAGAATTAAATATTGAACCAATAAGTAGAAAATTCATAACAGTTTTGCCATGGAACGTTAGGAATATATATTAGGAGAGAAAATTGCCAAAATTAATTTTAAAAAAAGTAATTGAACATGCATGAGGGAAAAAAAAAGTTGCTGCAAGTCAGCAGCAGAATTATGGAAAGAAAAAAGAACCCTTTTCTTTATTAATTATTAAAATTATCACTGAAATATTACTGCAAGTGCATCATGAAACCAACTTTGCTTTCTTAAGAAAGACGACTAAAATATCAAAAGTAATCCTAATTCAGCTGCAGCATAACAGTAATATTTTAAAACTTAATGGAGTCAAAGATTATTTCTGCAATGGCATGTTTTCCGCATCAGAAACCTGATGCACAAAAAAGGTGTTAGTTAGAAATAATCATCCTGGTCGTCTCAGCCCTATCTGTTGAATTCCAAGACAATGGTCATTGCCTCAAAATATAAAATTGTGTAGAATTTTGAAAACTTCTTTAATTCAGTCTTAGTTGGAAGGCAGTTTCTGCAGTAATTTGCCTTGAGCAATTACATACATTAAATAAATGTCTTACGAAAAATATTGAAAAATCAATCCTAAAGAATTTGCTTGTGTGTGGAAAATCACGCAGGATCAAAATTATAATCTTTGATTGAATCACACAGCATTGCTGACTGCCATTTCTTTCACACAATCAATGTTAGAAAGTCTGTCAGAAAGTCTTGCCCAGTTAGCGCCAAAGTCTTGTGGAGGTAGTCAGGACAAAATGCTTTTTTTTTAACAAAACAAAACAAATGAAAGAGCTAAGGTGACACTGTGTGTCTTCCACCCAGAGAGTAGGGAAAATGCTAAAACATACTCTCCTCTGCTTAAAAGTAAACAAGGACCTTGTTCTAGTCACATTCATGCTTAAACAGCTTCTAACGTTTTATTAGGAAGCCTGACATTCTTTGATAGATCAATACAGGGCAAACTGGTTTCCTAGCCACAGTATCTGGAAAATCTACAGCAGACTGCTCCAGTTGCGCTATTTGCGCAATAGGTTGGAACTTGTTATAATAATAATAATACTTGCATTTGATATAGTGCTTTTCACGTCGGGAGGACGTCCCAAAGCGCTTCACAGAACACACTGTAAAGTGAATTGACTGTATATTTGTGGGCGAACGCGGCAGCCAATTGGCAACAGCAATGTCCCACAAACAATCGTAGATTGAAAATGACCAATTTATTGTTGTTTTTGGTTTTGGAGAGATTATTATTAGGCTCTGTGTGGAGTAAGGAAACTTGCCCAAGGTTTCGCTCTGCCTGGAATTGAACTCGGGTCTCTCGCTTGCAAAGCGAGTGCTCTAACCACTGAGCTACAGGAATCCACTTGTTCTGTACTAACAAAGCAGATTGGATTGTTTGCTTGTGGAGCTTAGTAAAGGAGAAAGAATATATTATTCAATTCAAAATGAGTTAAAAACAGATTTAAACGAGATCCATTATTCCCCAACATCAATCTTAATTTTTTTTACTTTTCCAAAGTAAAATTTGACCCATACCTCAGCCGCACGTATAGGTGTTGAATGACAGTTGTCTAATCGCACCCCATGGAAGATTTTGGCAGTGATTTCTGTGTACTTGCGCATGTGAGCCCAAAGATAAGGACAGTCTTCTGGATTCTTGCCATACTTCAATTTGACACTATCACCCCAACAAATTAGTTCTCTCCTTAGGTAAACATTTGAGCCTTTAAAAATAAAAAAAACACCATATCTGTTAAGAGGATTAAAAATTACAGTAATTTTGTAAAAATTACAAATTCTGCCTTTCAAGAATGGTTTATCCTTCACAAAGAAATGTAGCAATGCTGAAGTAATGGATGAATTTCAAGAAGTTCATATATTAATAATTTTATGAGACTGATGTAACAAAGTCACAGTATGAGTTTTATGTATTAATATTATCCTACATAGAGGGAGTTTGTATCATCTACATGGGGTTGAACTGGCTCAGAGGAAACCAAAGGAAAGGCAGGCAGGATAGCAATGAATCTCTAATGAGATGGATGTGCATGAAGCACTGCTAAACTATCAATGGATTATTTAGTATTGAAATGTTATTTTGCTATTGTTATCTGGGAAGAAGTTTGCTATTACTGCAAACAAGACAAAAATGCAAAGTGATCATTTGTAATATTGGAGCAAAGAGGGGATCAACAAAGAGAACAAATTCCCATTTATTTTACCTTATTTCTATGAGCAACTGATTTCCCCAATTGCATTTCCTTCTATCAAGTGTTTTTGCTTCAAATTAATGAAAATATTCTTGAATGCAAGTTAACAATTCACCTGGCTCAGCAAAGTTTTTTAATGGATTATCGCCCATGACCCATCCATTGTGGGCCATAAAAAAAGCAGCTTTATCCGGCTGATTCATCAATGGTTCCATCTGTTCCATGGACATTTCTCCAAATTTGAATGTGAAATACCTGCCAAGGATAATAAAACAGTTGATAATCTCCACTGGTGGCAGTTTGACGTAGATTTAGTTTCCGATCTGAGAGGGGTTTTCATTTCCTCCAAATATTAAATATCACTGCAGAAGTCAGACACCATTGAGCAGTGCAGTCCCAGAGCATCCACCTCATTTGCACGAGTGAGTTCACTCTCAACACTCTCAGATAAGTGTAACAGTAGATGAATGATAGTTAACCTATAATTCCTTAATGCTGATTAACCATTTTAGTGATCCAATGTTTGGAACACAAGTAGGGAGTAGAACAACAACAACATCCATTTATTTAGCACCCTCCATGCCAGGTGGCATCCCAGAGCGCTTAGAACAAATAACACACTCCATTAGAACACAATATAATGTTTTGAGGGAATATTTTGCAGTACCTGGTAACTAAAGGATCCTTTTTAGTCACAGGACCAAGTTTGGGACCATGTTCTGCCAGGCGTTCATAAAGAACGCTCCCCAAAATACAGTTCACAGCCTGAAAATGGAGAAGGAATACAAAATGACATTCTAAAAGCAACAAATCCTAAATACTATTTTATGTTTTAGATGGAAAAATAAAACGTACTTGTTTCTGATGGTTAAGCATTTCCTCATAGCGCTCCCCGTTTAACTCTTCCAGTTTATGACGGAGCCAGTTGCAGCATTCGTCTATCTCAGCAACACTATTACTATTGTAAAAAACAATCATTAAAGAATTCTTCTTAGCGGTATATTCATAACTGTTTTATAGTAAAACTAAAGACAGAAAGTCACATTAAATCAATTCTCTGTTAAGAAGGGAGTATTATTGTTGAGCTGTAGAACTTCAGGAAATCATAGCCTTCCCGCCTTACAAACACTCACACTCATGTTTAAATCCCTTCACTCTGTAGCATCTCCCTACCTCTCCGACCTGCTCATTCCCCAATCAGTGCCTCCACTCAACCGGCATCCTGCTCGTCCCTTGCATGCTCCCCCCCACCATTGGAGGTTGGGCGTTCAGGCACTACACCCTGAAACTCTGGAGCACTCTCCCTCAATCCTTACATCTTGCCCCTTCTCTCCCCTTTTTCAAGTCTCACCTGAAAACCTTCCTCTTCGACCATGCTTACAGCCACTTCCCCCACCACCCCCAGCTCAGAGTCAGGCCCCGTCTCTGTTAAGCGCTCTGAGACACTACCTGGCGCGAAGACTGTCATATAAGTGCAAGTTATTGCACAATCTCCCTTCACAAACACTCAAAAGTAGGAAGAGATCCCCCAAAATATCATATGAAGTATCTAACATCATCTAAAGCAAATCCTGTACCACACTGAATGTGTCCTGCACTAAAGAGTCAGTCTTCTCCCTATTTGGGGAAATCTTCACACAAGATCTCATTGCAGATAGTCTTGGCACAACAAACGTGAAATGGCACAGTTGATGACTCATGACCTTCTAGCATCCAGTAAATCAGTTTCATATTGCATTGCATGACTTTTTCCTCGACCATCAAATACACACCCTACTCTCTAAAATCCCAGTGCAAACCAACTCAACCTGAACTGAACCTCCACAATGTACATCTGTCTTTGCACAGATCTCCTTCCCATAATAATAATAATCCTTGCATTTGATATAGCGCCTTATCATATCATTGAGACCGCTCAAAGCACTTCACAGGAATATACTTAATTATTAAATTTATAGTAAATTTAAAGACTCAATTTGTATGAAATTAATCAAAATTTAAAACTAAGCATTGAACAAATGTGAATGCAAAATTGCTACACGTCACTTATTACGAACGTGATAAGTTCACGCTATAATAAGTTAGATTGCTGAAAACAGACATTGAAAATTAACAAATTTCAAACAGACATTTGTTGCAACATTGAACACGGTTAAGATCACTCCATAATCTGCCAATAAGTTATCTTTAATTGCCAAAAGGATTTACGATGGGGGTGGGAGAAATCTAAACACCCTCCTCCCATCCTTCAGAGAACTCCAATTCTCGACATCCTCAAAAATAGCAATTCTAACCAACAAAGTATATTTTGTATGATTACCCATTAGGCGTGAATGTTTTGATTGCTGTGGTAAGATTGATTGTGCAGCCAAGCCTCTTGTACTCAGGATCTTGATTAATCTTAAGGATGTGTTTGACGTCGCATCTCCTTTTCTTATCCACACCTTGAATAAGAATGCAAATGTTTACCTATATTCCAGACTTTAAAATATCTGAATACTGAAATACAACAACAACAAGATTCCATTTATAGAGCGCCTTTCACGTCGGGAGGACGTCCCAAGGCGCTGTACAGTTGGGTCAGGACCCGAGCAGGGGGGAAATGGTCAGGGTGAGGGAAGGGAGGGAACGAGGAGGGGGTAGAGTCGAGAGGGGAGCTGAAGGCACGAAATACAAAAAAATCCTTGAATGATGATGTAAATGTACTGTATATAATCTTTGTTACACTGTACCTTGATTAAGCAGATTTCTGAAATCATTGACGGTTTTGTCAATATTCACTTGAAAGAATTCCCATAGCTTTAGCTTCGGAAAAATCTCGTCCCAAATTATTGCACGAATGATCTGTCAAAAGAATATTTAAATGCAGTTGCATCTCTTTATGGTTTCTGCTGCTAAATACTACAAATGGATCACTTTTTAGAAGTGCTATAATATTGTCAAGTTCTTCTCCACCCACTTTCCTTTATTTAAAAAAAAAGTGCCATCCACCTTTGGCTGATACTAGCAGCCAAGAGATTCAATACAACCCAACTATAAGGCACTAAGGACAATACAGCTGTACTTTGCCTGCAAGGTTTCCTTCCTGCTGGAAAATACACCAGTCTCTGCTCATTCCTCCCACCCAATTTCTCTCATCGAGAACTTGATAGATTATGTCTTGAACATCTGTTGGTCTTTACTTTATGGTATTGGATATCAGTGCACCCAACATCACTACACTGCCCCTCAAGATGAACACTTCAACTCCAGTTGGCCAGTTTTGAATCACTCCTCTGCTTTGCAAAATAAACATTTTGCAATTTAATAATTACCCTCTATGAAATCTGAGAACATGTCCTAACACAACTCAAAGTACTCAAATATGTCCCAACACCCCAAGCTATTTAACCAAGTTAATAATTAAATTCCCTAATGCACAAAGCCGATTCATGTCATTAGGCAAACAATATAAAGTTACGATATTTGGGGGTATCTTGGATATTATTTTTGCATTTGTATTCCTTGAGCCTTGTGGTACTTACATTAAGATGTTCATCATTTTCAATAAGAGGAGGCAGGTCTTTATGGTAATATTTTCCTTCAGCCATGTCACAAGTTAAATGCCATAAAGCTCGGTCTAAGAGCCAGGCAGGTTTCAAGTGTGGAGAATTCACCAAATTGTATGCACATTCTGGGTGTATCTGGAGCCACTTGCTGGAGGCAGCTGGAAGTCGTAAGAGGTGGGGGAAAAAAAAACAGCTTCAATAAACAAATCAAGAGATGAAATAAATGCTAACCTGACAGTATTTAGCATCAAAAAATTTTTAAAAGCTTAATTGCCTCAATGTGACATTACCTTTCAATTGCAAACAGAAAATGAAGCACAAACCATGTTTGATCATGGCATGTTGGATTATCTTAAAAAAAGTTTTTTTTTAATATATTCCAGAGAACACACTCTAAGGTCCTCCCCTAACAACATCAAGTCTTTCTTTTATCCTAAATGAGTCCGTCCTGGCCTCCGTCTTGCAAATCTTTCTCAATTGTTAATTACTCTCTGGGGAAATAAATAGGTCCTGGTATATGCCATGCAATTGCCCTTTGAAACCTAAACCTGTGCTGTCTTGTTCTGCTGTCTCAATGAATCCAAAAGTATTGTTCCGAGCTCAAAAATGTTATATACCCTCTGATACATCTCTTTGTATGAATGAAGAACCCTCTAAGTGTTGTTCATTGCTCATTCCTCTAACACAGAGATCATCCTTGTTGTTCTCCTCTGCACAGCCTCTAGCTTAAGCAGCCTCCTTATATCCCAGCAACTAAACTGTACACAGTACTCTAGACCAGAACAGAACATTGTACAGATTGAGTAACTTCTAGGGATCTGAACACAACCAACTTGAGTTCAATTCCAGGCAGGGCGAAACCTTGGGCAAGTTTCCTTACTCCACACGCCTAATAATAATCCCTCCAAAACCAAAAACAATAATAAATTGGTCATTTTCAATCTACGACTGTTTGTGGGACATTGCTTGCACAATTGGCTGCCGCGTTCGCCCACAAATATACAGTCAATTTACTTTACAGTGTGTTCTGTGAAGCGCTTTGGGACGTCCTCCCGACGTGAAAAGCGCTATATCAAATGCAAGGATTATTATTATTATTTGGCATGATAGCCTGCTAAGATTCTACCCAGAGAGTGCTGCAGGATGAAAGCCAAAGCATCATGGCAATAATAAGATATATAATATATATATATATAAAACCAAAATAGTTTCCAAGTTGTGAGTCACAATTTTGATTCTGGCTACATAGCTTCCTTCATGTGGGAGTGAAGTTGTCTAAGTTGCTGTAGCCACATTGCTGACCTACCCAAGCTGACAGTGCAGCCTGTGTGAAAGGCTCATTCAAAGCACCCAACCCACTTCCCTGTTGACCTTCCTACATACATGATGCAAATAGATCAATCTATTCCAGAATTTCATCTGTTACAAACCAGGCCTAGAAAAAAAAGTTCAGCTAATGAAAGAAATACTTCAAAAGTGAAATACTCGACTTTGCAATGTTATTGCAAACAAGCCTGCACGTCTAACTAAGTTAGTTTTGACCATCTGAAGATCATTTAGAAGCTGACACTTAAAGCAAGCCCAGTATCACATTCTGATAGCACTCTGACCTTTACAAAAATAAAACAAGTTGATTACTAGCCTCCCTAAGCATTTTACAATTTGCATTCCGGTTACTTGGTCATTACTTTTAAAATAGACAACCAATCTGAACGATTTCAAACAGCAAATTTTTAAAGCAAAGTCATACATTTGTTCTATTACTGTTCCGCTTAAAGAAATAAGTGGTTCTAACTGTTTGAAGTTATTCTGCTTACACAAAATTAAAAGCTTCATTTTTAAATATGAAACACCTTTTTAAAAAATCTTACTAGTTAAACCACAAAATGATTAGTCAGATTACAGCCAACCCAACATACATATGGTATTATGGTACCAGGTAATTATTGTACCTGGTACAATTATTAGAAACCACAAAAATAAAACTTTGTTATCTGATCAATTTCGTAAATACTTAAACTACACATTGTGATCTGAGATAGTATAAGTGCAAAGCATGTAACAGACAAGTATTTATTATAAATAAATAATAAAATACAGTAAAAATAAATAAAATAAATCACATTATAAAATACACTTTGTAGGGTTATTCTCATGGTGCATCTTAACTTTATTAGATGCTATCTCTAAGATAATGATGGAGCATGGAAAATAACTCATGTGATCATTTTGCACTGCAAATGTGAAATGTCATGTTGAAAATACATCCATTCTTCCCTACAACTGTTGACACTAAATATATTCTCTGTTTATGCAGGTCTGCTTCATGAAGACTTGCCCTTCCCACTATTGGTAGATGAACTTTCACACTTCTCCCCTGCTCTCTGGAGCTCAGGAAGAGCCTCTATTTGCACATAACACACAGTCACAGTCTGCAGAAGGCCAAAGGCACTTCCTGCTCATAGCATGTAATGTGTGGGAAGTGACATCAGGGAGGATTTGATGATCTGAAAGTCAGTCATTATACAGTGCCTTTTTACAACACGGGTCCAGAGACATTGGACCCAGGAGACAGGCGACCGAGTTACAAAGGGAAGTAATGTAAGTCGCGTTTTGTTGGTTTAGTGGGCAGGCCTTCTGCAACTCTGCCCCCACCCTCTGGAACTCCATCACAGTCCCTCCGCCTTGCCCCCTCCCTTGCCTCCTTCAAGACCCTCCTCTTCAACCGTGCCTTTGGTCACCCTCCTTTCCCCTCCCAATCCTCAGCTCAGGTCCGAAACAGATTGTCCAGTGCCTTGGGATGTCTTCCCGATGTGAAAGGTGCTATGTAAATGTAATTTTCTTGTTGTTTGCACTGATTAATCTCCAACTTACAGTCTATATGACAAAAAGTTTCAAAATTCAAATATTACATTTAAAAAGGTTTCTCTGACGGCCCATTTAATATTAAAAAGCCAGCGGTTCATCAACAGTGCTAACAATTAACCAGTGTTTTCCAACAAGTCATCATACCTGTATGATTATAGACCACGTCAGTGATACAGAGTACATTCCATTCTTCCCTCAACTTGTGTACTAGTTGTGCAACATCATTCCAGTCATAAGTTTTGTCAGGCCTCGAGAAATCCGGATTTAGTTCTAACTGGTCAGCTAGGGAATAGCCTGATCTGGATTCCCAAGCGCTTGGAGTGGGGTAAAGTGGAACATATTGTAACCTGTTAAAAGAAAAAAAGTACTCCTTTATAATGTGTTAAACAAAGTTTACACTGTTATGAGTTTTTATTTACATATTTAACAGATGTTAAATGTTCAAAGAAAGGATATTACATTTCAGCAAATCCATCTCTATGTAAATTAGGAAAGACTCACTTTATTTTAGAACTTCATCCTATACGCAAGGTGCACAAATTATTTTCGTATGGTCATTAATACATATGCAACTTAATGAGGTGAATGACAAAATCCCAACAAGGACAATTTAACTGAAAGATCCTGCTGGTTCCTGCTTTTATGCAACAGATCAACATGTTCAAGGCTGATATTTGTTTATTACAACAGTCCTGCACAGGTCAGCACGAGCAATGCTAGTATCCAAAAGCCAGCCTAATAGTGCAGGAGGTTGTTGTAATGTTTGTTTTATAATTGGAATAAATAGGTGACTGATTTGTTTTTTTCCTCCCCATATAGGGTGGGGTGGGACTGTTGACTGGGACACTGGGAGAAACTCTGAATATCGCCCACAGGTTCTTTAAATGTTTAGCAGATAGACAGGAGCTCAATTCATCATTTCAACCAAATAAGAGAACCTTCAGTAATGAAGTGATCTCCTTGACTGACTGCTGAGGTACTTGCCCCATAACCAATTTCCAGGCAGAAAATGTCTCTTTCATGGCTATGTTGTGTCTATGCTAATTTTCTAGCTGATGCCTTTCTTTACACCCCATTCCCCTCACAGTTCTGAATAAATGAGCAGAAATAAAGACTTAATTACAGCATAAAAGAGGCAGAGTATAGACAATGGCATATTTATGCAACACACTTGGGACAAAAGGTTCTTCTTGGCAGGAACCAGAAACTTCTATTTCTGCCAGTTTTCCACTAGACAAGGAGTCAAAATCCATTGTGAAAGTCGGTTTGACAGTTAATTGTCTTCTAAAATACTGGAATACACCACTACCATGAAATAAGTTCCCACAAGCCAGTATTATACAAAATCCCAAATGAAGGTACCCTCAATATTTCAAACCATTTTTCTGAATTCTTCACAATAGTAATCATTTATATGGTACTGATTTCTATTACCTGATTCCTTGGCAACTCTTAGCCTGTCCAACCATTCATCAAAGGGGCCCAAACATTTTGCCATGAATGTCTGAGAAGTTATGCAATCCAGTTCGAGAATCCGATCTTGTCCAACACGTAGAACGGGATCAACAACAAAATAGCCGGCACCATTCCTTGGCTGGTCTCTTTAAAACAAAATGAAACATATTAATACAACAAGTTCTTCCATCTTTTCCTCCATTTTAGCTTACTCATAATTAGAGACAAACATTTTCAATATTCACCTATTTTATTATTTCCTCTTTCTAGTTAAATGAAAATGCATGTCATTTCCAGGCTTTTATCCCCATTACCTTGCTTAGCACAAATCTTATCATTCGCAACACCATGTAATTTATTGTAGTAAAGGCATTTAACCTCAAACCTATTTTTAAATTATATTAGAGTGTTAACTTTCAAACAACCTAGAGATACTAGCTTACAGAGATCTTCAGTTAAACTCACCCATAGCCAAAGTAGAAGTGAAATGATCCAGATATTTGAAGATTAATTGAACAGTGTTTATCAGTATCGTCATCTTTTCCTGATGGGTTAATCCACTTCAGTACATGAAACTGATGACGATTAAAAGAATCGGCACGAATTGGATAGTTAGTATACAATTGAATATCTTTCCCCTGTAAGGATGGCCCAAGGTGAAACTGCAGTTCATGTCCTAAAGCAAATATTAAAAAAACATTAAATTTAATTAATAAAATGAAGTATAAACAGTTCAACACATCAGTTCTGAATTACAATCTGAATTACAATCATTTTACTCACTTTTCTAACAATTTTAAAACTTTAGGAATCTCACATGTTGATGAACTGTGTTGTGAAACTTGCAACTCGTCTGTGAAACGTTATAAAACCATAGAAACCGAAAGCACCTTCCCACTCCTATCTCCAAAAACAAATATCAAATAAATTGGTGCTGATTTTTATTAAAATAAATCTAATTATAATTTAACTAAATGTAAGCCTGACATTTGCAGCCTTTATACAGCAAAATGCAAGGCAACAACAAATGCAACTTGCATTTATACAGCACCCTTCCAATAGGATGTCTTGGAGTGCTTCACAAATAATAATAATAATCCTGCATTTGATATAGTGCCTTATCACGCTGTCTCAAAGTGCTTCACAAAAAAGTGTAAAGTGAATTGACTGTGTATTTGTGGGCGAAATGTGGCAGCCAATGTCCCACAAACAGTTGTGAATTAAGTGAGGGATAATTACCCCCAGAAAGTGATGAAATAAAAGCAGAAATGGTCAACAAGTTAATTCAGAAAAAAAAAGGTTAATATTTTGGATAATTTTATTTAGTACTGCAAATCACAAAATATATCCTGCTGAAAAATCCAACGGCTGTGGTTAACTGATCATATTACAACCATGATATCCAATTTTAAATGGTAGTAGCCAATTACTGTAGTACTTGTCATACATATTATTCCCAAAATAGACAAAGGTCAACTGTCTGCTGGGTGACTTTTTTTTTAAAAAAAGGGAGAAAAGCCAGTGATTCCTCAGTCCAAAATCCTCAAAGTAAAAATTCAATTTAGCATCTCAGTAAAAATACGCAACCTTTGCAAGTATTGAAAAATTCTATGAAACTTATGCAACTGATATAAAATGTTGAAATAGCAATCATTTTGTAAGATCCTTCTTCTCAATCCATGAAGCTCCAGAGGTTATTGTGCAACACTGATTAATAATGAAGCTATTTGTAATTCTTCATAAAAGTCATTTGATAAACAAAAAATCATATTTGTCAAAAGATGAATGAACAATTCCAGATTCATTCTTGATCAGGTTTAATAGTGCATTTGATATCTTTTTGAAACAGAATCCAGCATGCATTTTCTCTCTGGATCTTTCAGTACATCTTTCTTTGCCAAGAAGAAACAGCAAGGCAGACCAAAAAAAAACAACTTTGAAGTGAAGAATAAAAACTTAAACTGTACTAAATGTTAGCCTGCACGGTGACAAGACAGGAAACAGCCAGCTCTCCGAGTGTAACCTTATAATTTTGTGATCAAATCAGCTTTAAATAGATCACATCCGCTCAAATCCTCTAAAGTGGACAAAGTTGAAAGGTAACTAATTAGGGTTGCAGTCCAAGAACCATTATATTCATGTTGAATACCTATATAGGTAGATGCATATAATGCATGTTTGAAAATATTAAAGATCAAGTATTACATCATTATTTTATCAGAAATGAGACATTACAAAAGTCACATAGACATAGAGGATACACTCTACTACGTGCACAGACTGTGAGTTTAAGTGCCCACCTTGTTGTAGTCGAAAAAGTGTCTTTTCAAGCTTTTCCATATCGTTTAGGACCAGAACACGGATATCCTTGGTTTGCATCATTTTTGTTTCTTATTATTTTTTTAAAAAAATCAGTCCACATAAAATCAAAAGTGTAATCAACTAATCAACCGGCCCCTAAAACAGACAAAAAAAAAGGGGGGGGGGGGGGGGGGGGGGAGAGAGAGAGAGAGAAAAAAAAAGACATGCAAGTCAGAAAATCTTGGCCAACTCAGGGAACCCCCAACACAACCCCAGAGAGGTAACTACAAGAGTCGCACGAAAGCAAAGCAACAAGGAGACGCAGAGAAATCCAGATGAATGCAACTCTCCACACCCCCACCCCCCCCCCCCCAAAAAGCACAACAACCAAGGTCTCGTTTACCCCCCACCCCCCAAAAAAAGTGACAACAACAACAACAAGCAAAAAACAACAACTTTTAAAATCAAGTGCTGTTTAGGCTGAGCCTTTGGAAAACACAGATGGAGTTAAAGATCACAATCAAAGTTGTCTGTGACGCTGTGGGGGGTGTGTGTGTGTGGGGGTAACAACCCCAAACCACCGTCAGCTGCAGGACTTGGGGGTGGTGGGGGGGGGTCCTGTCCCCCCTTTTTTTTGTTGTTTTGTGGGGTTTTTTTTTTCTTGCAAATCACCAGAGAGCAGCCCCAGGGATTTTGATGAAATCGAAACAATTCGTTCATCGATGAATTTTTTTTTAAAATAATTTTTTTTTAAAAAAAAGGAGTATTTTATAACGGATTTTTTCGTCGTCGTCGTCGTTGTTGTCGTTGTCGTTACCCGGGTTCTCTCCCCCCCCCCCCCAACCCCACCCCACCCAGAAGTTAATTCTCAATTCTCTCCCCCACCCACCCCAACCAATGTCGCGGTGATGCTTCTCTCTTTTTCTGGAGCATTTGAAGTGCAGACCCCCCCACACTCCTCCCTCCCTCCCTCCCTCTCTCCCTCTCCTCCCGCCTCGATTTCCCTCAACTGATTGATTCCCCAACTGCCCGGGCGGTTGGTGGGTAAAGACGGTTTAGGTCACGAGCAAAAAAACACGGTTGAATTGGAACGATCTCTAAATATGGCTCTGCACACACACTGTGTATATACATATAAACACACACACACTGTATATACATATATACACACACACGGTATATATATATATATAAATATACACACACTGTGTATATATACACACACACTGTATATATATATAAATATACACACACACTATATATATAAATACACACACAATATATATAAATATACACACAGTATATATATATACAGTATATATTTATACATATACACAGTGTATATATACCCACTATATATACACACACAGTACATATAGGTATACACACACACACACACAGTGTGTATATATATATATATAAATAAAGAAAGTAAAAGTTGAAGTGTTTGCAGTAAAACCTGTGGCTGAGGGTTGTTGAAGCGAGTCTGTGGCTCCTGTTCGTCCTTTCTCTCTATGTGGACATTTCCTCTGGACACCAACAGACGTTGCGCCGCTACATTTTCCCAACATCAACCTCCCCCTCTCACTTTCTCTCCCTCTCACCCCCCAAATGACCCACTGAAGGTCAGCGCTCGGTGGCGCCTCTGGTGGTAAA